ACGCCTCCCTTGTTCTCTTATAATAAGACGATGGCGTCCACCTGAGAGGTGATGAGTTCTGGTCAGTTCTGGCTGAAAAAAGCCCTGACTTTATGTATACAAACTCAAGGAGAGGTATGAGCTTGCTTTTGCTGGGTAATCTCATTTATATTAAGTCTCATTTGAGGCAAACAAACTCTCATCAACACAAATGAAACGTTTAAATGTTTCTTTGATTGTCCTTGAATCTTCCCGCCACACTTCCTGTCATGACTAAAGACTTTGAGGGCCGAAACTGGAAAGTGCTGGAAGATTCTAGAAGGGTCACTTCTGAGGCAAATATTGTTTTGACGATCTCAAGGTCACGCTGAGCCAGGAAAGATAAATTCCTGCGATCAGGAAGCTACTCTCTCTCTCTCTTTTGTTTGTACAGTGGTGCCTCGCAAGACGAAATTAATTCATTCCGCGAGTTTTGTCGTCTTGTGGTTTTTTTCGTCTTGCGAAGCACGGTGTCGGGAAAGTTTTGGAAAAGCTTCAAAAATCACCAAAGTCTTTAAAAACCTCAAAAAAGGCTACCACACCGCGTTCTATGAGTTGCTCCTCGAAGTCAAGTCGCAACTGTATTAACGGTGTTAAGAAAAAGGAAACAAACTTGCAAGACGTTTCCGTCTTGCGAAGCAAGCCCATAGGGAAAATCGTCTTGCGAAGCAGCTCAAAAAACAAAAAACCCTTTTGTCTAGCGAGTTTTTCGTCTTGCGAGGCATTTGTCTTGCGGGGCACCACTGTATCTCATATGTCTGATTTTTTTTGTAACAAGCCTTTGCCTTTTAGTAAAAGTTTTTCCTTTTGGACTTTTGACTCTGTGTGGTCTTTTTTATTTACTGCAAGACACTGTCCGACACTTCCTTGCCATCCTCTCCTGCCCCACCAGTGTGGACACTGTTTGAGAACCATTGCGAGAACGGGGTGTTGGATTAGATAGGCCTTTGGCCTGACTCAGATGGTCTGAGTCAAACTATGACTTCACTTTTCAGGAGAGAACCCTTCTCCAAAGTCCAGACCCTCCAAGTGTCCCTATTTTCCAGGGACATTCCCGATTTAGAGAAGCCGCCCTGGTTTCTGATTTGATCCCGGAATGTCCCACTTTTCCTCAGGATGTCCCTATTTTCATTGGAGAAATGTTGGAGGGTATGGAATTATCTGACACCTGAGCCCTCTGAAGGCAATCCTGTATAGGAAAGGGGTTTTTTAATGTTTAATGTTTTTATGTTATTATATATGTTGGAGGCTGCCCAGAGTGGCTGGGGCAACCTAGTAAGATGTGTGGGGTATAAATAGTAAAATTATCATTATGGAATGGGATGTCCCTATTTTAATCAGAGAAATGTTGGAGGATATGCTTCTCCACCCCAGTGCTGAATTTCAAACGAAGACCTACACCACTCCCATTCTCCCTCCCACCCGACTAATCATTCCTTTCACAGGTTCTTAACTGTTGTGGTCTGCAAGAGTAATTCAGCTGGTACTAGAAAGGTTGCAGGACAGCTGAGGAAATCTGTACTTGGCCCTGATGACAGAGGCTGAAGCCATTTTAACCAGGGCTGAATTATTCATCAGGTAAACGTATGAACTTCCTGGTCTGGGGTACCCAATTTTCATAATACAGCACTGTATTATGTCTACTAATTTCCCCCAAAAACGTATTTGCCAGATAAAGACGTCATTCTCTGGAATGTGGCCAAAGGCCAATGGCTTTTATAACACATCTCTGGCTTGATGGGGGGGGGGAATGTTATTTTTAATACTATATGTTTAATCAAAAAGAAAAACGAATGTGTTCTTACAATGTTAGAATATAAGTGGTTCGCTGTGACCTCCAGCAAGGTTTGAGAGCTGCTGATCTATTTGATTGATGCCTCTGTGAACGCACTGAATGAATTCTGCACTATGCTGAATAAATATGACTTTTAAACTATTATAAAATATACTTTCACTTGAAATTAACACACATTTGCAAGCCAGAGACTATGCATGCTTGCTTAGGAATAACCCTCCTTGTGATCAGTCAGCCTAATTCCCTGGAGATTATGTATTGCACTGCAATCCAAATAATATTTCTTGAGCACACAAATGGGGAGAACCTACATCCCCCCACTGAAAACTAACCATATTAGTCTAGCATATATCTACAGAATTAGGCACTATTAATTAGGTAAAAAAACATCCTCTTTCAAGTAGTAAAGCAATTAATCAGAAACAAAACACATGAGAATACAAAAGTAAGCAAATAATTCAAACTAATTAACATTTGCTGGTGGAATGCATAACTGTCATGGTTAATAAGGATATTAAAAATAACTAGCACTTAATTTGATTGCTATTTCCTTTTTCACTGCATTTGCCACCTGCTTAATGTGAGCTAGATAAGCCCCCAGGGCAACAATCAAAGGCAAGGCATACCAGAAAGATTTTCTGCAGCACTTCTGAAATAGTTTAGCATTTCCCCCCACACATAGAATACTTAATGTATATGATTTTTTCCCCTAAAAGCAATGGGGGCGGGAAACTTCATTCAAATGAAGGAATATGAGTAAGGAAAATTGATAACGTGTTCATCATTTTTCAAGAAAATGGACAGAGCAATCATATTCTAATTTCACAGCGTTAGCTGTGAGACGTACTACTGGTGGAATGTCCATTGTATCCAGTACTCTCTTAGCCCAGGGTGGAAGAGGAAAAATGCACACTCACTGGAAAATCTGAAAATGATGGGGAAATAGTAGGTATGCACACCTCCCACACCAGTGTCCCTGGAAACATCATCAGCCCCACCCTCCTTAGAGATGCATAATCTTGTTTTAAAGCTATCCAAGGCCATAACTATCATATCATTTGGAGAAAAAGAAAAATCTCTCTTCACACCCCATTTAATTTTACAGTATTTAAACCTCCATTAAGCAGTGGCAGTGGGGCACCAGGTCCTTTTGGCTCCATATTTACGGAACTCCCTCCCCATAGAGACTACCTCTTGGTTTTTAGGCAGGACCTGAAATTCTGAAGCATATTCCTCTTTGTGTGTATATGTATGCGTGTCTGGTTTTATTTATTTCAAAGGATCCAAGAATGGTGTGGAATGCAGATTGGTGCCCACAGGCAAGTAGAGAAATAATTAAACAAAAATTCATTCTGAAAGCTATTTGACTATAACAACGAATGTTAAAAATCTACTAAATCTCCACTGCCAGATAATGAAATAGGCAATAAAAATCATTTATGAGTCACAGTGGGGAAATTATTGCTCCTAATTTAATTTTAATGTGAACAGTTTTAATAAACAGGGCATTCAATTTATGCAAGCTTATTTTTGTCATTACGTTGTGGTTCAGGATGAAGCCAGGTGATGATAGCTGTGCACCCAATTTCACAATGTCCTGCTCACATTTTTATTTATACTTGGAAGCTGACATTAGCCTATATGACTGTAAAAATGTTTTTATTAAAAAGTTTTTAAAGTGGTAGAATTTTTCTTCAGCTTTTTTTGCAGATGGGATAGTGAGATGAGGAGCAATGTTGACAATATCACTCTCCAAGTTCCTCTCCAGTGCTTCAGAGTCAACACTACTCTTTGGTTTACAGAAGAGCTACACATCATGAAGAAGACTGGGAGATGACTGGAGTACAGGTGGCAGAAAATACACTCCAAAGCCAACCAAATGCTTGTTATGTCATATACCATAATTCTGCCTACCAAGCAGCAGTGAAGGCAAAACAAAACAAACCACAACTCTTTTACCACCCCCACTTCATCCTCAAAGAGCTCTCCAGCAGAGTTGCTTTAGGTTATACCAGAAGTAGAGGATGGATCACCCTTGAACACTGAGCAACATGCTGTGAACAATTTGCAGGGTACTTTGAGGATAACATAACTCAGCTCTGTAGTGTCTTAGATGCCACTATTGCTGCAAATCCAGTTAAGGTGTCCATTGCAGTGCCTTCCCACACTGTGTAGGATCGATTTCTATGGATGTGGTCTGATTATGTGGGCAGGAATCTTGCAGTGATGGGATCCGCTTCTCCCTCTCTTGACTCCTGAAAACTGAGTGAGGGGGAAGGAGAGTGGACTGTGTGGGTCTAGGGTGGGGGGGGCAGCTTTACTCAATGGAGTGCGATCTGCTGCCCTTAAAACAGGTGGTATTGAATCTACTCCTAAAGAAATCCAACCTGGTCTTTTTGCTCACTGTCCTGAATTTCTCCATGTACAGGTACAGTATCTACTATCCAGTGGATTAGGAAATAACAGAGTGGGTGGGAAGAGGGGGCACACAGTCACCTACAGAAACATTATACGCATATAGGCTCCATCTGCACTATACATTTAAACAGCAGCATAGCTCAGCCTCGCTGCCGCCTTGCCCCCAGCTGTAGGGTGGCTGAGGGAGAGGTGGCAGGCAGATGCAAGCCCTATGCTGCTGTTTCGGGCAGCGCAGAGCTTGCAGGCGCCCGAGCCACTATGTGGAGAGACGCGTGGTTCAGGCGCGCTGCAGGCCCTGCAGTAAGTGCCACCTCTTTCAGTGTGGCACCCAGTGCCCCCCGCCCCCCCAGCTACACCTTTGCATTTAAAGCAGTAATTTGTACCAATTTAAAACAGTCATGGCTTCCCCCAAAGAATCCTAGGAAGTGTAGCTTCTTAGGGGTGCAGGAAGCTGTCAGGAGACCCCCATTCCTCGCCACACAGCTACAGGTTTCAGAGTGGCTTACCAATCAATCCCTCTTCCATAGGAACTATGAGAACTGTAGTTCTGTGAGGGGGGATTTGCTGTCACCTCTACTCTGGGCACCAACTGCAGTTCCCAGGATCCTTGGGTGGGCGGGCAAGCCGTGACTACTGAAAGGGGGCATGCCACTGATTTCAATGCACCATGCTGAGGAGGCCACAAAGCCTCTGTTCAGCAACTTCTTGCCGAGGAGCAGCCTATTTCACCTAAGTCAGGCTCCTCGTTAGAAGCGGACCCGGTTGCAAAATGGCCGAAAACCAGCAACCTTCCTTGGCTGCCGGTTTGCGCGTGGAGCTGCTGTGCTCCTTAGACCAGCTGCAGCGTGATCGGGACCGTCAGCCAGACTCCTCTGCGAGCCGTTTTTTGTTCTGCGGGGGGGGGGGGGCGAGAAGAAAGCAGCTCCCACGAAGCTCCTCAGAACTGGCTCCCAGGGAAGCGCATCGACTGGGTGAGGAGTTGGCGGCGACGGTGGCAGAACCCCGCGGCCGAGTCCTCCGAGGCGCTCCTGGCCAGCAGAGGGCGCCGGCTGCGTCCGACCGAGCGTGCCTCCGCCTCCGCTGCTCCTTCGCCACCGAGCTGAGAGGAAGCGGGGGAAAGGACGGGCACGGGCCGAGCACCGAGGAGCAGCGGCAGGGCCGGGGCTGCGGGCGCCCGGCGGAGGCAGGTAGCGTGGCGTGCGCGAGCTGGTGCAGGAAAGCCGCTTTTTTGGGGGGGGAGGGGGTTTTGCTAAGAGAGGCCGGGGTCGGGTCCGAAGCTCCACCAGCTCCCCGTGCAAATCCCCCATGGACTGGGAAGCCTTAAGTCTCACCTAGTTCAGTGTTGCTGTCCGTGGCTTCTTTTTATTTGTACCCACCAAAGGGGCGGGTTGCAAGAACCCCACGCGTGCGTTTCCTTGGGAGTGAAGGCTCCGTTGAGCGAAGGCTGCAGTCCTATGCACACTTTTCTGGAAGGAAAACCCCGCTGAAAAACGCGGCACCGTTAATATTTATTTCCGAGTAAATATGAGGCGTAGAATAGGGCTGGAGGTGTCTGCAGTCGTAAGGTCACTTACCTACTGAACTTACGGGGCTTGATTTTAAATGATGATCACCTAGGATCTGGCTGCAGCACCAGTTGTCCACCGGGATAACTTACGTGGAAAGTTTCACTCATAGGATTGAACTGTAAAAGCAATATATGATATTCTATGAATGTTATAGGGGAAAACTCTTTAAAAAAACCAACAACCCCCTCTGAGGTTTAACTCCAGTTCCCTTCCCCATCGGAACTTGTTCCAACAATCTGGGGTAGGGATAGATCCCCCCCTTATTTAATGATGTGTTTATGCACAAATGGTTTTGGTTGTACAGATCTCAGAAATAGTAACTATTGTAGAAGTATCTGTGAAGGAAGAGTATGGCACTGTTCTCTTTTGTGTGTTTGTGGTTCACACCCGTTTCAGAGAAAATGAAGTTGTATGGTTCATCGCTTCCACACAACTGGACACCAAGGGCTTATGAGGTGGAGGAGAAAAAAAGTGTGTATGGTGGTGGAGAAAAATACAGATTTTTGGTGGAGGAGGGAACACCCTCTGCCGACTTTTAAAGTTTTAATTGTTAATTTATAGTATTCTTGGGCTGCCTTTAAAGGTAAAACTACTCTCAAGGCAGCTTGTAGTAAAATGCAATGAAATACAACTGTACACATAAGACCATCAGAAATAACAATACAACAGTACCAAGTCCCATCCCCTTACTACCTGAGATTGCTTTTTAAATTAAAAAAATGAGGGGTTGATACTCACATATTGATAAAGGTTCCATGGGTGCCAGCACAAAATGTCTTTGATGGGCAGCAAAAGAAGAGGTAAGGATCTGGTGAGTGCTGTCATGAAAAAGGCCCTGTTCCTGATTATAAACACAATGATCTGGAGAACTGTAAACCAACTTTGGAAACAGCAGTTGAGAACAAGTGAGTCTTTAGGGCTTTGCAGAACACCTGACGTGACAGTGTCTGTTGGAGTGCAGGTGGCAATGGGTTTCAGAGATATGAGGGTCAGTGCAGAAAAGGCCCTTTGCCCTTTAAGTGCTTGGTATCTTGCAGGTTATAGTCTAGTTATAGGGGAGTGGACATTTCCCCATTGTTTGGCAAAGGTGACCACTGCTTCCAATAAGAAGAGCCAATGCATGGCCTTTTTTTGTTGTGACACAGCTCAAATGGGAGAACAGTAAGGACTTCCTTCTTTTGCTGCAATATTTAGGACTGGACAAGTTTTAAGACAGCAGTATTATGTTGGTCTTGCAGATCATGGTACGTATTACTGAATTCGTATAGCTCTTTGTGACACTATGCAGGGAGTTAGCAACAACATCTGCCATTTTGGCTTATATTAAACTGTTTGATTGCCGCTTGGCTGCATAGGATGGGAAAGGATTACATATGAGCTGAAAACAGGGGAACTGGGGATAGCTGCAACACTTTTCTCTCTGTATGTGGTGCTGAGAGGCTTTACATTGCCTTTGAGCAGTGTGTGTGTAACACACACACACACACACACACACACACTGGGATTGCATCCCACAGATGTGTATACGTAGTGCGTATGATCCATTCATACAATATACTGGTAATTGGTCCCCTATTTATATGGTGGGACTCTGGACAGTTATGAAATCTGTATAAGCAACTTGCATGGCTCACTTCAGGTACATGTTCATACAAGTGCAAGATGCATTACCAGTAGAATACAGGCTAAGCAGAGCACTTTTAAGCCCTAGTTCAGAGAATTAAGGGGAAATGGGGTTTAAAAATGCTTAACTTAATCAGTTATGAACTATGGTGAATAAATATTATGTTAATGATTAGAACCTGGTTCTCTTGAAAAAAAATTTAAATAAAAAAAACAACATCTGAAGCTCTTTCTACAGTACAGTGGTGCCTCGGGTTACAGACGCTTCAGGTTACAGACTCCGCTAACCCAGAAATAGTACCTCAGGTTAAGTACTTTGCTTCAGGATGAGAATAGAAATCGTGCTCTGGCGGTGTGGCAGCAGCAGGAGGCCCCATTAGCTAAAGTGGTTCTTCAGGTTAAGAACAGTTTCAGGTTAAGAACGGACCTCCAGAACGAATTAAGTTATTAACCTGAGGTACCACTGTACTTCTAATGTCATTGTTTAATGCATGGGGAGGTGGATTACTAATTCTTATTGAAGAATACTCAGCTTTTAGGAATCTTGTAAAACTAATTAGTTACTGAGCCAAACTGACTGTTAAATCTTTTGTTCCAGGGTATGCTATGACGGGTTGCAGATTGCCGCTTGGTGCTTTTAGAAATCTAAATGTTTGGCTTGGTCTCTTGGAGAACTCTCCTTATAAACTCTGCACACCCTGGAAAAGGCTTCTTTATTCTGCAAGCCAGCAGCAAGTAACGGCAATTACCCCAAAACATTTATGTGTTTCTCCTTTAAAACACCAAGTATTTTTAACACCATTGCCCAAAAGTGCACTGAGGATTTCTGTACGTCTCAAAAGCAACAAAAGTTATCGGAAGAACGCAAAACAAAGTGTGCCAGAGGAGACTGAGGAGGAAGATGAAAACGAAGAGATAAGTGATTCAGAAGATGAGTTTGAGGATGATCCTACTATAGTGAAAGATTACAAAGATCTCGAAAAAGTAGTACAGTCTTTTCGATATGATGTAATAATGAAAGCTGGTCTAGACATTGCAAGAAAGTAAGTATAATAATTTGTAAATAAAATAGATCAAAAGAGGTAGCCAATGGTTTTCTTTTATGTTCCTTACTACTAAAGCTAGTTGTAGATTATCATCTGCCTTTTTCATCAGGAATAAAGACACTGGAAATTTGTCACTTCTACCATTAAGAAATGCTTTCAGAAATTCCTACCAGAGTAGACTGCCCAGTTAAAAAAATAAACGGGACCCTTTGAATTAGCAAATGCAATTTTAATAACAAAAGAAATCTCACTTTAAAACTTACTGAAGAGTCTGTACTTCAAAAATTTCTAACTTGCAGTCCAGTGACCTTGCTTTCAAACCTTAAGCTTTGCTGGCACTATGACGTACCCAGTATTAAACTTTGGTTTAATATATGAAAGCTTTACTTAGACTTAAGAATTACAGCATTGATTCTACCTCTCTAAGGCCCTGTTCTTGCCTGTTGCACAGACATTGTGCTTCTAAATCTGCCATGTTAGAAGAGATATGTGCAGAAGTAGCTGAAGGTGTTTTACTGGCTATGTGTATTAATGGTGGCTTTTTTTATGGGACAGTAGCAGTGGTTAATGTATATGTAAGAAAAATTAAGGATTCTTTTCGTTTCAAAGCAAAGTGGAAGATGCGTTCTATAATGGCGAACTCAGGCTGAATGGAGAGAAACTATGGAAGAAGAGCAGAGCGGTAAGGTTTTCCAGAAAATAGTTTATGTCTTAAACTGAAAAGAGGTTATATGTCAAAAACTCAAATTATCTTTAACTGGCAAATGCTTATCCACATTATCCCATTCCACACATACAATATTTATATTACTAGAATAATAGATCCTCATAAAGGGCACACTTGTTTGCAGGATCAGCACCTAGGATAAAGGTTGCCACCTGCTGCACCTTCACTGAGTTACTAGGAAGAGTTTAAAACATCAAAAATAGGAACGTCCGGCCTACCCTAGTTAAGTGAGTGGATGATTTCAGTAGTATGTGGATTGCACCCTGTCTTGCCTTGTTTATAGTACCACAGTCAAAGATGAAGAGCCGTTGTGAAAACTCGACCCTCCATTTTATTGGATCAGATTCAGACTGGTGCAGTAGATGGGCCCAAATGGGTCCCATTTCCAGTGGATCCATTGCTGATCCTACTTCATTTCCCAAAGCCCTCTTCCGGGGCCTTATGCCAGTAACTATTGGCAGTAGCTTCCTAACCCCTCACAATTTGGGTGGGTGCATCAGGCCTCAAATGCCTGAAAGGCTGCCTCCTCTACAGACCCTCTTCAGTGTTGACATCAGTAGAGAGGGCCTGTCTGGTAATTCCACCGCCCTCAGAAGCTAAGGATTGTTGGCCTGGGAAAGAGCATTCTTTGGGCATCCCCTAAGTTGTGGAAATCCCCAGAGTTCACTATACAGTTTTCAACTTATGCTGAAGAGGCACCTCTTTCCCTTGGATTTTGACACTTGAGATGTATATTTTGAAGACAACCCCCCCCCCCAGTATTATGATTGTAATTCATAATTTGTTTTGGATTGGGGTTCCTTTTTGCTCTATTTTAAATGGTCGCACACCACCCGGGAACCTTAGGGTAAACAGCAGGTAACAAATCAATTTAATAATAATAATAATAATGGTGGCAGAGCCTATTGAAGCCGAGGACTACCTCTGCCTGTTCCTCACTTCCTCTTGCAGCGCAGATTGGGGGTTAAGATTGCACTGTAATACTTCAATGATGCCATCGGATTTTGTGGAACTACAACAGCTTGTGCCACCGTAGATTAAGGACATAAAAGCCCTGCTGCATCAGGCTAAAGGCACATCTAGTGAAGTATCCTGTTGTCAGTTGCCCACCAGATGCTGATAGGAAGCCCATACCATAAGCAGGACCTGGGTTCTTCCCATTTCATTTCCCAGCAACTGATACATTCTCTGCCTATCCCCCCCCCCCACCCTTGGCAGTCCTCTTTGAGGTGCCACAAGACTCTTAGGCCATGGTTGCTTGGAAATCTCCATATTGTCCTCACTGCAGAAGCTCACAAGACAGTAGAAAGATGAAGCTACAGCACTTCCATCATTGCCGATGCTCTGCAGCTCTGTTGGCTGCTTTTCTCTAAGGTCCCGGATGAAAAGTGCAGGGATCAAAATGCCAAGCAAGTTACTCCAACTTATTTCTGGAGGCAAAATAAAACATGCTGTGTTTCTTTCTCTCCCCCGCCCCACCCCAAATCTTCAGGTAAAAGTCGGTGATACACTGGACCTGATAATTGGAGAGGACAAAGAAACAGAAACTGCTGTAGTTATGAGAGTTGTCTTAAAGAAGGCATCCGACAAGGTCAACGATGAAAAATACAGAGTGGTGTTAAGGCGCTGGAGGAACTTAAAGGTGCCTAAGCAGGATGTATTTAAGTGAACTAGGATTTGCATGTGGCAGAGGTTTCCTTGTGAACAACTGTTGGTTATACAATATATGAATTTTGGTTAAACAAAATTCCTGCATTCTTTTTTTAAAGAAAATAATATTTAAATGGGTATGCGATGGCATGATGCCACCTTCCTTACTGTGAACATCACTTTGCCTGTGACTTTTTAGTTTACTGCTTTTGTTCCATACTGACGGAGAAAGCAATGTTTCTATGAAAAGATAGAACAAAGGAATAAAAGGGAAGGCTAATTTTAAATATTCTCTGCTTTTGTTTAAATGACATGACCCGGAAGCCCAAAACTAAACTTGAGTGGGAAGAAAGCCTGGCTTTTCTTTACTCATTGTGTGGTGTGATAACAGTAGCCAGTCAGTTCAGGAACCTGGTTTTTCCTGTTCTTTTTCTTTTTTAAATAACCCCAACCTGGTAGATTAACAATATAGCTTTCCATTTCCATGTGTAATCACTGAGCTGTGGTGCTGATGGTTTATGGTTGCTTTCCTTTTACATATTGTCTGGTGGTATCTTTTGTGAAATGTATTTTAGTATGCTGGCTGCTATGTTTACTAGAGCAGAGTTCCCTTACTCATAGGGGACACGGGCAAGATCAGGTAGGCCTAGTGCTTCCATGGAATTTGTCTCAGGAACTCCAGTGTATATAGGGATTGGCTTAGCAGTGCACTGTGTTATAAAGCCATAGTCATGTACACTGCACATGAAAAAGCTCCATGCTTGTTCCAGTGAGAGTATGGACATCTTAAACATGTAGATTGCTCCATCACTTCAACCCAAGTGGTGGTTCTGGATGCAGAGCCCCCTACATCCAGAGTGATCTCCTCTGCAGACGTATACAGAAGTCTACATGCACACTGGAACACAGATGAGTCCCTGGACCAGACAGCATAGGTCTACAAATTTTAACGGGCGTTAGCTTTGTATCACAAAGTACAGAGCTTCTGTTTGCAGGCAACTTATTGTGTCCCATGCATTAATTTGGACATGCAGCTTAGTAAAACACCTGTAGAATTCAGTTTGTTTCCATAGCCACTGTAGATTATGGGCTCATCCACACTTACCTTTTGCCCACGCTTTCTAGGCACAGGTTCGCACTTTAAAGCAGTTTCCGAGCAATTATTTTTTATTTATTTTTTGGCCGCAGCACTTTCCCCACGAAAAACTGCTCTTTAATGCTGAATTGGAATGAATGGTAATTTGGGTTAGCTGCAGATTGCTGTTTGCTCTGATTCAGAAGTAGAGAGTGTGTCTTTGCGTGGAAAGCACTTGGGAAAAGAAAAAGTGCTCAGAAGCAGTGCTTTAAAGTGTGGACCTCTGCCTAGAAATGTGGCACAAAAGTAATTCTTGATGAGCCCTTAGCAACCAGATGAGGAAGTGCTAGAGGATAAAGAGAAAATCATGTGAAAATATAATGGTCGCCTTATCTCCAACCCTCATGTGATATAGGAAATCAAAGCACATGATGCCACTTTAAAAGGTAAGTATTGTATGTCACCCTAAATATGCTCCCTCCCCAACACTGTTATTTTTGTTAATACAGAATTGTGGCTGCCTTCAAATGTCATTTGTTGCCATGTGAATAAGAAATCCTAGTGTTAAAACTAGCTTAATAAAGTCCTTCAGAATATATGAAACAGTGTAAATGCATTCTTTGTGCCCTTTAAAGATTTGTAAGGACTAGTAAGGTCTTGGTTTTCAAAATGATTATGATGTACATAGTGAAATAATTATAGGACTGTATCCATTGGTTGTATAAAGAGAAAGTAGACCTGTTCTATGTGTTACTCAAAATATTTTCTAAACATGGACAAGGGCACAAATCTATAGCTTTTGGGAGGGCATTCCAAGGCCACAGGAAAAAGAGGCAGGTCTGCCAAAAGTGGGTATGATAGAGGCTAATTTGGACCCACCAGGGCCAGAATATAGAGAGAAGTATAACAGCCGAGGGGACCAATCTGGGACCAACAGGAGGAAAAACCTAAAAAAACAACCAACCAATTTAGACAAAAAAGGGGAGGAAAAACAGCACCTGTACAGCTTTGGTGCTACTAGGTTTGGCTGTCTCCCCACCCCAATAACCCTGTAGGATTTCAGAGATACACTGTTTTTTTAAAAAAGGATAGTGTATATACTTTTAAGTTAAGAAATAACTACATTTTTCTAACACACTATTTTCACGGTTCTTTTGTAAGCCTTCTCTAACCTAGCACCTTCCATGTTTTGGACGACAACTATCACCCTTAATCATGCTGGCTGGGACTTGCAGAAATTGTAGGCCGAAACACTGGAAGAGCACCAGATTATGGAAGGCTGCTTTATGTTGTCCAAAGAAGTTGGCATTATTGGGTAGCACAACTAAATAACACCCAAACCCTTCAGTTTGCTAAATATGTATTATTATACAGAGAAATAGAGGCATATCAGTTTGCCTTGGGTAAAAGGTTGGCTTGACTCTATTTAGGACACAGGTAGTATATTCATGGATTCTAGTTGTGTTATTTTGGGATGTTGCTAACTCCTAAGAAAAAAATGACTATTGTCTACTAGTAAACTGTCTCAACAGGGCCTGGCCAGTTCTTGGCTTTCAAAAGAAATAAAGGAAAAGGGTTTGTAATTGTGGGAGAAATATATTCTTAAAAGCTGCTTTAATGTATCAAATTTAATTCGGTTGCTACAATATAAATTTTTATTTGGATATATAACGATCTAAATAATCGCACAAGAGTATCAAATGAATGTGCTAAACCAGAAATAAGTGGTATTAAATGATCATTGTCACTGCATCAGACAAGCATCTGAGTCCAGAGCTCATTGCGTAACGAATGTGCACATGGAGCTATTATGTATGCAGTCTGCCCTATTCAAGGAGACAGCAGATCCACAGACAGGGATTAGTTGAACTAAATGCTGGAAAGCTCCATGAGCATTTTAGAAATCCAGTGGGTTTCATCCAGAGAAGTCAGCCATGGTTTAGTCCCATTTATTTAAGCAAATGGGACTAAAGTGCAGTTAACTTCATCTGGATCCAAGCTGCCCAGTGCCTCTAAATAAAAAAACCCTGATGATTTTATTTATCTCTGTTACAACTGCCAAAGAAAGAGTAAAACAAAGCTTTGGTGTGATGTAGCCCTCCAGGAAAAGGGAGAAAGGCTGACATTTCACTGGTGTTTGGGCATACTGAATCGAAGCATACAATCCATTAGTGTTTACCTAAACTCCAGTAAATTCAAAAACAAAGAGGTTTCAAGTTAATTATTAGTTACAATGATTAAGGAAAAGTTCACAGTCTCCATGATATTGAAATCCTCTGGGTGACACTGTACTTGAAGTTATAAATATAAAATCAACATACAATGAAGAGGGCCCTTGCTATATAGAAGTGCAAATAATCAAATATATAGATACATATAATATTTAATATTTTGAACTTTTCAAAGGCTGCAATCATTTTGCTAACAAAAATAATATGGGCTTAAATGTTTTTGTACATTCCTCAATTCAAGTATTTTTAAAATATAAGTAGTGAGAATAACAGGTAATAGCACCATATTCTACTGATACAGGGTAAGAGTCTAGTTCACAACCTATGCTTATACCAGTAGCTTTTATACCAAGAAGTCACACTGAGGACAATGGAATAACTTAGATGACTAACAACTGAAGTATTGGTACTATGATCTTAACACATGTTAAATAATGCCATGATCATAATCTTAACTTTTACAACCATTCAGCAACAAAATGGGAAACCTTTAAAGAAAATTGTAACTTTTCTGTTCATTGATTTTGTAGTACTTCACTCTCCCAATGTTCAAACTAATACAAGGAGTAGCTGTAATTAGTACAGAGACTGTCTTGATTCTCTACTCTTTTTCAAAGAGAATGGCACTTCGAAAACTACAGCTTTGAAAAATTAAAAAATTAGTTTCCAAATGACTGATTAAAGGTACCTACAGAAACTGTTTTAAAGAGCACGAGACTACTCACTGCTAAAAAATCAATTAAAAAATTTAAAACTATATAATTTATTTTCACTGATGATTATATTTAAATGAGATGCTACTGGAACATCTGTAATAATTTATGATTATTTGCTGTGTACCAATTCAGGTAGGTAGCAAGGGCACTATCAGAAACCCAGCCTACATACAGGCATCCTGAAATGGAGTTACATCTTTTCCCACAATATGCATTCATTTCAATAGGTTCTTCTAAGTGACATTCCCACTGGATTGTCCTACACCCCTTTTCCCCATCCTCACTGTATTGCCCTTTCCCGTATGTGTTAGAGCAACATTTTTCTTATCAGTTGCCCTAATGCTGAGTGAATATTCTGAGTATTAGTCTAAAGCAGGCTGACTGATGTTTCAGTCTGCTTCTAAATAACTTAGTGGTCAACATCTTTGGAAACTAAAAAGATCCCATCACTTTTTTGCTTTCTTGGCTTTTTTCAGTATATCACACTTTTTTCTATTGGGACGTCTGCATCTTTCATCAATGCTTGGTATACATTCATAATGCCACACTTCATCCATTTTCTCAACAGGATAAACAGCTTCAACATAATGACGGATTAGTCTCAGTCTGACAGGATCGAGCTGCTTTTTGTTACAAGCCCCTGAATGGTTGTATTGCAGTCTGAGGTTATCTGAAGTAAACAGCTCTGGAAAAAGTCTTACAAGAAGTCTGGCAGCAAAGTTACCAACTGAAAGGCTCTGCTGTACTATTTCTCTTACTTCCTTGTCAGACAGCAGATACAGAGAAGGCACAGGAAAGTCTGGAGGAGGAACAACAAGTTCCTCAAGTGGTATCTTGCAAAAATCTTTGTTGCTTCTTTCCGGAGGCAATGGCGGTCCTTCAAATTCTTCTTTAAATCTTTCCGGGTTTATTGCATAGGTCAAAAATTCTCTCCTTTCAGGTCCTGGCACATGGACCTTTCGCTGCAGTTGGTATGTGCGTCTTTGCTCTGTATCTCTTCGACGACATCTTTCATCGAGTTTTCCAACAAATTCCAATGTCCATACTCGATCATTCTTCGCTCTCGGATATAGCATTTGCACATAATGTCGAATTAATTTAATCCTAACAGGATCAAGTTGTTTCTTACCCAGTGATCCACTACAATTATATTGCTTCCTTAAGTTTTCATGGGTAAACAGTTCAGGGAATAAATGAACTAGCAATCGAGAAGCAAAATTGCCAATTGACAAACTGCTCTCATATATGTTCTTAAGCTGCTCCTTGCTTAACAGGTAGTCTGGAATAGGGACATCAAAATCAGGAGAAGGGATATCAAGCTTATCAAAGTCTATAGGCACAAGCCAAATCTTTTTTGACCTTCTGCCTGGCCTTTCATATTCAAAATTATCTTCCACTTTTATAATAGACACATCGTCAGGCAAACTAGAAGAATCATAGCAATCCTCTCTCATCTGTTCACTCTCACTGTCATCCATATACATGCTTTCAAGTTCATCATTTATTCGCTGGACACAATGCTGCAACCAGGCCTTTCTCTCCTGCATAGCAGGAAAATAAATCTCTGTGTACCTGCGAATTACCTGAAGTCGCTGTGGGTCAAGCTCTTGTTTTCCACATTCTCCATAACAACTATATCTCTCGGCCAACTTTCTGTGATCAAAGAGTTCTGGAAACAATCTATGTAATAAAAAGACACAAAACTCTCCAGGAGAGGAAGCTTCATCTAAAAATTCATTTATATCCTGAGCATCAAATACCCATTCAGAGGCAATGGAACTACTCCTGTCCATGGGCAGAGCTTCATCCTCCTCCTTATCATCAATAACTTGATCAGTCTCATAAAAACTGGAGGACTGTATGTCTGGCTGACTATTTTCCATGTCTCTCTGTGCCCAAAAGCTACTGAAAAAGTCATTGACCTGAGGCAAACACTCTGCCTGCCAAACCGCAGGATTCTTCACAGAAGGATAACAGACTTCTACATAATTTCGGATGAGCTGTAGATGAAGGGACTCAAGTTTCTTTTTGTTAAGATAGCCACAGGTACTGCAGGTCCTGCTTAACTCATCCTCACTGAAGAGCTCTGGAAAAAGCTGTACCAGTAGTCGGCAAGCCAAATCTCCACCTGATGTACTCTGATCCATGATCTGTTTGAGTTCTGAGGCAGTCAGCTGGTACTCAGGTGGTGGCCTGAATTCTGCTACAGCATCTGTGGGGCTGACATGCTTTTTAATTCGACTGACTTCTAGTGATAACAAGTCTACTTTGCTGTGAAGCTGAGTCATGTTGGAATTTAAGGTATTAAGTGTGTAAAACATTTTTTGTATCAAAGAATATATATTTGGGTCGGACTCAGAAGCAACAGGTGTGATAGCACTCATATCTCTTTTACGTTGCTCATTCAATGTCCGAAGATTGGAAGGACTGCTAGGATTAACCTTTTCAAACAACTCATAGGAAGTGAACTGCTCTGTTCCTGGCAGACTTTTCTTCTCTGTAATTTTGTGTGAGATCCCATACAGAGGTTTCTTATATGATGGCATGATTGTGTTATTTAAGGCTTCTTCTTCACCGAGCCACGTTATGCTAGGATTCTTGCTCTTGTTTAGCTGTTCCACATCTTCCTGAGTAGGTGATCCATCTCTGTGCATCAAGTTTGAAAGAAGGCCCTTTCAATAAACAAATGTAACAGTATTCAAATTAGTTACTTATTTATCCTTAATGAATAAATTATAAAACATGATTTTCTTAATTTTAAACACTAAATTAATTTAACACAATGCTGCCATAGGGTTGGATCCAGACTATGTTAGTTGCTTCCACCTACGCTATGGGTTGGAAAGGGGATGGAGGAGTTGGAGGGGATGGGAAACTTTCCCTGTGTATTTATTAGGATCCAAACTTTCATGTCTAGGAGCTGCCTAAAATACTCAAATCAATAGCCTTTCCTTAACATCAGAGTTCTGAGAATATTGCAGCTCATATATGCATAAGGATCCCCTACATCAAACTCACTGGCCTGGATTCCAAGTTTGTTCCTGTCAACAGGAGGGAGGGTCATCTTTCACTGATTCCTCATTCCCTCTGTAGACTCTTATGCTCCCTGTCTGGACCAGTGGAAGACTGCAGGGGCAGTGTGAAATCAGGGGAACTGACTACCCCTTCTGCCAAAGAGATCCTCCACTACATCTAAAACCATCAATCTGTGAAAGGCATAGTTAAGATCCAAGCAACAGTACTGTATTTAACTAACAACACCCAGACTGAAAACCTTGCGATGCCCAGATTGGGAACCTTTCACAGCCTACTCACTTTCCACTAGGCACATCTGAAGGAAGAAAACTGTTGTAAGAGAATGTGTGTGCTAAATTATGTAAAATATTTTCTGATAATGCAAGTGGTAAAAGGTAGAGGGACCCCTGACCACTGGGTCCAGTCGCGGACGACTCTGGGGTTGCGGCGCTCATCTCGCTTTATTGGCCGAGGGAGCTGGCATACAGCTTCCGGGTCATGTGGCCAGCATGACTAAGCCGCTTCTGGCTAACCAGAGCAGCGCACAGAAACGCCGTTTACCTTCGCTCCGGAGCGGTACCTATTTATCTACTTGCACTTTGATGTGCTTTTGAACTGCTAGATTGGCAGGAGCAGGGACCGAGCAACGGGAGCTCACCCCATCGCGGGGATTCAAACCGCTGACCTTCTGATCATCAAGCCCTAGGCTCTGTGGTTTAACCCACAGTGCCACCCGCATCTTCCATTTATATGCAAATGGAAGCAATGCCAAAAGAGCTGTAGCTTATAAAGTGTTTACATTTGGAAGAGATCACAAAAGAAAACATTTCAGGCACTATTTTATACCAGCAGTTCACATGATTTGGGTGTCTTCATTAATTCACTATAAGGTGGATATTTTGCAAACATATTTTGCTTTGCAGCAGCAACAGCAACATAAATTTCAATACTAGAATTAAAAAATGAAAGAATTTACACTTTAAAAATCAGAAATATTTTTTCACAGCTTGCTGTAGAAATACTAATTAGTAAAAGGCAAAATATACATATTCAAATACTATCAAGGCAAATAGGCAAGAATTGACTACTCCATCTTAAAAAAATGAAAAACCTCAGCTTTGAGTTATGATCTCACTTTGTAAGCCACCTTGTGAGGGCTTGGCCCTAAGAAGCAAAACAGAAATAACTTAAACCCTAAGCATGCAATCTACGGAATGGAATTGTTTTTTTAGTTCACAGGTTTCTGGTGGAAGGGGAGCCAATTTTCCCTCAGCACCCCCCCCCTCGTAGGCTCCCCACCACACTGTTCTAAAAGGCTCTCCAACTCTCCAGAGCAATTCTTGGGGAACAGAAGGGGCTACAAGCAGGGGGAATCAGTGAAAGTACAAAATATCACCTAGGAAACAGCTCAGAAATAGCTGTTTGGGTTCTGGCTTAACCTTGCTGGACTGAAGTGCAAATGTTTATGTAGACTATTTTAGATGAAATCCAGACAAGAAACCATATTCATCAGTAGCAAGAAAAAAATATGAAATTGGTTGCAACATCAATAAGTCATGAGTTTTTACATGCAATGTCAAATTCACCATTTCCTCAGCTGAATTCACACATCTGTTGAATTTTGCTCTTTAAAAAACAGCCACTGCCTTGTTCCTCAGAAAATCTATTGATCTCTAGGATGCATGTTTTCTCTTTATTTGTTTTTTACTAAATAGTGTGCTTCTTTGCTTTGTTGCAGCCTACAATTTCCATAAAATAAAACACCCAAATGAGTATTTAATATTTCAGAACAAAGATTAACTGGTTTGACTGAATTCATTGAACTGCTTGTCAATCTGAAATGGTTAACTACAAGTCTAAGCAAGATGCTGTTAATATCCATATGTAAAGGAATCACCTCTTGTGTAAGGCCTCTTTTTTTCAGACTTGGTAGAATTTCTTGGTGGCTTCCTGAGCTATCACAACCAAACAAGGTCCGTTTTCGTTTATTGGTGTCTTGCAGAGAAGTCACTAAACCATCCAGCGTGTTTTTTTCAGGTCTTGATATTATGGAGCAATCTAGGACTTCATCTTCTTTGTCTGTTTCTACTTTCATAATATTTTTGATAATAACTGATGAAAGAGAAAAATAGTACCAGTTGGTCATTGACTGGATCTGAATTATATATAGGTAGCTATTCTGGATTCAACAATGGGACACCTCTGGACCATGGGTCAAATTAGTCCCAATGGAGTCCTAATTTGACACATGAGGACATTTCCCCCAAACCACATTGATCTGTCCCACACTTGACTCATATATGACATCAGAGGTGGGGCAGGTAAAGACACGGCTGCAAAGGAACATTTGGGAGCCCCTAAGGTGCTCTCCTGATTATTTCTTGCCATATGAGGCTGGGATTATTGTTTTCAGGGACTGCCTGCATTAAGGAGTTCCTCATTGATAACTCCATAGTGCAGCTGGTCTTTGCCCAAAACAAAGGTTGCTGTAAGCGCTAAATCAGGCACCCCCAAACTTTAGCCCTCCAGATGTTTTGGACTACAATTCCCATCATCCCTGACCACTGGTCCTGTTAGCTAGGGATCATGGGAGTTGTAGGCCAAAACATCTGGAGGGCCGCGGGTTGGGGATGCCTACGCTAAATGGAACTTATAGCAAGCTCCACAGGGAAAACCTTCCTTAGCCTACAGATTTGAAATGGGGAAATTGCTTCATTTAACACCATGATGACATAAAGTGATTGACAGCCACCAACTTGTCAGTGTGACCATGAGGGTTGGTGTGGCAGATCCAGTTCCTCACCTCTACTATAGCTTAAACAGTCACCCCACCTTCTCTTGTTATTAAATACAGTAAACCTAGTTTCACTGCATTCGGAATGAAAGAGTTATATAGCTTCAACGGAATTACAGTGTAAAGAACAAGCCAGAGAAGCGGACAAAACAGGCAGAAGGAAATTAGTGGAAAGCAATGTGTGATAAGATTTTTTCATTTGTTACAGTCTTTGTTATAAAAATGTAATTTTGGTATGGACTATATTCAAAAGTATTTTGATCTAATGAGAAAGTAGATTAAAAGGAATAACATTACCTTCAGCATTTTCTTCATCATCAAACAATTCATCTGAATTCATATTCCGTACTCTACAATAATAGAGATAAAGAAATAAGTAAAAAGCCTATACAGCTTAGGAGAGACAAGTCATGTGTACTGTAAAGCCATCTGCCCAAATCCAGCTTTTCTGGTTTATATTCAGAATGCACTCAAAAAGTTTGCATACAAAAGCTGCCCCCATTTATCTTAGTGTGAGGAACATTGCTGACTATTTATTTATAAAATTTATATGGCTCCCTTCATCCTAGGGTCCTAAGGCAGTTTGCAACAATAAATAAATAAAGCAATAAATAATAAAAAATTAAATTTACAATATAGTAAATAGAAGATCTATAAATTTTGGCAAGCTAGTCTTTAAAAAAGCATAATGGGGAGACAGGTTTAAATGTGATGTTGCACGCAGAGGTAGCTTCAGCTCTTGCTTCTTGATGAACAAGAGTCACCATTGCCAGCTATGGAATAAGGATTTACACTGGGGTTTTTTTTAAGAATGCAGGGAACCATTATGGAACTTCATCAAAATCTGAATGAAGACAGAGGTTATAATGGAATAAGGGATCATAGATCAGCAAAAGAGATGTAGAACATGTTTACTATGTCATGACGACATAGATATTTTTAATATACACGGTACTGAACCCAGCAGAACCTCTCCATTTGAAGAAGGGGCTGGGATTCATGAGAGCTTCCATAAGCTAAAGTTGGGAGGGAGAGTGTAGAGAGGTGATTGACAACAATTCTCCCTTCTTCAGTAGATTCCCAAAACTACCTCACATGTGTGGTATCCCAAACTCAAGAGATTTTGTTGGGGTAGAGGCATGGAGATCAGAGATCTGAAAGTACCCTTTCTGTGAGCACAGCCCAACTCAGGCAACTCTGGATACAACCCATAGTATTTGCTCTGAGCTACTAATGATTTGTTCTAAAAACCAAAACATTGGTTGACTCAGACATAAGTATCAACCTCGCCATGCAAAACCAGTTCTTATTTTTTTCTTTGAGCACCTAAGCCTGAAATCATTTTCCATTAAAAAAGTTGATTTCAGCATTTCACAGAACAATCTTATGCATTTGGAAGTAAGTCTCACTGTGTTCAAGAAGTCTTATGCTCAAACCAGGTAGGGGTGTATAGGATTGAAACCCTAAAAATGATTGGTACAAAAAATGCTCATCTTAAGTTTTTAAGCTTTCAGGACCAATAAATACTAACACACTGAAAATTACTTTACAGTTAAGTATGAAATGAAGCTTTAATTATAATGGCAATAACTTGACAAAGTTAGTAATTAAAGTAATTACTAATAATAATTATTCTTTATTAAGGCAATTTATGGCACACTTTTTAATTAAAAAATCAAATCAGAGTCATTAGATTGTTATTGGATTCTATGTTGGCTTCTAAAGTAGCTGTTCTCTTTGAAGAGCACACCAAATGGGTTAACACCAACAGCAGAAACTAACAAAACATCAAATAGCTGCTGGAGACCATTTAATGCAAGTGGCTTAAATTCCAACTCATTTTGAGCAATTAGCTCTTCATTAGGGAAATGTCAGAAAAAGGACTAGCTCATACCTATTTCAATTATTTGTGTGACTAACTCTGAAAAGAGTCACTAGCCTTCTAACCCCAACACTGTAGGCTCCTTTTAGAGCTACTCATTTAAACTGCAACAGATGCAAGTACCCTGATGAAGAGGTAATTGCAAGAAACACATTAGGATTAATGTCACTTTGATTAATACACTTGTCTCCTGAATTGTTTCTCTTTCTCAAAAGGTAGATCTTGAAATAAAAAATGTCTGCTCAACAGCCAACTAGCAATATCAGATTTTCCCTGTGACATCATAAACCCCTAACTGTGAGGCCTTCTCCTATTCATAAACATGAAGAGATAGTGACAGCATCTGTGTGTGTTTGAAGTATTGTGTTATCTCCACAGTAAGGACCAGCAAGACATAACTGCCCATGTGGTATGCCTGAGGTGGTATGGTGGTGGGTGGGTAGCAGCAAGGACCATATTCTCCAATTTTGTGTTATGCCATGTTATACCATGCTCCCATGGCATTACTGGTTCCCACAGCATGGTCTTAGTGCCCAGTGGTCCAAAAACCTGATCTACACTTTTTCTGCCAACAGAAACAGAGACGTTTCTATTTTTCTATTCACAGAAGTAACCCAATGGGAATGTGTGATGTTCATGTGAGCTCATATATATGGCCAGTTTCTTTCTTCCTCCCCCCCCCTTAAGTTGGCTTTTTTGTGTTCCGTCAGAACAGGCACAAGCGACAGTGAGATCCAGACTGTGGCCAGTCAACCCCATCCTGGATTCTTTTGTTCTATTCTGATTTAAAGTGGGAGTGCAGGCGAAATATGCAAGAAGTATGGTTTAGAACAGTGCTGTATCCATGGTACACTTGTGGCAGCTACTACCTACTTAGGTCATTACCCCACTCATTTCTCTTACAGTATTAGTGGGTGGCATAGAGACGCTGCACCACTCACCTAGCCTCCCTCTGGCTAAGTCGCTGCTGCGTACCAGGATGGAGAGGGACAGCAGCACAACAGCAGTGAGGTCATGCTGGTACAGATGTGTTGGCAGAACCAATCTAGTGCTCCTGCTAGCATGTTTTCACAACCTCACCACCTATCTGTTCCAGAGTGAGGCCAGGCCAGCATCATAGCCCCACTGTGATTATAAAGTCCACTACTGTCTTATAAAGTTAGGTGGCTTTCAGCTTGATCCTATCATGGCTGCTCAGAAGGTTGCCCCACTGAATTCAATGGATCTCATGCCCCACGTTAAGTTGAAATTCCCTCCATAGGGCTGTCTTGTTTACACAGTAAAAGTATATGCAGTTCTACATTAGTGTCTGGCCACTTAGAAAGACAAATTCTACTACGGCAAACAGACCAGTCCAAAGCTATTACTGAGATTTATTGAGAAATTCAATTCCTTGTTTTCTAACCTCCATATCACACTTAATAAATTGTGGCTGTAGTAGCAGATTTCTCAAGGTGGGGGTGTACTTATTTCTACATAGACAACCTTTACATATGTCCTTTTTTTTTTAACTGCAAGAACAATTCTGAGCTGGATATTTAAAGATCAATGAGATTATATAATGTATTTTTCCCCTTTAAATACGCATTCAATCTGAGTACCATGCTAGGAAACTAGACAAAAATATTTGTAATCTATATTTTATTATCAGGATACATGAGACTCACAGTCAGTTTGGTGCCTCTACATCCAGTAAGAGTAACTGCACAAACCAACTTACCATTATAACCTAACTATGTGAGGTAGCCTTAAAATGGCCATGGATCCTTCCCTGACTTCTGGCTGCCAAAGACAATTGTCAGCACTGTCACATTGTTGCCTTACTGTAGGATTACAATGCAACAGTGACTACCCAAATTATTTGTAAGAGTTTAGCTACTTTGCGGGAAAAGGTTTTTATTTTATTATGCAGCAAAATAAGAGCCAATGTGATCTAGCAGATAGTAAAATACTGATATAGGAAAGCAATGAAGACACACCACTACCATAAATTAATGTAGTTTTTGCAAATCACCATCTCCTAGCCTAGCTTTACATTATATATGGGAATTAGGTTGCCCTAACTTACAGGACAGTAGCATCTTTTGCTTTATAAATGATCACCAAATACTAAGCACATGAGCTCAACATTGTAAGGTGTGTGTTAATTTGAATTTACGATATGGTTGTAACAACATCAAGACTGGCACCATCAGATAGTTGCTGGTGGGTGAGCCCAACAGGATTGACCAGGTACTGTAGTGGCAACTGATATTCAACCAAATCCTCTCTGATGTGCTGCCCAGAAGATGAAAGCAAAAAGACAGAGATGGCAGCTACTATTGCAAGCAGCAACCACTCCTACTTTGTTTCCCTGCATGTTCTCTTTCTCTGAGCAGCATGGTGATGTCCAATCCACACAGCAGTGCTCCAAAGAGCCCTGTCTCTACCTGTGACCACTGCCTGGCCAGTCTATAGCTGTAAGCCACTTCCTTGCACACACTTTCTCTCTGGCCAGCATCACCCAAATACCGCCATTCCCTACTATGGCTCCACCCAGAGAGAACAAGTATGTGGATGGCAAGCGGAGGTTGCTCCCAAGCAGGAGGACAGGACTGTTGCTGGGTGCCTTCCTCTCCAAACTCCAGAACTTTTCCCCAAGAGCAGGATGAGTAGTATTCTTTTTTTTTTGCAAGAAGGACTTTTGTATTTGGATGTTGCCTAGAGAAGAGAAAGTGCCGCCTGGAGGAAGAGAACTACGAGCCCCTCCCTAACAACCCAGGGCAGCAGCAGGAGGAAGGTGTTGCCATTCCTGCAGTCATGCAGAAGCCATGCCTGGAAACTGGCCAATAAGACCAGGATCGCACCAGGCGCGCGGGAACTCGCAACGCCCCCTCCCGGCTTTGAAACGCGCGAGGCAGCGCTCGCGAGTCGCGGGGTCACGTGAGCACCCCCTTCCCCCGATCGAATGGAATAAGAAGGCGGCGGGGGGGGGGGGTCCGGGGGAGAGGACGCTTCAATTATCACCCCCGCCTCCCTTTGCCTCGCCAGCCTTAGCACGAAGCGGAGCCCAAATTCCACTGAGGGAAGGGCCGGCAGCGGCGGGCGCTGGGAGGATAGGCCTCGCGGCTGGTCGCGAAAGCGGGTTCCGTTGCCGAGCAGGGAGCCAGGTTTCCAGGCAACAGGAGCCGGCGGTGCGTGTGCGCGCCTCGAGAAGCAGCTGGGGAAAGGGGAGAGCCGGCTGGCCAGGCTGCCCGCTCACCGAAGCGCTTCTTGGGCCAACCCTCTTTTTGGTAGCGTGCCCCGCGGCTCGCGACGGCAGCTTCCGGAATGCTTCCCACCCCCCACCCACCCCGTCCCCGCGCCCTCGCCGCCGCCGTTCTCGAGAGCTGGTCTATGTGGCAGCTGGAAACGGGGGGCACAATATAACACCCAGCTCCCGCGCTGGAGATGGAGGCGCCCGCGCTGCCTGGCCGTTCTCCCGCGCGAGGAACACAGCCATAGTTCTCCCCGAGGGGGAGGGGGCCGGGGAGGCTGAGGAAGGACCGTGTTCCTCCTCCCGAGGCCGAAAGTAGAACTGTGGGGAGGGAGTTGGCACACACGCACACACCTACCTTGGGGAGGGGGGGTTGGGGGGTAAGCTGGTTTTCCTATCTAGAGAAAGTTGGGAAGGGGCTTACCTGGGTCCTTCTTAGGCACTGTGGGGAAAAGAGGGTGAGGGCCCCCCTTGGTCTTGGGTGGGTGTTTTATAAGCGCGGCCGTGGCTGGCTCCCGTGTCTTCCCCTCCCACTTAGCTCTTTGTGTATGTGCGTGTGTGTCCGTGTGCGCGAGAGAGAGGGGGTCCGCGCGCTGCGCTCTCGCGTGACGTGACGGGACCGTGTGTCATTTCCGCACAAGGACACTGAGCCCCGAGGAGCTGCTGCTGCTGCTGCGGCCACCCGGGACAGAGAATGTGCATGCGGGTGGGGGCGGGGAGGAAGAGGAGGTGGGGGAAGGCGGACTGATTAAGTCGGGGCACCACAGCTCGCGCGCGAGGCAGAGAAGGCGGCGGCCCTCTCCGTTCCACACGCGTATTACGCATACCCCTCCCCCCCGCGCGCGCTTCTGAGCCCCGCCCCCTTTCCCCCGTGGCTTTGCCTGGTGGGAGGAGCCGTTAGTTGCAGTCGGGTCGCTCTCGCGCTCCTTCTCTTTGCTCGCCAGCCCGCTAGTTTACACGCTAACGGCCACTCCACAAAAAGCAACGGTTAATAAAACACCCACATTGCCCTCGTGAGGTTTGCCGGGCGCTACCGAAGGTGGAATTTCCGGGCTGCGAGAGGAGGAGAGGCATCTGAATTAATTGTTCAATTTATTTGTCGTCTAATACAGGACCATTCTGGGCGACTTATATAGATAATAAACGTATATATTATATATGGCCCTCTAGTTGGTCATGGAACGAACCAGAGGGGCAGCGACCCTGGAATTAACAGGCCCAGCACCTGCTGCTGCCACTGCTGCAAGATGTACATGTTGAACCGATGGGGAAAACCCATACATCTCAGGTTACATACGCTTCAGGTTATAGACGCCACTAACCCAGAAATAGTGCTTCAGGTTAGGAACTTTGCTTTAGGATGAGAACAGAAATCGTGCTCTGGCGGCGCGGCACCAGCAGGAGGCTCCATTAGCTAAAGTGGTGCTTCAGGTTAAGAACAGTTTCAGGTTAAGAACGGACCTCCCGAACTAATTAAGTACTTAACCTGAGGTACCACTGTACTTAACTAGACAACTTGCAAAACAAAGCAAACCCCTCCATCACAGTCACCTTTGACTTTGAAAGGTTCTCAAAAGTGATTGGAGAAATGCATATTGAGGGACAGAGAAGGTGAATTCTTTCTAGAATGCCTGGGGGCTGTCTTTGGGGTCTCAAATTTCAGCGGCACCCTGCCTCTCAACTTCCATTGTTTATCATAGTTGCAGCGCCCCCAAGGTCCACTGTGACCTAACCAGTCACGCTTCCCTACATCCGCTTCTGGGGCTGTTCAAAATCACAATAATAGTATCTTGGCTAAAACATAGACCACAGATCAGGAATAGTACAGTTTAGGACTAAGGGGATGCCAGCATGCTTCATGAGCATTTTAACTAAGAGAAGATTCACTGAAATTAATGAAGTTAACTTAGTGATGTTCATTAATTTCAGGGGATCTATTCCAAGTAACTTCGTTGAATATCACCCAAGGTTTCCTTTCGAAAATGGAAATATTATCCAAAAGTAAACAGAAGAAACACCATTTCTGACAAATACAAAGCAGACAATAAGGGGTGGAGGTGGGGGAAAAATAATTTGAGGAGCACATTGATAAAAACAGAAAAACACCAACAAAATTATTATTTTTAAATACATTAGAAGCAGACCAGCCCACTGGTTGTTTGGACCTTTGTACAAGGAAGCCAGAGGTTTGGCAAATAAGTGAAAGGAGACTATGGTGAAGCTGAATGTATCTGCGGCGAAACTGAATGTATCCGTTTTCACAATAGAAGATGTAGGGCTGGTCCTTGTGCCTGAACTTTCTCAGGAAAGGAATTGAGTGACTTAACTGTGCTATACTTTGAGCAAACTCTGCTACTAGTGTATCCATGGGTTTTGATAAAAGTGCAGAAAGTTATTCCTAGGCACATTCACATTAGTTTGGACTAACATATGGAAGAAAAATCTGCTAACATCTCTCATATGCATGATGGCTTAATAGTCAAATTGGCTGAATATGACCAGGCAAACTGGTTTGCATATGTTTGGAAAACATAGAGCAGCAAGCACTTTTATGATCACAATGTAAACTTGAGTAAGTCTTGATCTGATTTTGCCTTAAAATAATATACCAATTGGCAGAAATTATTGGCAGAATTCCAACAGCTGTTGCAGTTTCTCTCACCCCTGTGTAACAAACTACCGGCAGGAACGCCGCCTTCCACATGAGAGCTATTCAAGGTAAAGGAATCCCACCTGCCTTTGCACCATTAATCATATATGTAATTAAAGAGTTAAATGATTTGGAACTTAGTTCTGCAGTCTTATTTGCTTACCTGAAATGCTTTACATTATGTTTAGCAAAAACACATTTTAGCAAAAGTGTGCAAACCAGACTCTGCTTCAGAAATGAGAAAACATTTGCCAATTTGAACTCCACCTCATTTCTTACTCTAGAGTGTTGGCCTCAGGCACTGTTCCCATTAGGGGACCCAAGCCCAGAAGGGACCCTGCAGGCCTCAGCTACCCATCCTGGAATGTGAGTATACCGTTCCTCTACCAATTCTGATTGAAAAAGGAATAAAAAGCACTGCAATTTCAAATAGACTATGCATAGTAAGTTTTGCACACTTGTTCATATACGAAACAAAAACATTTGGGTGTGCTTTGCAGTGTTTTCAGTTTACATTTTCATGCCTTTGATTCAGAAGTTACTATTTGATGCTTTTAAGAAACACCTCCCACTTAATTGGGGGGTGTCTGCTTTTCTTCTAGTAATTAAAATTCATGGAAGGAAATGCAAGATTTATGATCTGGAACAAGCAATGGTCCCAAGGACCTTTAGAAGTAGCAGTTTATTTAATCTGAAAGCCTGAGACTGGTACCAATGCAGTCAATAAACTGCAGTCTGCACAGATTTAATAATCTTATTGCAGTAAATGCATGCAAAAACTACCCCATAAGATTAATACTTATATTTCCATTTCCCCTTTATTTAATGTGGGATTGAGTAGCATATTCTTGCTAGGCTTATAGCCTGGATATTGGTGCATAAATGTCAGAATGATTGCGATTTGGTACTGTGACAACAGATCATCTTTCATATACCCTCATTTGCCTCTATCGTAAGAGGCTAGTTATTAGGTCAAGGTGGGGCTGAGCCCTACCAGTATTTTTTCTGCAGGCCAGAATCCAAAACTGTAGCTCAGCAATCCTGCATCACCAACAGGCAGATTCCTAAATTTCCTGTAATTCAGGAGTCTATTCTGTTAAATCTTTTCTGCCAGTCAATCGCTGCTATGGCCAACAAGTTCTACCCTTCACCTTTGTCTCCAGGAGTAAAAGAAAAAAAACAAAACCCCACTGGTTTGTCAAATCCAAATACAGTGGTACCTCAATTAAGTTAAGTACTTAATTCCTTCCAGAGGTCCGTACTTAACCTGAAACTGTTCTTAACCTGAAGCACCACTTTAGCTAATGGGGCCTCCCACTGCCGCTGGAGCACGATTTCTGTTCTCATCCTGAAGCAAAGTTCTTAACCTGAAGCACTATTTCTGGGTTAGCGGAGTCTGTAACCTGAAGTGTATGTAACCTGAGGTACCACTGTACAGCATCCTTTAAATCTCCCCATACATACCAGGATATTCTTATTTGATCCAGCCCCCTTTATTCTAGTTCCTACAGGTGTAGCCTGTTCAGAGATCCAGTTAGCCTGACCCTTATCCAGGACACTCCATTCTATTTCCTATTCCTGCTTTTTAATTCCCTAAAGGTTGTTTTTTGTTTTTGTTTTTTTATGTGGTGCTTCTGCAAATCTTGGTATTTCTGTAAGCCTGCTGATACTGTATGTAGATGGTGTTGTTTTGGCTACTAAAGTATTCACAGATAACTGAATTCACAATTACTTCATATGAGATTATTGTGTTTCTCATCTATTCATGCCCGATGTGCAAGTGCAGGTTGGGCAGCTGATCTTACATAATCGTATACTTGTTGATCCACCATTTCAGGCAGAGATGCTGAAACATCAGGCATAAACATTTAGGATTGGGATGCTAATGCAACAAGTTTAAACTGTATTCTTAAAGCGCTGGTGAACACAGCCTATATATTTCTGTCATCTATGAATAAACTGCTTTATTAGCTAAAACGTGGAGAGTAGATTTGCCAAGACAAAACCACATTTCGGTAACATCCTTTGTTTCAAGCACTTTGTTATGCTGCTGTTGATCATAATGATGCAAACAACGAAGTAATTGTACAAAATTATTGCCACTGATTTACATATGAAATGCACACCTTCCACTGCTGCATGCCAGCATTGTTGAACTAGGTTATAAATAGTGGATGTGGATGTGTGTGTATGTGGCGAGAGAAAATGGTCTCTGATGAGCAAAAGCGAGGAATGAAGTTTTTCAAACCATGTTGAAATTGGGAGATTTTTCACTGAAATCATAGTTCATTTCACATTCATTTTGTAAAAGGAGAGCTGTACAAAAACTCCCACAAGTAAATTTCTCTGTTTCTCAAAATAAAAAACAACGGAATCCTGGAGCTAGGTGAAAAGTAGAGGTCGTTCAGTTTACTGGGGTTTTCTTAATAGTAGCGCAAAGGAGTCTGTTCTGTCAGCACAAGCATTTCTGCTTTCCTGAACAATTTCCCCTCCCCCCAAAGCTGTTCTGGGGGTTCCCCAGACCCTCCAGAGCAGATTTGGGGAGCGCACTAGAGGAGAGGCAAGAAGTCCCAACTTGTGCTGGCTTCCGCTTGGTGGGTCAGAAGCCGCTACTGGGCCACAACCTGATTTAAGTGGTCACAACAGAAGCATTACAAACATACAAATATATTGTTTTAAAAAAGAAGTGCTCCTCAGAGACTTGTTTGTGCTAAAGGTGAGTCGCAGGTCTGAAAAGGTTGAAAACCGCTGGTCTAACTTTGTACTAAAATCCACACCACAAAATAAGTTCCAAATAATTTAGATCAGAGGTAGGCAACTTGTTGTCATTTAATATAGGCAGCAAGGAGATAGAGCAGAGAGAGAGAGAGAGAGAGGGAGAGAGAGAACGAACAACTTGTATATAAAAAGGTAGTTCAGTGAGCCCAATATTGCAAATTTAAGTTAAAAGAGAATCCTGGGTTTAGATAGGTTGAAGTCCATTAAGAAAACCAGTAGTTTTCAAGCTTTCTGCCCAGAGTGAATCTCTTCTTGTATACTTGCCTTCCAAGGACTGTCCTACATATTTGCCATGAAATCTTTGTGTATTTATTGCATTAACATTCTGTGTTCTCTTCTAGTGCACACAGACACTCATTGATCAGTTGCCAGGTTTTCTGCTACTGTAAGAACTATGGGCATGTTTTAGGATGCATTCAGTGTTCTCCTCCAGTCATGCTTAGCAGTGCAGTATCACTAAAAAGTGGGTGAAATTCAGAAAGGTGTGTCCACTGAGGAAACACAAATACATTTTCTAGATACACCCTACAAAATTCCCTATAAAAGTGGTAAACACATGACCTATAACATGGCCTTGTTTTTTTAAAAAACAATAGGTAGCTGGTAGCAAATGCAACTGACAAGCCAGGAGTAGCTTTGGGGGAGTAATGAGGCAGCATTGACAGCTCTCTTGGCCCAAGCTCAGTTTGGGTGTACATAAATGAAAGTGCTAGGCAAATGATAGGGAACTGTCAGGTGACTAGCACATAAGCAAGGAAAGCACTGGTTTCTCTGTAGTAAGGATGTAAAGGATTACTTTAGCATCTTTGGGTCTGACGTACATTTTTCTATTCCACATTTTTGGTTAGGCAAATAACTTTCCTATCATCAAGTTAATACTGCACAGCAAAAATGTTTTCTTAACACCATTATGTTTTTAATAATATTGTTGCCAAAAGGTTGTTAGGAAATAAAATATTCATTTGAAAAACAATAGAGCCTCTAAATTTACCTTCACTAACCTGATGTCATCCCAATGTTTTGGGTTGCAACTCCCATCAGCACACTGCTGTAAGTTTAAAGCACTTGGAGAGACCAGGCTGGTAAAGCCTGCCCTCAACTGTATTAAGAAAAACTTTTTTAAAAAAGTTGGAAGGTTTTCACAGATATTTAATCAAAGGCCAACAATTCTATCATGCACACTTTAAATGATAATGTGTTTTTACCATTTGTCACTGAACCTTTTGATTTAAAAGAAAATATTAGAAGTTTAAAACATGCATTCATTTTATTTTATCGATGAGAGGAATCAACTCTCTTCCATCACAGGCATTTTTTAAAAACACTGATTCAATCCATTATTAAATGGAGGATTCAGAGCTTCATAGAAGTGTAAGAATCTCTTACACATGGGGGAGCCAAAGTACTCTTCTGACTAATGAAAAGGGTTACAGTGATTTTAGACAGTAGTTGAGCAAGAACTTAAGATAATTTGAAGGGAAAAGGTACTATAAAACCTGGGTATGCTATGAGCAACACTAACTTTTCAAAAAACTGAAGGAGGTGGGTCTAATTTGGCTGGTTTGTAAAACTTGCTTCTTCATTTAGATGGCAGGTATTTTTATGCTTCATTAACAGCGCTAGGTTTGACCACAAAGTCAACTACTATACAAACACACCTATAGAAAAAAAATTGAATTGAGGAAGATGTTATGGACAATACATGGAGATTTTCAGTAGAATAAAATGTCTGCAGATTTTTTTTTAGTATTGAAAGATTCTTCATTAATAAATGAAAAATGTGTCATCCTTCTTTCTGCTGTAGAGGTACTGTACATTATTGTTGATATCCTTGAGGACCAGCAAAAAATCTTCATACATGTGATGTGTTACTATTGGAGTCATAAAGTCCTTGTGCCTATCTACTCTTCTCTGTGCAATAAGACACCAGGATCCTCTGCATTTATCAGTGGTAACAGAGGATGTGAAGTCTACAGTGCCCTATATAAGATAAGATGGTAGAAGTTATGTCTGTCTGTGAGGGAAACAAGCTCTCACAGATGTTGAAAACACTGACATATTACAAATGCTGGAATAAATAGTTTGAAGGTTTGTGGCAGTTGTTCTCACTCACCAACACATTCTTAGATTGGAGAAAGTCGCTTTGCAGTGGTAACCAGGGCTTTTCTTCAGCAGGAACTCACTGGAACTCAGTTCCGGCACTTTTCAGGTAGGTGTCATTGCAGGTGTCTCTCTAAGAGAACGAGGGAGGCTTTAATGGTGAGCTGCAACACCTCTGATTCTAAAAAAACAGCACTTACTTGTGGTAACCAAGAATGTATATTTACAAGCAGTAAAAAACTGCATTTTTGTTACCTCTGCAGCTCACAAAACATTCTGCATTAATAAATCAGGTTTTCTTTATATCTCTACACATAAATTATAATTTATCTTAATATTATGTATTGAAAAGTACAGACCAGGAGATTGAGTGGTTTGTGTAAAGTCACTCAGCAATCCTGACAGAACCACCTGAACCTCCTGATCATGTTTCTTGAAAGAGGCTATCTTGAGTTCAAGTGGTGAATTGGGGGGTGGGGTTGTGATTTCTGTGCCTTTAATGTAACAGAAAAGCACTTCTAAAAATCCTATGATTACCTACCAAAGAACTGGAATATTTTTCTAATCACTTAATAGGACCAACCGCTAAAGGATCAAGCCTTTCACTTTTTACTGTCATACTTTATACTGAGAAATGTTAGGTTAAAAAACATACTTAAAGGTACTAAGAACTACCAAGTCAGGTAGCTCCAAATTAAGAAATGCAATATATTTTGTATATGTACACCTCTTGTCAAGGCCTAGTCACAGTCTTCAGTTATTTAAAGTCACATATCATTTTTGTCAGAAGTCAAAACAGCTTTGACTGGAATAGTCTGTAAAAATACATATCATATGCAATTTTACTATAGTGGCTTAAACTGCAATCCTAAACTTTAAAAAGCTGTAGCAAAACCCCCCAGTACATTTTAATATATTGGTATCTGCAGTCTTGCATAGTTCAGGTGGCAATGTTTTTGTTCAGTGCTTCAGTGAAATATCCTGCTAATGCACACACATGAGCTTAATCCCTCAGAAACTTCTGCACAATCCAACAGGTATATCTTCTGTAACTGCCTTATCATTTTGTAGACTTGTTTAATAAGCCACTAGTTGATGTAAAAGGTTTGCTTGCTAGGATGAAGCATCCTTTGCCCATCTAGTAAATATATTGCTTAAGAGTGTGTTGTAGAATTTGGTTGCACCAGAATCAAGGGGAACAATTAAATAGGTGCAATGAAATCATTTGTGGAAAATCATGCACCTCATCCACCATGAAGTTGTTAGACAACTGTGTTAATATAGAACTCACCATCAGATACAATTGTACTTGCATATGTGAGGTTTGGGGTCCAAATTCAGAGCAAACTTTTAGACTTCAGAAATATATTTGCTGGTTATTTTTAAAAGGTGTCATGCAAGCTAAAATGATGTCTAAATCAAGACGCTTGCCAGAAATGCTCAGGTAGATGCCACAATTTAGCCCTTATATAAGTGAGGCTGCACCACTCAGTCCCAAGAGTTCTTGAGCTGTACCGTTTAGAAATAGTTTATTGCATATGTATTGGGTTCCAGCCCATTTTTTTCACTAATGAGATTATAAATACTGGTGATGATAGTTGCCAAGAGCAGGACTCGGTCATTTTCTAGAGTTGTGTTGTAACTTGGCCTTTGAGGGTCCTCATCCCTAACCTAAGCAATAGTCTAGCATGATGCCAATGAGCATAGGTGAGCTTTAGGCTTAAGTGCTGCCTCTCCATTTTTCTTCTCCTCCTCCTCGTGCGGTTGGAAGGAGACAAGTTTGCCATTTCGTCTGAACTGCCAAATGGTGGTTAACATTAAGGGTGGAATTAAACATTGCTATTACAAACGTTCCATCTGTGCATGCATTTCAGCTTGCCAGAGGGAACAATTGCCTTCTTCCCATGTGCTGTTCCGGGGGCTCTCCCGACCTGCCCCCCAGCCAATTTTGGGTGGGTGGGTGGGTGGAAGAGGGGGCAAGTTCCATTGTAGAAGCCCTTACACAGGGGTTCCATTGACAGGGTTTGTTAGGTGAATCCCACCCTAAGTATGGGTTATTTGAAACAAGCCAACTTGAAGCCCTGGTTCTGACATAGTTTCAGCAACAACATTCTCTTTGAAATGGAAAATACATTTATAACCCTGGATGTCCTCTTTTTCCAGACTGAATGTTGTTCAAGAGTATATCAAGAACATAATGGCTTGAGAATTCAACTGGTTTGATCTACATTTTCATCTAATTACAAAACTGAATTACAGTAAGCCAGCAATGTTTTTGTAGTGCTAAAATTTAAGGTATCAAAATACATAAATCATGTTAAGCTTTTTTAAAGTCCTCTGAGAATCACATACTGGCCCATTATATAGAAGGTTTGCGACACTTCACTTTAGTGTGTGTGTGTGTGTGTGTGAAGAAGTTAACTGAAATAACTCCACTTAGTGTTTGAGAGGGAGAGAGCAATGTAATGAAATCTGTTTGCTGTGCTAGCTGTCTCCAGATTGGGCTGTAATTACACCACAGAAGGAAGAAAGGTAGCTGAGTCTCAATCTGGATCATTTATGTAAACTCAGCCTTCTTGTCAACGATGTTCTCAGATTGCAAGCATGCAAACCACAAAAATCATCTCCTATGAACAAAATAGAGACAGTGTCAGATTGCAGGCTTCTGATATACCTTGTATTCTCTCTGTAATTGGACTTTAACATCTGACACAGTAAGGTTAAAAAACTTCTCATGTAATATACATCTATTCAGGGAATGAAATCCTGTACAGAAGGGGGTAGGGGGAGAGAGAAGAACGATCCTTTACTTCTTTATGGCATAGAATTGACACAGAGTTGTATGAAGAAGCATTTATTTGGTGTGAATTAAAACAAAATGTTCAGTAAATCAAGGAAAATGTAGTACCTGTGTTTGCTGAAATAAGTGGCATCTTATACAGAAGGCAAATATATTACCCTGGAAGTTTAAAACCCCACCCACTGAACCAAATTGAAGACTATACAAACAGCACATTCAAAATTATTCTTTTCTGCAGAACGACATAAATATTACAAAGCTCTTACCATACCTGATGCGCGCTCTCAGCAACTCTTTCAAACACACAATGCATTAGGCAAAGGGTAATTTTATATGTAAATACATAACGAAACAGTGTGAGGAGACATAGCGGCATGTAGTCAGATAAAAGATTCCCTCCTTTCCCCTGCTAATTCATCGAGCTGCCCTTCATGTTGATAAATTGGTACATTAATTCTGGTTTTAAACAGCCCTCTCTCTGGCAGATTTAGAAAGCATTTCTCCCGACACCTGCAGCTTCAGGGCCCCCCTCTGTCTTCTCTAGTGCAGGAAAACCACAGGCCACCACACTGGCGCCATCCCTGGCTATGTCCAATCAATAAGGACTTATTTCCTGTCCATTTGCTGAGGTCACAGAAGCGAGTCTCATTAATTATTGCTACCAGTGCAGCCTCAAGTGTGCTTCTGGCATGACAAGTGAAAACTGTTTGACCTTTTTTCCCTAATTTTGTTTGTAGCAGTTCCGAAGGGTATATGTTAGTTTGGGAATGTGGTGAGTGGAACAGAAACACATTTTTTAAAGCCACTGACACATTTAGATGCGGAGCAATGGCAGATCTTGACGCTCTCCACTATTATCTGTTCTGCTCATTAGCGCAAACAAAAAGTGGCTCCTTTTCCCAATTGTAGATCATGAAAATCTTGTCACAGCATAAACAATGTTTTCTAAAGCAGATCTGGCCTCCGAGGGAGGGAAGCACTCCAGAGCCTCCAGTGCTCTGTTTCCATGGTAACGACATAGGTCAATAGCTGAAGTCACACCTTTGCCAGCCTTGATTGCATCTTGCAACTGTGAGAAAACACATGCACAATATCATCAGTTTTGACAGAAATAACTATATGCAGAATGCTAAGAAAACATTATGGATTCTGTATTTTCATGACCTGAGCTTCAAAGGACAGTCTCATTAAATGACTGACAAAAAAATGGAATCTACTATTCGATGAAACAACCCTAATCAATTTAATTGTTCTTTCATTTATTGATAATTCAAGATGCACCTTTCAAAGACTAATGTAACTGCAGCAGAAGGCTCTCAACTAGTCATGTGTACAATTCTTGCCTAATGGGAATAAGCCCAACAAATAAACTTGTACTTATAATAAATTCATTAATATGCATTTTTAACTGAATTTCATCACAAGCAAGTAGATTAATATGTGCATTTACTTTCATGTTGTGCAGACTACAGCACAGTGTATATTGTTCTGTTTACACATTGTAATTTTAATCTGGAGTATAATTTCAAAATATTAATCCACAACCTGTTTCCTTTGGAGTACCAAGAGGCAAACTGGCTGAAGAGTTCAGCCTATCTATGGGGATGACCCACCAAAGCCTGTTATTGTGCAATCTTCTTTCATAGGGGAATCAGATGGGCTTCTAGCTGGTCTAATTTAGATCAGTGGGCACTGTGTGCATTAGAAAACATTTGCTATCAGCAATCATAATTTCATCACTTTAGCACTGCATAACAGAAAAGGAAAAAACAATCTACTGTGGTACCTCGGGTTAAGAACTTAATTCGTTCTGAAGGTCCGTTCTTAACGTGAAACTGTTCTTAACCTGAGGTACCACTTTAGCTAATGGGGCCTCCCGCTGCCGCCGTGCGATTTCTGTTCTCATCCTGAAGCAAAGTTCTTAACCCGAGGTACTATTTCTGGGTTAGCGGACTCTGTAGCCTGAAGCGTCTGTAATCCGAGGTACCACTGTATTTCCGGATTTGTTTACAAGTATGACCAGGCCAAAAGTTAGAGACATTTTAATCCCACTGATTCAACTGGAAAGTGTTAAGAATGTGCTTAACTTTACTGTTGAAATAAGTGAATATAAAATGCTTAATTTCATCTGAATCATGCACTGTATGAACCCTCCGCCTCACTAATGGAGAAGCGCACCATCATCTTGCACTGATGTGATAGGTTGCTTTCCCTAACCTGTCAAGATACAATGGAGGGGATATTTATTTACTATGTTTTATATCATGTCTTTCTCCAAAGAGCTCAAAGTGGCATACATGGTTCCACTCCTCTATTTTATTCTCACAGCAGTTAAATGAGTCAGGCTGAAAGACAATAATGGTTCAACGTCGCTCAGTGAACTTCATGGCTTAGTAGGTATTCAAGCCCGCGTCTCCCACCCAGTCCTAGCTCAGTAGTCTACAATACACGGGTGTACTGCTGTGCATCAGGAGTTATCAGAGTATCAAGTAACACAGGCACAGGAAAACTCCGGCCCTCCAGATGTTTGGGACTACAATTCCCATCATCCCTGACCACTGGTCCTGTTAGCTAGGGATGATGGGAACTGTAGTCCCAAACATCTGGAGGGCCAGAGTTTGCCTATGCCTGAAGTAACATATTTATGCCCTGTGTACTAGGTATTAAATGTGCAGAATATGTGCAAATGGAGAATGTCTCACAGCTCTGTTAGTGAGGCCATGTGTCCCTTATCTACTGAAGCTTTTGCAAAACAGGCAATGCTTCTAAGTTTGTTTACACACCAGTTACCCTGAAGTGACTACTGGGACAGGTTAGAAGAACAAGATGACTCAATTATCCTGCCAGGGCTCCCCGCTACTTAACTCCTCCAACTTTAAATGAACCCCAGGGGAAATGCCCAATTTTGCGCATAATGCTAAGCCAAACAATGACTTACAATGTACAAGCAGAAGTGTGGGTTTCCTAAGCAAAGATTTTGGCTGTTGTGCTCCTCCCCTAGTCCTGCTACTGCTGAGCTGCTTGGAAAGTAAGCCATGGTTTGGCTCAGTGTTATGTCTGAAGCCAGGCGTGTGCTTTTTCTCCCCCAGACAAAGCATGAGCAATAAAGCAAAGAAGAAACGCTGGCTGTAGTTTGTGCTTTGCCTGCAGCAAGACAAATAACACAAGACCTAGTTCAGACATAACTTTAAGTCAAACCATGGTTTAGTCTTGGGTAGCGCAGCAACAGAAGGACCAGGGGAGCAGCTGTAGTCTTCACTCTGAGAATCCACACATTTGCTTGTTCATACTTAGTCATGGTTTGGCTTAGCATTATGTGTGAACTGGGTCTATGAAACCATAACTGATAATTATATGATCATTACATATGGAAGCTCTTAGAAACATTGAACACACATTCCTGTTGAAGGGTATATATAAAATTAAAAGGCAGGAAATAAAAAATTCCTGCAAGTAAAAAAATTACTCTAAATGACATGAAAGTAACTTGAGAACTAGAAGCTGGCTGCAAGATCCATCTATTTTATGTAGGCAATTACACTTATATATAATGAATGGTTGTTCTTATCTAAACATGTAACTTAAGTGAATTAATTATGTATATTTGAGGATGAACTCAATTCTTAGCAAGGCATGGTACTTTAGTGCTCATGTCCCCATTCATAAAAAAATTATTTCCCACATTACTTAGCAGTATACTTCAGGGGAAAATAGGTTTTTATGATATGCATGTACAGTGCAACATTAATTAAGCATTTCTTTTAGAGCCAACCACACTATACAGGATGGAACAAAGTAAGTGGAGCAAGGTAAGAACAGAAACTTAATACTGCAAATGTGTGTTTGTTTTTATGCACATTTCTGATATTAGCAGGTGCTCCAATTGTGCAGCAAGCTGCTGATGTTTTGCTGAAGGTAAAAGGACATAAATTATTCTCTCAAATGGTGGACAGGTTAGAGAGATTGCTTTTAAAGAGGTGGTAGGCAATCATCACAGATGAATCCTTTAGAAATGGTCATATTCAGAAGGGAAGCTAAGGGCCAGCTACAGATCTTGTAACTCAATGTTCCTTAGAAACTTGAGATATTCTGTTCCGTAATGGCTCTCTCTAAATGTCCTTGAACTGAGATACGTTGTACTTTTATCTATTTATTTATATCCTGCCTCATTTTTAAATAACCCAAGATTGCTGACATAAGGCAGTGGAATACAATAAAAAACTAAAATCAACTAGACTAAGATAGCAGCATAAAAGTGTAATGACAGCTGTCCACTAAGTCATGACTAAAATCAAACTCCTCAAGATGCTTGCCTAAAGAGGAAAGTGAGAAAATTGTTTGCCAGAGAGAGCAAAGAGGTGTTCCATGTACTGCTTGCATTGGCCCCACCCACCACAAGCTCATATTGCCCACTACTGTCAGCCCCACACAGGTGACCCACAAGGAAATGCAACCCTCACAGAAAAAGAGATCCCTCACCCCTGCTCTGAAGCCCAATTCCTCATTTCACGTAGCCTTTCTGCAACTCTGCATGGTCAATAACTATTCTGGGGGTTCCCTTATTTGCTGCATAGAATATATTTTCCATTTCTGAATGTATTTTTTTTCAAACTTGTGAGGTGGGGGTACTGATTCCTATCAAAGTGTTTAGGAGGTTTTGAAGAGAATTTCAGAGCACTGCTGAGGAAGGCCTTCTGATTCTCTTTAGGTTCCACCACAGAGGATACTTCAAGCAGGGGCTCCTGTAGTATTTACCCAAACTCTGAAAAGGACAGCAAAGACGAACAGCTAGTTCTCCTTCCCTTTGCAAATCTATTCCTCCCCGCCCCACCACAACTTTCACTCATCAGCACTATTTCATTTAGCGCTCCAAAGCATTTCCCCATTACCATACCTGAATACCTGAATCACCAGGGCAAATATATTCCAGCCTTGGCACCTATGAAACTCAGCAAAGCAAACCCCACACAGGAACAATCTATCAAATGCACTCACTGCATTCCAGCCATCCACAGCTTCCCATGCAACCACTTCACACTCCATACATAAAACCCCACAGCCCAAGCATCCCAGTAAGTCTCCCTGCTCCTACTGGGAATTCCCTGTCTCACTCACAACCTGCTTTTCACTTTCTATACATAAAACTGGCTGTCCTTTTCTTACAAGGCATCCTATATTTAACCTCATAACTTGCTAAAAAAAGAGAAGAAGAAAACTTAAATTGATTTGTGGTCAAGGAACTAACTAATGCATTAAGTGTTTGCCATGTTATGTACTGGATTTTCTAAATTTGTTTTCTCCTGTGAGGAACCATCTACTTTGCTAAGTGCTGATATTTAGACTACCAAAATGTTACCTTGAGATAGAGCCAATACATTTTGTAGCTAAGAGGTTTACTTTCCCCCATTACTGTTGGAATGCTTCATAATTAGTTGCTATAGATCAGATTGGTGTTTATGGCTCTACACATTCAACTTTCCTCTTTTTAAATGGCAGCTGGACAGTCATTAATTTTAACTGCTATATTTTATCTATCTTTTTTGGGTATACTATGATGCCGTTCTTCATGGCAACACATAGAACTGCACTGATATTCTAACCTGATGAGTCTTCAAGCAACCTAACTTTTGTATTATAATGCAAAGTTCCTGAGCAAATTATACCCACCATCTTCACATTGCTCACAAGATGCGAAACTAGAAAATTTAAATGCTAAAGAAGGAAGTTTCAGTAAGATTGGGTTTTTTCTTTAAAATATATGACGGTGCCAATCAGAAAAATATATTAATCTCTTCGTATAAAACTCTCATAGCAATACATTTATTTTTTAAAAAGCATTGTTTCATATACAGAGGGTTATACTGATGTACATAATTCTGTGATACCCAAAAGGCCTTTCAGGAGGGTGCTTAGATAAGCCATCTGCTACATTGGCTGCATAAGTTATAGTGTTTATCATCTGGCAGCTCAGATGCAGATAACTGTATTATGGAATATAAAGATCTGACTCCTCAAAAGAATAGTTTTGGAATAGGCTTTTTAGATATCAAAAAGGCTACTGATGTTTGTTATTATCAAATATCTGCCTTCAGTAGTCACCTGCACAAATGCTTCCCTGATTTGAATTATGCAAGGAACTCGTTTTTAGCTTTACAATAAATTATAGCATCATGTATGAGATTAGCAGCATGAAACCAGTCAAGACACACAAAACTAGGTTGCAGTGCTCTGTGAAGAATAATCTTGCTTTGCCTTTTCCAAGCAAGTCAAAACAGAGAGATTGACTGCTATTCTAGTCCTCAAACAATGCCTTGCCAATACAAAATAGACATTTGCGACATACACCCCAGGCATACAGTGGTGATTTTTGTTGTTGTTAGGAGGCTTTTTTTGAGTGGGAGGGCTACATTGTGGTGTGAGGAATGTGCTAACTACAGTGCAAAATTTTAAATGACGGAAGGAGAGATATATGGCAGAGTCTGAGAGATCTGGACTCTAGTTGGGACTCTAGCAAATGTCACACAAGCATGCACACAAGAATTATTAGCTGTTTCCTTAAATATGACTATATCCAGCTGTGCTGTCCCTTCTGATGTCTTATCAGGAGAAAGTATCAACAGGAGCTGCTGCAGTGGACATTCTCTTCTTCAAAGGAGGGATTTCTAGCACTGATCCAAATTCACATGCATCTAACCCCAATGGTCCTCTTCTAATGCTTCTTTAGTCACTGAGTACTGAGGGAAATGACTTTCCCCCCTCTCTGGAACAAGTCGTCTATAATCATCATACTGGATCAATAATTTGTCTGCGTGTGATATCCATACTCCAGAATACAGGACTGAAGTATAAACAGACTGATTAACTACTTGTGAGCAAATGACTGTAGTAGCTGAAATGGGCATTTTGAAATAATGGAATACTGGGATGGGGGTACTATTTTAGAATACAAGCACTTATTGGCAACACTGGCATCGTATTTTGTATGCATATACCAGCATTTATTGTATCATAATTGCAGTGGGCTACTATGCAAGACCATTTTTTTTGGTTGAAAAGCAAGATGAAAATAATTAACAAATAAAATAAAGGAAATGATGAGATCTACTCCATCATGCATAAGATGTTACTGGGCCAACTAAACACTGCATACACATGCACAGACTTGACTAAAGCCATTTTATCGAGAGAGAGAGAGAGAGAGAGATGGAACTTCTAAAAATAAGGCATGGTTTTTAAGCATTTACTTACCTTTGTATAGTCTATTAAGTTTCCTTTAACTTGAGCCTGAAACAACACAAGGATAAAAGTTAAAATCTGTTTTATTGTCTAAGGTATTATAATTCTGAGACTGCATGCTTCAAAATTTGTGTCATTGTCTATGAGATTATAATTCTGAGACTGCAGATTTCAAACTAAACAATGGAAAACAAACATATTTCATCTAAAATAAGACACACAGATGGGCTATCGAAGGCAGTTGCAGAGAGAATGCCAAGCGCACCAGTGAACTGGTTCAATCAACTGTTATTCTAGTTCAGCCTTTCTCAACCAGGTACTCTTCAGTTTTTTTAGACCATTTTGGCCATTGGCTATGCTTGCTGGGGCTGAGGGAACTTATAGTCCACGACGTCTGGAGGGCACCAGGCTGGGGATGCCTGTATTGACTGAACTGTTTCCTGTGCCTGTGAGAAAAGGGCTTCTCTGTGATGACTGTGTGGAAGAATTATAAGGAACTAAGTCTGCAGTCATAACCCTGCTTAGTTGGGAGTAAGCTGCACTGAATTCAATAAAGCATACACTGACCAAAGAACGTATTCATTAGAATAGATATGGATTTGTATCAAGATAGCAGCTTGAGAAGGGATAACAATCACAACATCAGAGAGCATATCAAAGCTAGTAGGCCTAAAATTAGTCCATCCAGCTGTGTTTTGAGTTGTAATCATATATGCATGAGCAGTTCCTTCCCTCTGCCTTCTCTTTGCTCTGTGCTTAGAAGTAATTAGTTGTTGAAAAACTAAAACTGTTATTTTATTTGTTTTAGTGACAGATAATGCTTGCATGTTTTAATAAAATCCCTACAGAATACAAAGCAGAGCAGTGTCAGGCTCAGTGGTGTCTAATACTACGAATTTTGATAATCTTGTTCCCTTAAGTGTCATAGTATTTTTATTGTAATCTTCATTTCTTGGTACCAACACTTTATTTTTATTGAATTTAAGTTGTAAATACACAGAAGCAGAATAATATTTTCATTTTATGCATGTTGGTTTGGTACCCATATGTTGGACGAATACACAGACACTTATGCCACATTCACTTGTATCACTGAATGGCAAAATCCGATGTTATACTAAAAACACAGTTTAGTGTGACAGGAACAAGAAAAACGTATGTGTTCCCCACCTCTCCTAGGCATGGCTGTGTAAAAGTTTGAAAGCTTTTGCTTCCCACTGTGCTTAACAGTGATTTGACATTTTGTCTGAACTAACAAACTATGATTAATGCTAACTATGGTTTGGGACTCATTCCAAACAAACCATAGTTTAACACTAAGAAGTTTGTTGGTCTGGGCAAAGCAACAACTTGTGGTTAAACACAAACAGAAGCTAAAGCTTTTGAACTTCTTGTGGCTTCAAGCAGAAGAAAAGAGAGATTCACATGAGCTAGAGACTCGTTCCTCTTGTGCTAAGCAAATGATGACTAAATAAGACTAAATATATGAACAGTGCTATTTGCCTACCTCTTCAATCTGCTTAATCCAGGCTTCTCTTCCAATGAGATCTTGATGCAAGACTACAGGAGCAGAATTTAAACTGAAGGCCACAGAATCATTAGAACTTTCATTCAAAAATGGCTGAATGTCGACATTTAGCTGTAAGAAGGAGGATCAAAATAGTTTGTAAAATAAAAGTAGTTCTTCACAGCTAATCCACTTCATCAGTGACTGACATCCCACGTGTGTGCAGAGTCTTATATATATTTTGTATGCTTGGCCATACAAAAATCCTTCAACCAACACACACTATTAAGGATTTATCAGGCTATTCCTGCCCCGTTGGTTCAAATCCAATTAATATTACCAGAGTCTCCAACTACAGTACAGTTTTTTAAGCATATTGGAAGATTCTGTGTCTGTGCATGTGCATACAAATGCCCTGTACTGTGGGAACTCTGTCAGAGCGTGCCAAACTACCACAAGTGTGTGCCAAATTCAGCACTTTACTTTCCAAATAGGAGCTAACATTATTTGATAATAAGGGAGAAAGAAGTACAACTGCAGATACCAGAGTTAGGGGTTTAAGACTGCTCCCTGACTCTGGTAACCCAACCATTAAGAATGCGGCCTGCTCCTATGTGCACAACCCTACCCTGAGTTGTTTCTTGGTCATGCTTGTGACCTAGCTTTTTACAATGCAATGTTATGAAAGGAAAAATGACACACTACTGGTGCAAAACTCGGGCATGCTTAAATCCCAGTGAAATCAACAGAACATTTGTTGTGGGGGAGGAAGGGAAAGGAGATTGTGAGCCGCTTTGAGACTCCTGAAGGGGTGTGAAAGGCGGGATATCAAGTCCAAACTCTTCTTCTTCTTCTTCTTCAATAGTAGAATTAGCTCTTCAGGGTTCTTTCAGTGTGCACCATTAAAATCAGTTCAGCTGGCTGGCACACACAAGAAATTGGGACTTCTGTGTGATGGCCCCAAAACTATGAAACTTCCTGTTGACTTGTTCCTTGCCCCACCTGTACAGGTGCTTAGGCAAGCGTGGAATACTTTCCTCTTCAGTGCTACCTTTAACTGAGGCTGTAATTAGTTTGGGTGTTATGCAGCAATTTCTTAATTATTCTGAGCCCCCTCTTCTCCCCTGCATGCTGTTCTCCTTACCATGCAGGCACAGAATTGGGGGGGAAGCCCTATTGTATACATGGATGTCCACTGATGGGGGCTGGTTAAGTGAATAGCTTTTATGCCTACAATTTACGTGTGTGTGTGTGTGTGTGTGTGTGTATATGTGTGTGTGTGTGTGTGTGTGTGTGTGTGTATGTGTATATATATATATATATATATATCAGCAGCAGCAACCAAAACCTGCACCTGCTGACTACAAAGCTACGACGGAAAGAAAAGATACGTATGGTTCTTGTTCATTATATCAGCTTTTCAGCTACTGCAGTAAAAGGAAGGGCATACCTTATGACTCATAGACATGTGCTTTCCATACTTAAATGCCATATTCTGGATCCTTGCATCATGTTTTGCCAATTCCATTGCAGCTTGGCAGCTTTTTGCCAGCAAGGCACTATGGGATAGGAAAACTTGCTCCTTCCACGTTGATATCCCAATGTCATCTGTGAGACCATTTCCCTAGAAATGCAAGAAAGAGTGAGTAGAATATGCTCCATATCGAGGTATTATTAAACACAACAGTGAAACCATCTACTCTACATGAGACCTTCATATGGCAGGTGAAGCAGTACATTCTGCAGTCATCTTCCATCTTAAGAAGTTGATGGAAATTATAGAAACCAAAAGATTTGAACAACTTTTAGCTTTTATATTATTTATGCACATGCTATTGGTGCCCATTATTAACTGAATATATTTTCTTTCACAACTGATTCCATTTAACCCACAAACCAAATGTGATTTCTTTATATATCTGTATATTTGAATTATAAAGTCATTGTATTTTAACCACCAGCAACTAATTACCAACCTGCTAATCTAAGTTTATGTAATGAAATGAACGTTTTACCCAACAGCAACATAAAAATTAAAAGCAAAAGATTTGCAAAAGTGACTCTGGAACTATGACTGCGAAAAAGCAGCCGTGGAGGCAGGGAGTTAGAGAAGTAGTGAGTGGAGGAAGGATTAAGCAACTCTCTTATCAGTGACTCTCCTCTTGCAATCCTTTGTTTTCCAGAGGAGAAGGAATTGCTGGATCTTCAAGACACAGAAATTAGGCTGCCTTAATTTCATTGGCCCACCAGCTACTTAAAAAAGCAAGTCTCTAGCCCTGCTAGAATGGGATGCAGGTGGCGCTGTGGGTTAAACCACAGAGCCTAGGACTTGCCGATCAGAAGGTTGCTGGTTCGAATTCCCGTGACGGGGTGAGCTCCCGTTGCTCGGTCCCTGCTCCTGCCAACCTAGCAGTTCAAAAGCATGTCAAAGTGCAAGTAGAAAAATAGGTACCACTCTGGCGGGAAGGTAAACAGTGTTTCTGTGCGCTGCTCTGGTTCGCCAGAGGCGGCTTAGTCATGCTAGCCACATGAACCAGAAGCTGTATGCTGGCTCCCTCAGCCAATAAAGCGAGATGAGCGCCACAACCCCAGAGTCGGTCACAACTGGACCTAATGGTCAGGGGTCCCTTTATCTTTACCTTTTAGGCCTGCTAGATAGAAAGTTATGGGGCAAAATGTGCAGATACATTCAAAGCAACTGCTGTGTAATGAGAGTAGTGTTGCTACCTTGTCTATTTTCCAGGTACTAAGGAATGCTCCTGACAGGAACAGCACTAGTGTGTGCATGCCCATGTGGGGGTGGCGGGTAGAAGAAAGAGATCTCCATAATCAGGACCAGCAAATCAAAGCTGTCTTCCCAGCATAGCATAAACATAAATTTGTCAGGAGTGGTTTTCTTTCTAATTTTGCATTATGCCATGCTCCCCATGGCAGCCACCCCCATCCATTTTGTGAACCAAAGAATTCTCCTTTTTTTGTGGAGGGAGGAACTTTACGTAAGATAGCACCATTGTCCTTTTGTGACTTGTCTTCCTTGTCTCTTAGCCACCTTGAAGAGGATAAGAAATTTAAGGCTGTAACATGGATAAACGGCTACAAGGTTACTAAAACTTAGGATGCATTTTGTCATTGCCTTGAGGTTGAACCAGAAGGTGGATTTAAAAAATCCAAACAAAAAAAGGGATTGTAGAAAAAGACCTATGTCATCTAAACAATCCTGTTCCTGTCAATTTCTTCAATTAAATTACTTAGAAACAAGTAAGAACTAAATCTGCATGACACCATAATTTTCTAGCAAGGTATTATCTGTCATGAAATTGGTAACAAATGAAATAAAATCCCTCCATTCAGCTCTAATCTTCCTCCCTTGTGGCTATTGCCAAGGAGTGCTGGGTTGCAAGGGAGGAGATAATATGAGACTGATGGGAAAAGTAGTACAATTCTGCAAAGCCAACTTACTGAACATTGTATCAAAATTCATTGCTTTCAAATACACCATTAACTTGCATGAAGGAGGGGGGGAGGAAGGGGGGAGAGAGAAGAAGGCAAGAGAAACCACATGTTTATAGCTATATATGTGATGACAAAATCAAGATGAAAACTTCAGCTATGTCTCATCTGACAGTTGTGTTTACTAAAACAACATTTGTTTTGCAAATTTTCTGGATTTCCAGAATGACAAGGAGAGATAAGAAAAGGCACCCAAACAAGTCCAGTTATTTGGCCACTGTCATTCTATTCAAAATAAGCTCCAAAGATGAAATGTTGAAGAACTGGTGACTGCATTTGGGACCAAACTTCCTCAAATTAAAAGAAGAAGAAAAAAAAGCTAAAAGCATGATGGACAATTAACATGATAGCCAGCTCAGAAATGTGATTTAGTATTATTCCACTTAAATTCCACTAAATCCCAGCCCTCATTAATGCAGAGATAAGAAGCATAAAATTAGTATATATATATATAAAAAACCTACAAAGGAACCTGACAGGGATGGGTTGAAGGGAGCTCACTGGTTCTCAAGCGAGGTACACATTTATTTTCAATTTCTACATTTATATCTATGCTATGACTTATTTGGGCAACCTAAGCAAGGCCAGCAGACTAAATATGAGCAATCTGCAGTTTTATTGAAAGGCTGTGGCTTCCAAAATACAAAGAACAATGGGTGCAAATCTACCAAGCACAGCTTCGTTCAGAACAAATCATTTCAATGGGGCTCCTGCCTAAGTAGCCCCTCTCTCTAGTGGAATGTATATTTTCACATGATGCCACATTTGGTCAAACACCTGCACCAGTGCATCAGTCTGGAATGCCAGCACAAGGGCAATACTAGCACAGCGGTTGGGACGCTCTATCCTGAGCATCCTTTGCTAACAAAGGCAACTTTAAGATTGTGCCACAAGTTTATATGACTTGATTTTTCAAATGATAAGTAGCAATGATAATACACAACACAAATCATTCGTTTTTACATAAAATACCTAAAATGTTCATGTTGCTCTGTGTTTCATCTTATTTCTTTTGGTGAGGTTTGTGAAATTAAAAACTAGCAACAGATTTGGGAACCGCAGTTATAACAACCTCTGTATGCTTGAGTTTTTAAAATAGCCTACTGGAGTAAAAGGCCATTCATCCCAAATGCCATTGCTGGGTATGGAACACTCACCCCCCCCCCCCAGCCTGGGGAGGCAATGAAAAGGTTCTGTCAACAGAGACCTGTGCATGCACACACATACAAGAGCTTGAAGCCACTTTCTCTCAGTGAAATCTTACACCAGTGTTTGTTGCAAGAGAGATTTAGACAGGTGGGGCAAACAACTTGAGAGAAGATGCTGATCTATGTGATCAGCACCCTTCCTCTTCGCAAAGTGATAGCTGGTTGTAAAAGACCAATGTGATTAGTCAGTCTGAATGATTGCTTAATTCATGCATGTACACACCCAGCTGTGGGACCGCACATGAGGAAGCGGCGTGAGTGGAATAATTTATAATGGATGGTGCTACTTTCCAGTGCTGGCCTATGCAAAACCTACTCATAATCTGCAGAGACCTCTTACAGAGTACTATATGGATCCTAAGCACATTATTTAGAAATAAATTCCATTGGAAATTCTTTCTACAAAATGCATTTAGAAATGGAGAGCATGGCTGACTTTCCCCGGAATCCATGTTAAGTATATTGCGGCAACTCCGACACTTCAGAGTTACGTTATCAAACCACATACCCTATTTCAAAGATGAAAGAAAGAAAGAGAAAGGCAGAAAGAAAGATATTCCAACTGGGGTGGGGAACTCACGGGGTACATTTTTGGCTACCAGGAAGGATTTTTAAAAGGTGGCAGTATGATGGCAAAGAGCATAAAAGAGCATTCTAAAATGTAATCTAAATATATGTTTAAGTCATAGCCAACATGGTCTCATTCGGATTAAATCTTGGAACAAGGGTTTAGAAGAGATGTGGGGAACCTGCAGCCTGTGGGCCAGGAGGGTTAACATCACTCCACCCAACTTTTCCCCATACCATCATCAGCTGGTGAACTCACTGCTGACACACCAAACTACTCCCTTTTGCAAAGAGGTTTCAGACACCCTCATCCCATCTGAGCCTCAAACAGGGATGTATAGGATATCTGAAAGCATTTCACTGGGAAGGGAACTAAAAAGCTGCCCTTTGAAAGCACTGCCTACATACAGGACTTTCCCCTTTTATAAAAGGCTTACACACACACACACACACACACACACACTTTTGAGCCACAGGAGCATGGGGTCTGTTGAAAACTGTTTGCAAGCAGCAAAAGTGTTTCCACACCTCTCTGCACCTGCTTTGAAGACCCAGCAACTGGAACTTCAGTATGTGATGTCAGTTGATTGACAGGTGGATGGCCTCACCCACTTGTCAAATTTGCCAGGAAGTGGAGAGATAAGCATCTGGCCCAATGGCCAGATAAGGTTTCCCTCCCCTTGTTTAGGACCTGGGAGCAGGGAAGGGTGGAGTGGCTCTTACTGCCTCTATTTCTCAACTTCTATTTAACTCCTTTACTTGGTTTTGTGATGCGTTACGGCTGCTAAGCCTACTTAAAATGAATCTAGGTATGCTGCTAAGATCACTTGGATATCCCTGATTAAAACCCACAGCTTACTCATGATCTTTAATCATGGCTTGCAATACTTGCCAACAATTCACAACAGTTAGTTACTGTCAGCTGGAGATAACTTTAAATATTTACGTATCCCAGTTTCATGTGCCTTCATAATCCCAACCCAACTATCTTAATTTATCCCAGTGAAATGCAACTACTGGGACTCATATGCAATTATATTATTCTCTTCAAGGCTACAGAGAAAAAGGTACAATTCTTCGAGGACTTCAAAAATGAAAAGCATGGACTGCTATATTCCTACATTTTAATTCTGATAAACTGCAGTGTGTCGGATGTACCACTTGGCACTATAAACGTCAGTTAAATCTAAATCAGAACAATGCACAGACTTTAAAAATTGCCATTTGGATCACTCACTGTTTCAGCTATAAGTGAGATGATTCAACAATCTTTATTTTCCCATCTGTGTAGGAAAGAAGCCAATAAAATTATGAGTCTTCAGCAGCAACAACACAGTTACCCTGCAAGCATCTTGCATGTGATTGATGTCTCACTTAGCAGATGTCTTACTGCTTGTTGAACATGACAGGACATATTTTATTGGTCTATTAATACATGCCTTTGATGTTTGTGATGAAAAGGGGCTAGAGTAAATGGGTCCATAAAACACACCCCGGAGTGCCTTAATCCTTTTATTTTACTCAAATTCCAGAGAAAACCATTTTTAAATTAAAAGACGGACCTGTCCGTCCATTGCAGAATGCACCTTAAAGAGCAGAATATACCCAAAGGAGGGAGGTAAATGAAATGGGAGTAAATTGTTTCCTTGCTACAATGTTATTTAGGGATGTACTTCAGTTCAGATGTGCCTTCCCTTAAGGATCACATGCTCATTGCTTCTTGAACTCCATCATTAGAAGCACTCCACCACCCCATCGTCCTCCTCCTTTGTCTTTCTTGCAAGGGGATTGGAGCGTGACTGAAACTATCGTCTTATTGGGCCTTCAGAAGAATCCGAAACCAGGTGAAAAAGCAGCCAGGGCTATTTGGGAGCATGGCCACTATGAAAAAGAAACACTGATGACTAAAAAGAAATAGGGACATCCTGAAGCCACACCTGATGCAGCTGTTTCTAGGCAGGGCTAGCCTTGCATTTCAAAAGTGTTCCAATAGCCATGAGGTGGCCAGTAATTCCATGCAGGCAAGTGGGCAGGTGGAGGAGGGACGGATCTCTCCATCCCTTCCATGGCAGTCTACTTGGTTTCCATGCTAGCCGTGGAGGAAGAAAAGTCCCTTCCTCTGTGACCAGCATAAAAATGAAGCAAGCTGGCAGAGGAAGGATGGATTGCTCGCTCTCTCCTCTGCCAGTCTGCTTGATAGATAGTTGTTCTTTTTTAGTAGTGTGTTAACATGCTAGCAGTCTGCATTTCCATGCTGGCTGCAGAATTGGAGGCGGGGGCCTTCATTTGCAGTCAGCATAGACACAGAAGCTACTAGGCTCTTAGCAGGCTAGTCATACATTTTGCAGGCTAGTGACTTCTGTGAGCTTATCTACAAGCCTTGACTATATTTCTCCCCCACAAATTACATATAACATGTCAGAGAAAATTCAACGGGAGATAACATACTATTACATTTGGAAAAGATTTCAGACATTTGATTCACCTACCTACTACCTGAAATGGTACAACCCAATAACTGAAATATCATGAGGAGTTTCTAATTTAATTCAGTTTGTTCTGTCAGACTCACACACCACCTTTTTTAAAGTGGGAGGGAAAGAGTGATTTATGCACACACTCTGAGTTTTGTAATTATAGGAACTTACGTTTTCCAAGTTTGAATTTTCATAATATATCCCTTGTATTAATTCACCAATGGCACTTGACATGATCTCTACCACCTGAAAGGGAAAAAAAGAAATAATTGTTTTAAGTGGGTTGATTAATTACAGATATGGTAGAGTGCACCAAACTGAAAGAGCAAAGGAAACATTAATAAAAGAGAATCTCTAAGTTGGAGCCTTGTGCTTAGCATTTCCTCTTCCCACTACATTTCAAGTTAATGTAAACAAAAGCAAAATAATATATATTTTAAAGTATAAATTAAATAAGCTGCCAGTTATGTACACATTGCAAGATCCTCTGGAAATTGTTACAAACTCAAAAATTTATACCCACTGCAAAAAAGTCAAAGAGTCCATAAGCAGTTCTTTATTATTCATTTTCATGCATTGGAAACATACTGTAGTTGTATTAAGTGTCTGCCCTGAGGGTCAACAGCAACACATGTATTGAAACTTTCACCAACATGCAGCTGTTCATATGATATTTAGAAAACTATTATCTTTAGGGTTCTCAGTTGTTCACATTAAAAAGCTGAATCAAATCCAAAATTTAAAAACCAGCCATAGTCTCACTGGAACTACTGAAACTCCCTTAACTGGAACAATATACCAGAATTTACTGTAATATATTCAATGCAGGCGTATCAAGTAGGCACACCTTAAGGCTATCCTGCCTGCTCACAGGTTTACTCTCTTCGGTGATTAATTTCCTATGTATATAGAGCTGTATCAGATTCCCCATCTCCCTTTCCTAAAATTTAGCCCATTTGTTATTGAATTAAAAAGATTTAGTTTCAGTTTTTATCATTCTTGTAACTGAAGACAGCATGGTCAACAATAAAGTCCCCAAAAGCAACACAAATAAACCCCTTAACATTCTTGCTGATCCTTCTTATTGTTTTATTTGCAAACCTCCACCAGCCTTACTATATTTAGACAGCAATCCTATGTACATTTGTCTGGAAGTTAGCATTATGGAACAGAACGGGATTTACTTCCAAGTAAGCATGCACAGATTGCACTCTTAGCCTCTTGCACAAACCTATGTACACACTTAGGCAAACAGTACCAATTAAATCCTTTTCTTAAAAAAGAAGACGCCTAGGAACTAATTTGTAAGGCCTATTTTAAAACAGCCTTGTTTGGGGAGGGAAAAAAATAGCCTTGCCTGTTCAGTAATCAGATACTTAAAGAAATATTGTAGCAATATGAGCTGCAGGGGAACTGAAAGGACAATGATCCTACAGTGTTAACCCAGATGTGTTGAGTTATTTAAGTGGGGAACAGAGAAAATGAGGGGCATTTTTTGGGAAGGTATCAGATAAGCCTTATGCCCAAATCCAGGAGGATTGTGTATCGCCAATAGGTCTATGAAAGCCTGTAACCAAATGCTCAGTGTCAGATTGTATTACGGTTTATACAAGCAACATCTCAAGATTTCTCTGATGGCTGGGACACATAATACAGATCAATCACTCACTAAAAAATATTATGGTTTGTGAAACGGTTGGAGCCCAGAGACATGGCAGTAATACGAAGAAGAAGAATTTGCAAAGACACTGAGTCCTACCTCTAAATGTCAAAGTGATAGTATGAGCTTTAACAATGCATCTAGCTGTGAATAGCCAGAACTTCCTCCCCCCTCTCAAAACACACATCCAACCTTCTCTGAAACTCTAGACAAGACACAACTCAGCAAAAGATCCTTTACTTCTTATACACACATATAAGGAAGTGGCAGGTTTTCACTAATTTCAAGGTAATTATTTCTTGAAGAATCAGAATTTTTTTCTGTAAACATATATAAAACACCAAAATCAACACTATATGAAATTCATAGGCACACAATATACTAAACTGTGCAATTACTTCTTACACCCTAAGAGCACTTCTTTTCATCTGCAATGAATCTTTCTTGCAATAAAGCTACTGTTTATACATCCATAGAGTACGAGTCTATAAAAGGTTTCACATAAATACAATTGTGTTTTGCCCCTTAACAATCACCCTCTAAAGTTTATCTTCTCAGCAGCCTTGTTTAATGGTCACTAATGTCCTACTGCAATCATAACACTTAACCCTGGCTTAGGGATCAGGAGTGGACCACAGGTCCCTATGTTCACAGACCCTTCATTCATGCACACGTTCCAACCCGTCTCTCACTCCTGTTTCAGCATGACATTATATAATCACTAGCCTTCATCAAAGAGAAATCTGATGCTCTCCTAACTCCAATTCAGAACACTGGTTCACAGTTGGCATGGGGCAACTGCAGAAAATGCCTGTTTTCATAGCCTTCGCACTATGATATACTATAGGGTGCAGGACCACAAGCAGATTTCCCCCAAATGATCGAAGTGATTTTACAGGTCTATACAGGGGCAGAAGAACTTGAACATTGTCTGGTCAATGATCAACAACCAGTTCAGCTCCCAGTTCAGCTCAAGTGTAGCATGTGTGCATCCAGGTGTTCCACTCAACAACCACGGGCCACAACACCAGCTGTACCTTCTGAACCAATCCCAAAGGAATACCAACATAATATTATGCCTGCACTGTGCCCTGCTGAGTCTATGGCTGAAGTGATATTTGAACTGAGGACCCAGAGCTCATACTTTTGGTTACTGTACTACACAAGGTCATATCCTTCTTTCCCTCTCCACTTCCCCAACCATCACCAGTGCTCCAGGTTTAGAAAGATGCTTCTGAAATCTGAAATATTCAAGAGCATAGTAAGTTACTTAATCAGCACTTTACACCTACTAGATAAAGGTTATATAAAATATGAAAAATGCTACCTTCTCAATATTATTCATAGCATGATTAAGGTGCCAGGTAGTCCAGTGGTTTTGGCTTTGTGTTTTTACCATAGTAGCCTGGGTTTAATTCCCAGTCATGGCAAATCACTTCAGGGAGGAGCTAAAGCTAAAGGTCTTGGATTCAATCCCTGGTATCTTCATGTAGGTCTGGGAAAGACTCCTGTCTGAAATCCTGGAGAGCCTACTGCAATTCACTGTGTAGACAATACCAATGGTCTGGCTCAATATAAGGCATTTTTTCTTAGGTATACAGCAGGGATTTTCAATCTTTGAACTTCAGACACTTGCTCTCCGAGTTGCGATTTTGGTAAATTTCTGCACATTAGGTTTTTAGGATCTGCACCATTTGTGCAAAGTGCTGCCCAGGTGAATTGGACCTCAGTGTTGCTCTGCATGAAAAGCTCAGTTCAGATCACGCCCAACACTGCCCTGTAGCTGCATATATTAAACAATGATTCGGAGTGGTAGGCAAGCTTTCTTTCATGGAGCCTGTCCATCATTTATTTTTTCATTGAGGATCACACCCCAGAAAAAAATTATGAGAAAAATCCAGGTTTTCTTGGAGCACAATTTGAAAACCACTGTTGGAGGACTATGCAAATTTTTGGGGGGCCCAGAATTATCAATCAAGTACATAGACTGAATATTGCCATCATAGCAGGACAGTTAGACTAATATAACACCATATTTATGTTGCATTGCCAATCTAGTAACAACTGTCTATAAAGATGGGGGTGGGGAGAAATTCTCTGAGCAACATTAGCAGAATATAGCTTTGGAATACAAGAATAGGCATCTTACAGCTAAAGAAGGGAAAAAAACCAGATCTCTGCAATATTTCAATAGCTATTGTATATTTTTCTCTAAGCATCACTGAGATTCAGGCTGTGTAAATTTTCATTTTTGCTATTGTCTCAGTTGGGATCATCTGGGCGACTCAAATAATTTCCATTTTCTTCTCCCTGCCCAGCCCCTCACACACACACATCTAACTGTTTGGACAAAATAGTTACATCAAGCAATGAATGCAGCCAACCAAACTGTGAGCAGCCATCTTAAAGGCTGCAAGTACTTGAAGAATAAATAGCTTTTAAGAGCCTGAACAGGACAGGAGGGAGACAACATGCTGGTATGATGGAGCACTTTCACTCCTTAAATAATCTGAAAAAAGTTAGCATTATATGGAGAGCAAAAAAAGATACTCTGTGTTCATATGTCACAGAACGAAGAGTTTGAAATAACAAGGGAAACTCGAGAAAGCAGTGGATTGAGGCAAAAGTGTCCTGGGGAATTTCTTTTTAACTAAAGAGAAATAAAGGAAAAATGTTACAAGGGATGAACAAGAAAACTGCTTGTGCTGGACTCCCAAGTTCCAGATAGACTTGCTAGCTGAAAGCACGCTTCACATTTCCAACTAACAATCTATTTGTTTGAAAGAGAGAGAGAGAGAGAGGTTTTAAAAGCAGAATTAAGTTCTCTGTGATCATGCCTAAAAGAATTCACCATTAAGATAGAACCTGCTGGGTTTTGGGGAAATGCTATTAGATACAGTGGTGCCTTGCAAGACGAAATTAATCCGTTCCGCGAGTGTCTTCGTCTAGCGGTTTTTTCGTCTTGCGAAGCAACCCTATTAGCGGCTTAGCGGATTAGAGCTATTAGCGGTTTAGCGGCTATTAAAGGCTTAGCGGCTTAGCAGCTTAGCTGCTAAAAGGCTATTAGCGGCTTAGCGGCTTAGAAAAAGGGGGGGGGGAGCGGAAAAAAATCTCAAGACTCGCAAGACATTTTCGTCTTGCGAAGCAAGCCCATAAGGAAATTCGTCCTGTGAAGCAACTCAAAAACGGAAAACCCTTTCGTCTAGCGGGTTTTCCGTCTTGCGAGGCATTCGTCTTGCGGGGCACCACTGTACCAGTAATTTGACGATGACAACAACGGTGTGAAGCTGCTTTATAGAGTCTCATTCAAGTTGCCAATAACTTTGCTTCCTTGTTTCTCAAGGATATGTTTTCTTTTACTCTCCTAACCTACTGCTTCAGCAAGGGTGGGAAACTGCAGCCACCTGAGTCTCTCCCAAGTAACAGTCTGTACTGGCCCAGCTTCACACCCACCACGAGTGTTTTTGCCTGACTAGAATGTATCCTTGAACACTGGTAATGCCTATTTCTCTGGATGGAGGGCAAAGAGGGGTGTGTGAGTGTGTGTAGAAGCCTACCGAAACAAATACAACATTTACATCCACTGCTCTTCCCACATGCCACGCACCGCTGGCATGTGGCCCTTGGAAGGTTGCACAGAAGAGAATGAGGTCCTTGAGCTGCAAAAGGTTCCCCACCCCAGGCTTAAAGCTTTGTCACACACTACTTTTTATTCCATGGCTGCCTGTCCAAAGGGAATTGCCTTTATAAGACCAGATTTAAAATATTTTTGTAAATAAAGAATAAATGCACTTAATAGAAAAGCACAAATATCCCCTAGTGCAGAAACTTGCAATTTGTAGACTGTGCACTACATGACCCCAGTGCTGAAAAACAGGGCTCCAATTAGAATTTTGAAAATGCAACTGAAAAGTTTCCAGACACAAACAAAACAAAGCCTTTATTATTTATTTTGTTCACCTCCAGACTTTAGCTGATTTGTTAAGTAAAAGCCTGAAGTGGACCTTTACAATTATAATCTTGTCTGGCACGGTTCTTACATCTTCTTGGAAATGTAGAACTTGATATGTATCATTGCCATATTGATATAGTAGAACTCAAGGCAGTAATGTATCAGAGATTTAGTAAGCATGTGAATTATAAGATTAGTATTAAACTGTTGCAATAAATACTGTCTTATGTTTAATGATCTTCCAGGAAGTTTCATCTACTCAAGGGCTTTGCCCCCTATTATGACTTCCTATCATAATGTGTAAGTTTTCTTCTAGGTCAATGAAATGAACCTGGACTAATATTTTCCACCAGCAGATAAAAAGTGTGTAGTGTCAACAGTGGAATAGACTCCCACGAGAGGTGGTGGGCACTCCTTCCCTGGAGGTTTTTAAGCAAACGTTGGATGGTCATGTATGAAAAATTGGGATTCCTGCATTGTAGGGGATTGGACTAGATGACCCTCAGGGTCCCTTTGAACTCTATAGTTCTGTGATTCTGTTTAAATAGGCTCACTTGGTACATAGGAAGCTGCTTATACTGAGGCAGACAATTGGGTTCATCTAGCTCAGTATTAAGGGACGTGGGTGGCGCTGCGGGTTAAACTACAGAGCCTAGGACTTGCCGATCAGAAGGTCAGCGGTTCGAATCCCCGCGACAGGGTGAGCTCCCGTTGCTCGGTCCCTGCTCCTGCCAACCTAGCAGTTCGAAAGCACGTCAAAGTGCAAGTAAATAGGTACCGCTCCAGCGGGAAGGTAAACGGCGTTCTGGTTTTCCAGAAGTGGCTTAGTCATGCTGGCCACATGACCTGGAAGTGTACGCCGGCTCCCCCGGCCAATAAAGCGAGATGAGCGCCGCAACCCCAGAGTCGGCCACAACTGGACCAGGGGTCCCTTTACCTTTAGCTCAGTATTGTCTACATGGACTGGTAGCTGTTTTCCAGGGTTTCAGGCGGGGGTCTTTCCTAGTCCAACCTAGAGATGCTGGGGACTGAACCTACATACTGAGGCTTGCTTAATATTGATCAGTTTTACAAGAACTCACAAGGAGAGGTTAGGAATTCAACAGATAATCCAAGTTTTTTTTATATTAAATCTTTTTATTTTATTTGCTGCAAAAAGAGAGGTTGTCAGGCACCTGGGAGGTCTCACCAACAGAGCTGCATTCAGCTTGTGGAGTCACAAGTTTAGCAGGCTTGGTCCCACATCAATAAGTAATGTTTAAGGCAGAAGTGCCATTTAGCACCCAATACATTAAACAGAAGTGTTTAGGAAAGGGTCGCAGCTCAGTATTCTGCATGCAAAAGGTTTCAGGATCAATCCCTGGAATCTCCAAGGGAAGGCTGGGGCAGCCTTCTGGAGAACTGCCACCATTCCAAGCAGAGAACACTGAGCTAGATGAAGCCGTGGTCTGACATCCTCTACCACTTTTTTCCATTAACAAAATGGAACATTAAGTCAACATTAGTTAACAGTGCTTGGATCCCAGACTAACATAAAAGGCACCTCAGAATGTGGAGTTCAATGACGACAAGATTTTGCAAGTTTTATTCTGTCAGTTTCAGTCTGTACAGAACAGCAGTACAAGAAGAATCTACTTAATTATAGTCCCCCTTCCTTAAAACCTGAGTCAAGAAAATATTTTAAGACTTCTTACACCATGAAGCAGGAAAATGCATTACAGATCTTTCTGTCCCTTCAGATAACAGGTGATCAAAGACATCTTAATATTTCCTATTAGTTGCTTCTCAGGAAGGTTCTTAGTTTGGCACTTAAGCATTTGCTGCAGTAGTAAAAACAATCACATACAAATTTATTACTTTTTTCCTGAATACCAAAGCACCATTAAAAACTATTAAGACGACGCAGAATGCTCTCTAGGGAATATTTATCTTCCCTTTATGTGCTGAACGGGTGGGAAATTTATTCAAGCAAGAACCTCAGTAATCAATTGAAGCGAATATATATATATAAATGTCTGTCTGTCTGTTTCCTTCACACACATCCTTAATCCATAGTGCTAACACTAGATTAACAAAAGTAAACCCTTTAGAAAAAATGGAGATGTCATTCATTTGCCTATAATTCATACATCTCATTTTAGCACAAGTTTGGCATAGGACATTCATTTTCATTTTAGTGATGAGCCACTTTTTATCACCATCATTCTCATCCACTGGAGTCTACTTTAGACAAAGGATAATGGGAGTGCTCCTGGATTCAGTCCTGAGCCCAGATTTCTGCAGTGGCCATTCCTGGAGATGTCTGATCTGGCTACAGTGACATATTACATCCCATTTGGATCACTGTAACACGCTCTAAATGGAGCTGCCTTTGAAAACTACTCAGAAACATTAACTGGCCCAAAAAGCTGCAAGCAGACTGTTGACCGGGGCTGGTTATAGGGAGCACACGACACCCTTGTTTAAAAAGCTCCACTGGCTATTCAAAGTGGTGGTTATGGTCTATAAAGCCCTACAAGGCTGAGGTCCATGCTATCTGATGGACCATATTATTCCATATGAACCTTTGTCTTTCTCTAAGAGATACTATTGACAGAACCTACCCAGGTTCTGAGCTCTTCAGGAGACACCCTTCTTTCATTCCCACAGGCACATTTGGTGGGAATGCAGGAGGTAGTCTTCCCGGTGGCAGATCCCAGACCTTCGAGCTTAGGGCAAGGAAACAAGCTGGAAGATGGCTTGAATGCTAGTGGAGGAAAACTCTGGTTGAATGCAACCGAACACTGGTGAGGGCTCATCATCGAGCCTACCTAGTGGCAGTGAAGGTAGCAGTACCACCTCTCCTCATATGAATCAACCCAGACCTCGTGATCATCATCTGAGGCCCTTCTTTCTGTGTCTCCTTCACAAGAGGTCTGGAGGGTGGCAACCAGACAACAGGTCGTTTCTGCAGTGGCTCCTTGTTTGTGGAATGCTCTCTCCAGGGAGGTTTGCCTGGCACTTACATTACATCTTTAGGTGCCAGGTGAAAATGGTTCTCTCCCACCAGGTGTTTGGCTGATAACGTTCTATGCCCTTTTAAATGTTTGTGGGAGTGGGGGGTTATTGGTTTGTTTTTGTATGTACTTTGGATTTTCATTTTGTATTTTTCTGTTGTGAACTACTCTGGGATCTTTGGATGAAGGTCAGTGTACAAATTTAGTAAGTAACAACAACACCACTCCTTTCCTAGAGAGGCTAGACTTGCTCCTTCTTTGTTGTCCTTATGCCAGCAGGTGAAACCTGTTTTAATCTGGCATGTTTTGGGGAACGGACTGCTTTTAAGGAATGTGCTCATGATAGTATGCTGTACTGTTGGTGTTTTTATCTGAATTTTAATAGATCTATTTTTACATTGTTTTATTTTTTAACCATACTCTGTTCTATGTCCTTAGTTATGTGTATTTACCTGTATTTTTAAAATTTTTGTGAGCTACCTTGAGTTCTGTGAAAAAGGTAGGATATGTACTGTATATAAATGGCTTTGATAGCCTATTTGTATTGGGCTTGAAGATTGCCTGTTTTTGCTGGCTTATTATTTAGTGCTGAAAACAATATTACAGTGCATCATTATAACACATCCCAAGGTGAAAGATTTAAGGTCTGCCTGAGACCTGCCAGTAGTAATGGGAAAACAGGACTGTGCTAGACAACCCACTAATTTAAATCTGTATATGAGCTACTTCCACACAGGTTTCAGAAACAAGACTATTCCTAGATCAAATGATGCCTTAGGCAAGGAGTATCTCTCTCCCACTGCTCCACAATTGGTTCATCTTTGGTATACTCTCTTATTATATTTGGAGCTCATTTCACAACTTCTGAGGCATGATTTGTATGACAATAAATTTGCACATACATCTGATCACAATTACAATCCATTTATTGAATGGATACTGAAACTGTAAAATTCTGCACATTTTTTTTTAGGTTCACAATGCTATCTACACAGGTCAGTGTTGCCAGCTTTACAAGTGCAGATGAACCGATTGCACTATTCATTTCAGCTGCTGAGTGTATAGCTGAGTAGACAGCCCATGACAGACGCCCCAGGCAGTCACCTGGGTCTCCTGTTCCTAAATTCAGCCCTGAACAAGAGATCCAAATCCAAAGTTTAATTCTAGGCAAGTTACCAGTCTATGTGTAGATGGGTTGTGGTTGTTGTTGTTGTCTTCAGGCAGAGTGTTACACAGTCCTCTTTCTGAGAGCATCTGGCAAGGTGGATTCCCAACAGTTATTACTCACTTTGCTTCTCTCACAACATATTCCCATTTTTATAGGAGGAAAGTTCCATTCAAGTTTCTATATTGAAACTGTCGATAAAATTATGATAGTGTTATGTTGACAATGAAGGTACCAGTGATCTCATGAGTCTGGTATATTGTGAAACAATGACAAACATTTTGATTGCAATTCATACTGTCCATATTTTAAAGATACCAATGGAAAATCACCCATTAGGGAGTGTCTATTGTTATGAATATAGAATCTACAATAATGTACAACTAGGAAGAACCAAAATTAAGTGGGTCTGGAAGCTTAACCTTTGGTTCTATCAGTTTCAAGGGAAACTATAACTACTATACAGAACTGCATCTGAAATCCTTCTCAGCAATGAGCATCACAGAAGAATACCGGCTTGAATCCAACAAAGCCCTAGCACTGGCAAAAGTCACTTGCTCATTCAACAGGGCAGAGTCATTTCTGATTTCTGTCAATTATTTCCCCCTTCTCACCCCTTCACACAGTATCTAATACTATTCCAGAGGATCCCTCATCACTTAGAAGCAGCTTTTCAAGGGGCAGAGGGGCTGCAGCAAGGAGGAGGAGGTAAGAAAGTATGTTCAGCAAACAGAACTATTCAAGCATCAAGCATCTAAGACTTTGCAAGAGTGTACTTTCATTGTTCAGTTTGCTCCCCAATTCTTTTTTCAGGACAGAGGGTGGTCTTATACAAGCAGAAGTGTATATGTATAATGAAACTGCTGATAAAACCCAGCTATTATTGACACTGGGGGGTGCCAGCATACTGTGCTAATTACAACTTCACCACTCTATTCCATTTATCAGAGAGAACTGCTTATCTTCCCATTTAAATACGGGAATATTAGAATAGCTCTGTTGGATCACGCCAATGGCTCATCTAGTCCCACATCCTGTTCTCACAGTGGCCAGCCAGATATCCATGGGAAACCTACAAGCAGGACCTAAGCACAGCAACACTCCTCCTTTTGTGGTTTCCAGCAACTGGTAAATTTAGCCACTACTACATTTATGGACAGAAACTTAAGATTACTTGAAATTCACCTAGGTCAAACAAAAATAAACTTCAAGTCAAAGCTGGTATGCTGTTATTGCGAACCTTTTTTGTATTAAGAACTATAGGTAAAGATAAAGGACCCCTGGACCGTTAAGTCCAGTCAAAGGCGACTATGGGGTGTGGCACTTATCTCACTTTTCAGGCTGAGGGAGCCGGCATTTGTCCACAGACAGCTTTCCTGGTCATCTCGCCAGCATAACCAAACTGCTACTGGTGCACAGAGGACCATGACAGAAGCCAGAGCGCACGGAAACACCATTTACCTTCCAGCCAGAGCGGTACCTATTTATCTACTTGCACTGGTGTGCTTTCAAATTGCTAGGTTGGCAGAAACTGGGAAAAAGCAATGGAAGCTCAGCCCAATGTGTGGATTCAAATAATAATCCTTTGGGGGGAAGGGCAGAATATGAATTTAATAAAAATAGATAATACAATTATTTTTCAATCTCAAAAGCAGAAGATTCACAATGTGATGCATAACTGAAAAACAAACCATGCCACTATTATAACAGCGAACTACAGTACAACTCCAAATCCCTTATATGGGGCCAATTAAAATCTAATATTTATTTGACAGCACCGTACTTTCAACATGGAAGAAGTCACATTTCAATGTTACACATGACTTGCCTTAATTCCCAGATGAAATATATTAGCTTGAATTAAAATTCAGCACACCGCTAACAGATAACGGCAATCCGTTCTCTTAGCAAATATAAGGGCACTAAGACTAAATAAGGACAGCTAGTTATCAAAATGGTCACAAATATATGGTAATGTCTTGTTATGCAGCAGATAATGAAATTTCTCTGACAGCTTTTACAGTCCAAGCTTTAATTGTTTTTAACCTTAAACAAGCAAGCAAGCAAACTGCTCTGACCATCAATGGAGCTGATGGGCTTTCTGGAATGTGTGTGTGTGTGTGTGTGTGTGTGTGTGTGTCTGTCTGTGTACACCCCCACCCACCCCCACCCCCTCTCCTCTACACCTTTGTAGGCCATTTACATCCAAGAGAACATGCTTCCATATTGTTGGCCCAACTGAGCCTTCACACATGGTGGCTTGCAAGAGAAGTATGCAGTTATAGTTTGCCCCTAGAAGAAGGCACTAATATAGGATTGCTAACATGCACTGAAAAAAGCTCATTTAGCACTATAGTGAGACTATCACTGCATGAAGCAGTACTGCAGTAGAAGCAAAAGCCCCTTTGTTACTGGCTACTCCGCCCCCCCCCCCGGCATGCAGGTTTCAGGTTCAATCCCCAGCGTCTCTAGGTAAGGCAGGAAGAGAACTCTTTCTGAAACACTGAAGAGCCACCACCAGTCAGAATAGATAATACTAATCCAGATGAACCAATTTTCTGAGTTAGTATAAGGCAGCTTTCTATGCTCCTCTGTGTGTGACATAGCTACATCTCATGAAGTTGGTTGAGGAACTTGTTGGAATTAAGGTGACCAAACAGCTCTTCAATGGGTTGTAGAAGGCAATGTGGGGGGAGGGGGGAGGAACCACACTTAGCACTGGTATTAGACTTGGAACCTTATTTCTCTGGTTGGCATATGCAACGCTCCCTCATCAGTGTTCACAACACAGCCAGTAGGAGGCAGAGATATCCAAGAATAAAGACTGTGCTTAGACAGGGACCAGCTCTAAATCTGCCTGCAGAAGGGAGTGGGTGGTGCTGTGGTCTAAACCACTGAGCCTCTTTGGCTTTGCTGATCAAAAGGTCAGCAGTTCAAGTCCACACAACGGGGTGAGCTCCCGTTGCTCTGTTCCAGTTTCTGCCGACCTAGCAGTTTGAAAGCACACCAGTACAAGTAAATAGGTATCACTGCAGCGGGAAAGTAAACGGCATTTCTGTGCACACTGGCACTCGTCACAGTGTTTTGTTGCACCAGAAGCAGTTTAGTCCTGCTGGCCACATGACCCAGAAGGCTGTCTGTGGACAAACGCTGGCTCCCCTGGCCTGAAAGTGAAGATGAGCCTTTGACTGGACTTAACTGTCCAGGGGTCTTTCACCTTTACTGATACCTGTCAGCATTCAGCTCCTGACAGTACGACATCTTTCTTGGTCACATTGTTCATGTGGCCCTTTACTTCAAGATGTACAACTTGGCTGCCCCTCTGTATTGTCTCACAACATTCCTTCCTCACCTCAATCCTGCTGTTCTGTGCATGGCTGCTATTTGGAGCTTTATATCATAGTGCTTCAAATTTTCCTACCTTTTTCTCTCTTTGCCATCCCTTGGGTATTTCTTTTCCAAAAAGATTTTTGTAACTACTTGCTTATCCTTATTGATCAACAATGCACAGGCAAACCATGTTGTAGTGAGACACCCAAATGTCCAGGCCCATCAAGTCATTTCCTTCCTTCTATGGCACAGGGATCTGGCATGTCAGCTGCTGCCAAAATGACAGTTAATCCAAACAGCCCCGTCACTTGGGGGCAGAAACAGCCAGGAGAAGGAAACATAATGCCAGATTTATTCCCACAGCTCCCTCTCTTTTCTACAGTTAGGTGAATAACTGGGTCACGAGGGTGGGGGTGGGATAAAGTCTTACGTTAAAAACCTCCAGGGGCCTTTCCCACAGAATAAAGCTACTTCCTGGGATGAGAAAGAATATGTGCACATGAGAGAGAAATCAATTAACACAGATGTTTTGAATTTGATTTGTTTACAATCACTGACACCCCAGCCAATTCTTCAAGTCAGTGGCAGGGCTATGATGTGGCAAAATGTCAAGGATGTAGCAACAATCCCTTATATTTAACACGTTCAACTCCAGTTAAAACTAACTCACCCTTAAACTCACTATGGCCACAAAGGACACACCTGTATCCTCTTCTACTAGATTTATCCTCATTTTGTTTTGTTACAGAAAGAACACCCTTTATGGAGTGCAGATGCCTTTCCTCTCTTTTTTTAGGGAAGCCCGGACTGCCCCAACGGCTAGCCCATCTACTGCCAACATTTTCATTGGAAGCTTATTCAGACAGAGATCAGCTTTCAGCTTTGCCAGTTAGTCTACAGCAGGGATGAAGAATCTTTTTATAACTAGGGTCTCAGTTCCTTGGGGTGATCCCGCAGGGGCTGCACAACAGCAGTGGATGAAACTGGGCCTTTCTCTCATCCCCCTCCTTTCATTCTCTTTTGTTCTTCCCATTCTCTCTCTCTATCTCTCCCATTTTCTCTCTCCCCTTCTTGGCTAGGCAGAGGGAAAGAGGCTACTCTTTCTTCCTGCCTAACGCAGAAATGTAAAGGGTTGGGGACTTGCAGCACAGTGAGGGGGATGCAGCAAGGGTGCACCATAGGTCAGATGTGAACATGAAGGGGGCTAGAATTGGCCTTGAGGTTGGCAGTTCCTCAGCCCTCCTCTACAATGCACCATGTACAATAGCCAACAACAAACTACTATGAGCTAGTTTGTAACAGAACTATGAAGAGTAGTTTGGATCCCAGTCCTAATCATACATACTCATAAGCAACCCCTACTACAACCTTTGTGTTCCAATGTCAGCCCATATTGTACATTATTTGCCATAATACAGGTAAACCCTTCCTATAACGGGAAGGGAAATTAAATCAAAACTTAGCTCAGAATTACTTAGATTCTGCGCAGAAGGAAGATCTGCTTGCATAAATCTGTGATGTTTATGTAAACAAATAGCTTATTTAGAAAGCAGCATATTTATGCCTTAAGGAATACATAAGCTAGCATACGGAAATTCAGCCACAATATAAGTGGTACATCTGTGCCACTGGTTATTTATAAACAGCTAATGTTCAATGAAACAATATTGCCTTGTGTATAGCTTCAGCTGACAGCCACATGTGCCAAACACAAGTGTTTCATACAACATACCAAACTCTCCCTTTGCTGGAGTCTCCACTTGCACTGACAACCCAGTGCTTTGATATCAAAGGTTGACATGGATCATGTAATATTCAAAAATTCAGACCAACTTAAATTTATATAGCTGCCGCTACAATCCACAGAGGTGAAAAGCTGAAGGAATTTCCTATTCACACTGTGTTCTTCTCCCCCCCCCCAACCCCCGACATGAACCTCTTTAATTCTCTGTTAAGTCCTTAGTAATTATCTGAAAAGGCTCCTGTGTCAAAGGCTAGTGTGTAATAGCACAACAATTACTTTACTACTGCTCAGATATGACATAACCATACTGTTGCATAACATATTGTATTCAAAGTAATGCTAAAGAGACTGTGTTGTTGGGCAAGCATAAATTCTCCTCTCCTCCCTCGCGGGCTGTTCTGTGGGTTCTCTTGACCCTTTAGAGCAGATCTGGGGATGATGCGGTGCGCATGGGCAGAAGACAGGGGGGAAGTCCCATTGCACTAGTAGGAGTAGTTGTGCTGGCTTCTGCTAGCACAACAATTAAATTGAAGATGACCCATAGCTTTTAAAGAGTAGCAAAATGAAATTTGCTATTTAGTTCTACTGGCCCCAAATTCCAGGTCTTGCCATGGTAGCTCTAATATACTCCCTTTCATAAGCTTTATTCACATCATCTAGGCAATAAATGCATATAAGAAATTAATATCTAGCACAGACTAATTGGAAGTTGTCCTTGAAGCATTAGCAAATATCATGAAGATCATTCATGTTTACAGTTCATCCCCTTAAATTAAAGATTTATGATGATACAATCTATTTTTCACAGTATTTATAAACCAAGGACTTAATAAGGCACCTCAGAAGAACACATGGCTGAAACAACTATATGCACCATTTATGATGCATTCTGACGCATATGGCAGGTTTCTGTGCAGTTCGTGTAATAAATCACTTATTTCAGATAACATTGAAAATAGGCTAAGACATACATAAATCTGCACACAGAGCTCCCGGTTCACATCGCATACTTTTCTGGCATGAGACAATGGGGCAAAAGAAGAAATGACAAGTGTTGGCATTCAAATTCCATTTCCTTGTCATTAGGATTTAACATTCAAAATAAGAACATAAAAAAGTCTTATGGGTCAGGCCAAAGGTCCATCTAGTATAGCACTCTGTAGTCTCAGTCGCCAACCAGATGCCCACTCGAAGTTCCCCAAAAGAATCTGAGCACAACAGCACTCTTCACATCTGCAGTACAATAGTCTGTTTGAGCCAAGGCCACCTACATGCCTCCAGGTTCAATGTGTGTGGCTTCCAAGCAGACTTGCCTCTTTTTGTTCATGTACATTTGAAAAATAGCACCACAGTTCTTCACAAATGAAATGTACCTTTGCCATTTTGCAGATACTTCACTCAAAGGCTTTTCACAATCACAGTAAAGCATACAAGGAGGTCGACTACACTCACAGGTCAGCTGTCACTGATCCACAGATGAATGAAAAGCTGAAAAACTTAAAAATATGGTCTGACATGATTGCATTCTGCTGCTTAGCTCAATGATACTGAAGTGCCAGCTGATCTGGGAATCTGGTCACTTGTTAAGGATTTAGTGCAGCTCCTATACTTTATTTGCAAGCTGAATCAGCCACAGAGTTTGCCATAAAACCAAGGATATGACAGCCACGTTTTTCACTCTGGAATTATACAATGACGTTTCAACTGACACATACTGCACACACAAACAGATAACAGAATAGGATTCCAGCAGAAAAAGAGTAGTTGTTTAGTTTTTTTAATAAACATGACTTTTCCTGAAATATCCATTTGCTAAATAATACTGCTCACACGCTGCTATGCAAAGTGGCATGTTCACACCAACAAAGAACTAAGAAAGCTATGACATTGACCTCATCACCAAGACAGACACTGATGTTTCCATGTGCCTTCCTTGCAAGGAGTTTATGCAATCTGCAGTTTCATAACCGACATTTCAATGTAGGTTCAGCCCTTTGATAGTAGTTATATTCTACAGCAGCAATGCAAAGAGGTAAATTGTGACAAGATTAGCAGCAATTCCTATATTTAATGTTATTTAAAAATCAAAGTGTTACCTAAGGCAATTATCATGCAGCCCTTTAATATCTACAGGGAAAAGCCTAAGGGGAAAATAATTGACTCTGCTAATTTTACCCTTGGCAATTATAAAACAGCTCTGCATTTCATTATGACTGCAAATTTTCACATTTAATTATCTGGCTTGATAGAAATACAGAGATAAACGCATCATACAAAATCTCAGACAATTGCCCATAACACCATGATAGAATTAGTTTGGGACTGACAGTACAAAACAATAATAGAAATATTGGATGTAAAATATATTGCATATCACAACTGTAATCACTGAAACAAATATGTTCTTCCTCAATCACTGTGGTCTCTCATGACCAGTACTCTTTGTAACGTGTCACACACAATTATTTGTTTCACTGCACTTGTTAGCACATCCTAATATATAAAACTGGTCACTAGCTGGCTTCCCATGAATCTGCCTTGGAAGATGGTCCTACATGCTAGGAATGCAAGAAATTAAAAGCTCTCCACAGAGTCTGGGGTATAATAATAGAACTCTGTGGAGCAACCTGCAGGCCACACATGACTCTTGGCCACTCTCTGTACAGCCTGCCAAGTCCCAGGGAGTTCTGCCCATCTTTCCCTGCAGCTCAGCTGATGAAGCCATCAGCTGGGCAGCTGGGAAAAGACTGATGCCAGCTTAGCAGCTCAGCAGCATAGAAACGGCCATCTTGTCCATGCTGGGTTACAGGTTTCCTTCCAGCCCCCATGCTGAATCCAAGGGCTTGTAAGAGGAAGAAATAGCAGCAGCAGCAGCAGCAGCAGCAGCAGCTCCACTTGCTTTCCAACTTGAGGCAGACATTCTTCATGGATTACATATCAGAATTGGAAAGGCAAAGTGGAGAGATGTCAAGTGTTTTGTGCCTTCCTATTCATGGCCATCTGAAAATTTTAGGTGGTTTAGGAGTTAGCCCCACCTGGCTTTGAAATCATAGCAATTGGCTCCATTATAAGGCAAAATACTTACTGACTTACATGGACCATTACAACGCATGTCTACTCAGAAGTAAGCCCCACTAGGTCCAATGGGGAGTACAGGATTACTGAATTAGTGTTGCCTAGAAGGGTTTATATGGCCTTACCCTGTCATGTATAATCAAATGCAACAATGGTTAGTAAATGAGCTGAAATCACATTTCACAAAGTGGTGGGTGGGGAAATGGGGGAGGATTTCATGGCTTTATACACTTCATGCAAAATACACAAGTCTAAAAAAACTCATCTTTCAAAATAATACCAAGTCAAGTCAGTGTAAGTGTCAAGAATTTTTACAGCTTATAGTCCAACTGTTCATGCTTTTTAAGATGCAAGAAAGAATGAGTTGATAAATAAATTGCCTGTATTCCACTTATGGTATATAGAAGGTATTAAAGTATTCAGGTGTCAAAAGTGGGAGAAAGTGTTAACATGTTTTGGCAGAACTTTCAGACATGCCGCTTAATTGCTTGAGAATACAAGCAGTTTTTAGGCTACTGTGCTTCAATTTACTACAGATCTGATTCAAGGCAAGCTTGAAATAATTACACGTTTTTGCTCAAGTACTTAAAGACAGAATAATGAGCAGCATTTTATCCATGTTTTTCATCAATCTGAGTAGGACTGAGAATGATTTATGGCTACTTTCCCCCTTGATTTTAATTGCAGATTTTATAAAAGACCAAGTTCATGCAATAGCTCTCTGTGCATCTTAGCATGCGTGTACACAGAATACACTTGGTAGACAATACCACTTTTTGTTCTTGAGCACATGCTCACATAAAACAGGGTGTGAACCAGGTCACAACCAAAATGTCCAACCAGTCATCCCTGTGATCACTGTGGCTCTAAAAGTTCTATGCCTATCACGAACCGTATGTGTGAACAGTCTACTCATTCACATTTTCCCGTGGTAACAGATGTCCAAGGATGGATTAGACTTTTCACAACAGTTCCAAGTGCTCTTAGAGGAAACCGCGTTTCTAGCTCCATTTCATTTAGGGTTCTGGCATTGGAACTGCTTTGGTTGCCTGTATGTCAGGAGACAGCCAGGGGAAACACCTCCCTGTTTATCCTCCTCAACCTCTTAGCAGATTTTGATACCATCGACCATGGTACCTTTGTAGAGCAGTTGTCTGAATTGGAAGTGGGTGGCACTACTTTGTAGCGGTTTGGGTCCTACTTGGATGGTACCGTATTTTTCGCTGTATAGAACGCACCAGACGATAAGACGCACCTAGTTTTGGGGGGAGGAAAACAAGAAAAAAAAATATTCTGAATCCCAGAAGCCAGAACAGCAAGAGGGATCTGGCTTCTGGGATAGCCTCTTGCTGTTCTGGCTTCTGGGATAGCCGCCGAAGCCTCTCCCGGCAGCAGGATGAAGGTTTCCCCTGCCCAGAAGAGGCTGCGCGCGGCTAAGCTGCCCTCTGTCCCTTCCCCCATCTCCCGCAAGAGCCACGCGCTCTTTAAAGGGAGCGCGGTTCTTGGGGGCTTTTCTGGGAGGTGGGGGAAGGGACAGAGCCGCGTGCTCTGTCCCTTCCCCCCACCTCCCGCAATAACTGCGCGAAGCCTCCGCAGGGCAGCAGGGAGCCTTCATCCCGCTGCCCTGTGGAGGCTTTGCGCAGCTAAGCCAGAAGCTAGAACAGCGAGAGGGAGCACTGCGCAGTGCTCCCTCTCCCTGTTCTGGCTTCTGGCTTAGCCACACAGCCTGCACTCACTCCATAAGACGCATACACATCTCCCCTTACTTTTTAGGAGGGAAGAAGTGTGTTTATAGAGTGAAAAATATGGTAATTTCCAGAGAGTGATGCTTGGGGAGTGCTCTTCAGCCCTGTGGAGCCTTCAATGTGGGGTTCCTCAGTATTCAATGCTGTTTAACATCTACATGAAACTGCTGAGTGTGGTCATCTGGAGTTCTGGAGAACATTGTCAGCAATATGCTGATGACACACAGCTCTACTTCACCTTTACACCTGCAGGTGTGGCAGCGAATGTGCTGGACCATTGTCTTGCCTCAGTAATGGACTGGATGAGAGCCAACGAACTGCAGTACATGAAGTAATTTTATCATTCTTTTATCATACTTAGATAACCTCTAGGTTAGATTACTTAGATAAATTATACTTATACATGGGGCTGCCTCTGAAGATGGTTTGGAATCTTCAGCTGGGACAGAATTCAATGGCCAGCTTGCTCACCAGGACAAGGCAGTTTGAGCATATTACACCAATCTTGGTCCAACTGCATTGGCTGCCAATTAGTTTCCAGGCCCAATTCAAAGTGCTAGTTTACACCTATAAAGTCTTAAACAGCTCAGGACAGCAATACCTCAGGGACCGCCTCTCCCCATATGAACTGACTTGGACCCTGAGCTCATCATCTGAGGCCCTTCTTTGTGTGCCCCCTTCCATAAAAGGCCTGAAAGGTGTCAACACAAGAACAGGCCATTTCTGTGGTGGCTCCCTGTTTGTAGAATGCTTTCCCCGGGAGGCTCTCCAGGCACCTTCATTACATATCTTTAGGCACCAGGTGAAAACATTACTCTATAACCAGGCCTTCAGCTGATTAAACATTCTATGGCCTTTTAAATGTGTTTGTGGGAAGGGGGTTATTGGTTTGTTTTTGTTTTATTATGTATTATGTATTTTTGTGTTGTGAATCACCCTGTGATCTTTGGATAAAGGGTAGCATACGAATTTAATAAACAATACTTCTTCTTCTTCTTCTTCTTCTTCTTCTTCTTCTTCTTCTACTACTACTATAGAAAAAGGTTATGTGCATTGGAGTTCTAAGTTTCATGGAAAAGATGAAAAAAAATTCTAACAAAAACTAGTTTTAAACCTGTTCCAAACAATATTATTCATATTTAAAAGGGAATTAGTTAAGTTCATTGAGCTATGTTCAATTTGCTTTAACTCATGATTTCTACTTAAGGGAGACATAAGTCTGCTATCTTACTAGTAGTTTATTGGTAGGTAAATATGGTTAATATAGAGTTAATTTTATGGCACAATTTATTTGACATAGCTGACATATCATATCTGATAAAATTTCAGACCTTCGGGCAGCACGTACAGTTTTATATGACATCTAATGCCTCAAGGAACATGGATTTCTAACAAAATTAGCTCACAAAAGGCAGCAGAGAAATCTACTGAAATAAACACAAATGAAGCCTACACCTTCTTTAAAGCAATAAAAACCATATTACCTTAGTATTTTGCAGTTCAGCAAGGCTTGTGCATGCATTTGCTAGAAGAAAATCACCACTTAAGACAGCCATTTTATTTCCAAATTGCATGTCCTTCAGCGGGCCATCTGATGATGTCAGTTCACCAATGTTTACTATCCCACGATGTACCAGGAAAGCTGTGTGAATCAACTCAGTAATCTCTGCCAGACTTCGTTGGCTTTAAAGCAAAGACAGGAAACAGTTCAATTAGCTGCAAAACACCTGTATAATCTGGTTGTCTACAAAAGAGAAATGCTGAAAACTATAGCAGATGGAGTACTTATCAATACAAATATAGCATTCAGCACTTTGTGAGCACACCATTTTGAGCCTATCCCGCCTGGCCCACTTGAGGGGCAAACTGCACATGAATTAACTCACACGTTTGAACAACTGTGTTTAACCTGATTGATTTTATTTTGGAGAAAAAGCAGCTGGTGCTGACCCTGATCAGGGCCTTGTGTTTATTTTCTATTGAAAAACTGCTCCTTACATGGCTGTGTTTTTGCCCCCCCCCACGGAGTTTGCTACAAACAAGAATCTTAAGGACCAGAAAAGCAGCCAGGTAAGTGGCAAATTTCAGCAGCAAACAAGCACAGGGCCCATGGCTGCTTTCCTCTCCAAAATAAGAGGACTAATAAAACATATTTGTTTACATACATATATGTTGCCATGTATAATAAGGCCCTGACATGAGGAGTCTTACTAGATTTAAGGAAATACTTAACAATATAAAATAGTGTTTAAAAAGAAATAAAAATGTGGATATCCCCATTCTTCAAATGTGTACTAACAACCCTAAACCATGTTGATAATTGCAAGTAAAAACAACCACAACAAAAACACTTTTAAAAAAGGGTCTAAAAATACCCCATTTTTATGCACTTTATCATTCTATTACCATACATAGATAAATTATAGCAATGGGTATATGGGACAACAAACCTTTTCATATGCTAAATTTAACCTTTTTGTTTCAGACAGTGGCAGGAATAAAAGTCATCTATTGAATGTGACAGAAAATTACATTCTGTCATAACCTTATGTCTAAAGAAGGGTTAACACATCCTAGAACGAGGGAAGAGGAGGGAGGGCAACTAACAAGACATCCTGATGCTTCTGCTGTCATTGTCAGGGCAGCCCTTGGAGAAAATGTCCATATCAATTCAGTTTATCAGATGGACAGCTGATCAACATTAAACAGACTTGCTCTGGGCAGATTGAGCTGAGATACCTGCCATGAATACCAATGAGTGTCCTCTGCTCTTGACAACTGAGGTCTGACTGCTGCTGATCCCAGGACATATGGGGATCCCTAGTGACGAGTACATAAAGCTGCAGCTTACTCAAGTGATGGCTCATTTCCCCCAGCTGAAGGCACACATTAATATCCTGAGGAGATCAAGCTCACCTCTCTGACCCCCACCCCCACCCCACCCCCAGTGTCCCTTTTCCCCTTTAATAAGCTTTTAATGAAGGAAACAAAAATCCTCTCTGTACAGCTTGCCACAAAAAGGTTACACAAATACATTAGTGTCATACTTTCTGAGCCTTCCTTTCCATTTTTCCTTAGGTTTCTGTGTTCTTGTTTGCTCTCCAAACAGAACCTGTATTATTCAGCCTACTGCATTAAAAATATAGCTCATGTATTTAGTATATTCAATTTTTTTAAATGCTAGACGACATCTTCTGATAATGCATACTTAATTTTTAACTAAAATGACAAACAAGGTAAAGCAATCTTTGTCATCTGAATATATAAAACAGCTCTAGGCATCTCTCAAAGAATCTGAGTTCTAATACAGGATACCAGAATAGGAGATTCTTAAGCAGTCTGAATTCAGTTTAATGTGTTAGGAGGGAAAACATCTTCTACAGAAATCTTGGGAGTGGTGAAATCATAGTAATTAAGAGGTTGTCTACTTTGCAAGAGATTATTAACTATGGTCCCATTTTTACTTAAGTAAACCATAATAGATAAAGTACACTAAAATCACTTGTTGAACATTTATTTACTACGAAAGCAGCCCTCTGAAATAAGAAAGAAGAATACGGTATTTATACTGCTTTCAAGCACTGCAGTCATCTGAACCACGGTTTACAACCTAATCCTGTGCATTTTTATTTGGAAGTAAATATTCCTGGGTTCAGTGAGGTTTATTAGGATTGCAGCCTTACTGAATTATTCTTTCCTGGATAAATCAATGTTGACTGCCTATGGGCACAGAAAAGTCACAGAGACTGCCGTTTACAAAATGGCAGAAAAAAGCACTATAGGGAAGTGTAACATTGTTAGAAGTAATAATGATCAAAATCTAGTGGCTAAAGCAACAGATTTAAACTTTAATTAGCCGATTTACAAACAAGTAGACAATCTCATCATGATCAGTTCTCACAGCTAGCTTTCAGTACTAACACTGAGCCTTCAAACCTATTTATAGAGAAGGGCATATGAACATAAAGTTTCATTACCTTTCCACTGTGCACATGGAACAACCCTTCACTAATCTTGGGTTCGAAGCAGGGCGATTAGGTGAGACAATAATTGTATCCAACAAAATTATACTCAGAGTAGACCCACTGATATTAATGTACCTAAGTTAGTCACACCTAATTTCAATATAACCAAATGTTTTTAAGGCAGATTTATATCCTCAGCATTCATTCTTTTTCAAAAGTAATCATTTTGACTGTCACTTTTACTAGCTTTCCACTTCCCCCCTGCTTTCACGTAATATAAGCAAAACACAGTGGAATCCAACCTAGCACTAACTTTTGGGGGCAGGAAATAAAGGGCAACTGCGCATCCAGACTTCTCCCTCTGCCCCCTCAAACCTGAGGGTTCCCTCAACTCTCCAGAGCTGATGGGCGGGGGGAAGGGAAGGGAAGGGGGGAGTGTCGCAAATTCCTCGCGGCGCTTTTAGCAGAATGCTCAGAGTCCCAGGTTCTTTAGTGCAGTATTTATTATTGTGAGCTAAATATATATACAAATATCTACAGAAGCAGTTCAGACAGAGTACCTGCACCTTGAGGCAAAAGAAGACTCTACACTTATCTACACCACTCTACCACCATTACTATTGGACAGGCTTTACTTTTAAACCAGTGACAGCCAATCACATTACTGCTGAGTCATTCCAGAGAGTATTGCATCAGCCTGTTGCAAACTGAAGCCTGCAGACTTACTTACACAGCATCCTGTGAATCCCAACAGGGAGAGTCCCATTGTACAAGCGGACATTGGTCTGCACCAGTAACAACTGAGTTGACTCCTGCCTAGAGAATACTTTACCAAACCAAGCAACATCAAGTTACATTTCTGCAGCTCTGTAACATTAGTAGCACGTGCAATAGCCTTACAAAATATATGTATTTGCTTAGGCCTATTATGTAACTGTGAGACTGAATTAACAGCTATGCTTTGAGAGCACCAAAAATAAGATGTGCCAGAACAGAGCTAATAGGGGAATTAAGAGTAAAAAAAGAAATAGAAACACTGGAAATGCTGTACAGTATTTTTAAAAATCCAGCTTTCCCTATCGACTTCCAAATGTGTCAGATCCATTTTCTTTTCTTTCTTTTTTTACGTTACTCCTTTAAGACTAAATTATTGTTAACTATTATCAGCACAAATTATTATTATTAATTATTTTGACAGGGTAGAGATATGGCTGCAGTTGACAGTATACAGATGAGCGTCCTTATCCTGAAGTCTTACACTAGATATAGCTCAAGGCGCATATGCACTCACCCATTTTACGTGAGATGCACCGGCAAAAGTAAGATCCAACTTTGACTTTATCTCCTTCATCAAGAGTCCCCACCACTGTCATTTCTGCCATTGCTCCCATTCCTCCCTATTCAATGGGCAGCCCATCATCCTTCTTAGCTTAGTCCGCAGTTTGGGAGCCCTACTATTCTGAGGTCCAGCAATTTACCCTTCTGCCACAATCCAAGTTGTTTCACGCACTGAGCACAAAAGGAGTATGGGAAAGCCACAAAGGGAAGTCTGAATGGGGAGCTCCCTCTCACACTTCCTAGTTGTTGTTGTTTAGTTGTTTAGTCGTGTCCGACTCCTCGTGACCCCATGGACCAGAGCACGCCAGGCACTCCTGTCTTCCACAGCCTCCCGCAGTTTGGTCAAACTCATGTTTGTATCTTCGAGAACACTGTCCAATCATCTTGTCCTCTGTCGTCCCCTTCTCCTTGTGCCCTCCATCTTTCCCAACATCAGGGTCTTTTGCCAGGGAGTCTTCTCTTCTCATGAGGTGGCCAAAGTACTGGAGCCTCAGCTTCACGATCTGTCCTTCCAGTGAGCACTCAGGGCTGATTTCCTTACACTTCCTAGTAGACTAAGGTAAACAGCTCAAGCGCCACAATTTGCTTTAAATGAGGCAGTGTATACTTTCTATGCTATGAAGTAGATCTGAAGCAGCTGAGCTGAGTGGGTATATATATAATCAAATAAAACTGTACTATCCGGATTATAATACATGGCAATGTACCATAACAAGCTCCATCTTGCAAAAGATGCCTAGAGCGCAGCCAGTTTATTTTTCACTATTTCACACAGAATAAATGGGTTTTGGTTTTTTTTGTATTTGACATACCATTTGCAGCAGAATTTCCAACTGACTTGGTTGATTCTACCGAAATGCATTAAAACCTCACCAATCTATAATATGTTCACATTTCCTTAGATCATATTACAGAGCATTTGATTTATCCCTAATAATAACTTTTAACTAATATGGCTGTTTTCAGTTCAACAACAAAAACCAATCTCTACAATTAAGAAAAACGTGGAACTCATGGAACTCATTGCTACATATACAAATTCTGATGCAGCAGGAAGGGGGTCTCTTAGAAAATGCAGTGTGCAGATAATCATTTACTTCTAGATGCTTGCGTTGTCTCAATATTAAATCTACCCTCGCATCTGAAGGGCACTGTCCTGTCTCAGGATTGTATTACATTGCAAACAATGGGCGTTCATAATAACAATGATCAAGTGTTGTGGATTTGTCAGTGCATGTTCTGGAAACCACATTACAGTGTAACTAAATGGCACAACACATATGAATCTAAACTCCTTAGATTTAACAGTTTTCAAATAATTTTTAAACAGAAATTGGGAATCTAACAACCGTTAATATTTTATAGTTTTTAGTATTAAAAATATAAAGTTATTTTAGCAAACATATTTAGTTATCCAATCCAACTCCTTGAGCTTGGCTATCCCTGTATCAGAAATCTTCCTGCCACACATACAGAGCTGTGAACAGAGGCGAGTCTGGATCATGCCCCTAGTGTTTAATTTATTTTTTGTGGCCCATTATTTGTGAGAATTAAGATTTATTATGTTTTATTGGCAAGGGATGCTTCCCTCCCCCCTCACTCTGTAAGCATTTCCACATAGCTACATCTGAAGAAGTGGGGCAGTGAGCCTATCCTCTGCTCATCAACCTCACTGGGACCAATTGCTGCTTGGCTCCTCCAGGATTGCCCTCACAAACAGCCACTCCATCTGGTCACTGGGTAATCATAATGTAAGGACTGGTGAATGTACTTACTTTCCTCTTGTGTCCCTGACCCTTCCCCCCCACCCTTTTGTCTTGTGTCTGTTAAGGTCGCAGCCCATTGTTTTAAACTGAACTTCCTTCAGTGCACTGCCAGGGGACGTGGTATATATGAAGGATGTGTATGTCTGTAGGAGAAAACAGAAAGTACGGTGTGTCTAAAAGGGTCTCTAGGCCTGTAATATGCATGTGTGGTCTGTCTAAAAGGATTTCTCTCCTTTGTCTCATGCAGCTGGAGGAAGACTCCAGCAACGTTTACTTTCATTGCTCCCTCATCTCAACTTTTCATCAAAAGGGAACCAGAGATCATCGTTTGTAATGAACACCAGTCTGTTGCAAGACAAGCCATCTTCAAACCATGGTTTCTGAGGCTTGTTAAATAAACTAACTAGAGAGTACCTAATCAGAGCCTGCTTCAGCTGCAAGCCCCCAAGGCCCCACAGGGCCATTTACTACCAACTGCCTTGTGGGAAGAATTCCAGGAGTGATGGAAGAGTGCAAAAACTGCCTCAATATGTCCTCCAGCTAAACCTTTCCTTTTTTGCACTGGAAGTTAACTGCACTTGTCCTGATTCAGAAAGCAAGAACGTAATATCAAGCACCTATCTGCAAATTGGCTGCTCCTTAACTTGATCCAACAGGATGCAACAGGATAGAAGGGTGGGTGGAGTCTCTCAATCCAGAAGCTAGGTTAGGATATAGAGTGGAGGTACTACTTAACAGCTGGCATAGTCTATACCTATATCTAATCTAACATCACCAATCACCTGTTTGAGCAAAACTAATTCTAAACACACACACACACCCCAGAGCTGACCATCTGTTTTGTGGAGGAGGATCTGTGGAGGTGGTCTTTTCCCGCACACAAGGAATCTGGACTGGGATTCAGATCTGAAAGACGGCTTTTAACTCCCTTGTTACAGTTTCCTATATACCAGCCCAAACCAGCCAAGTCACATTTATTAAAAGCAGCATGTCAAATAGTTCACAATTACAGTCTATATCAATACAGATTATGCCAGATGGTAATGAGCCATACACAAAGAGCCATCCATCCAAAATAATCACACTGTTTTCCACAGAACTGTTGAAGAGGTTATGGTTTATTACACCGTACTCATTAGATATACAGTGCCAGCATTAGCAATTTTCCCTTCATTTGTGTCTCATTTAAGATTCTACCTCCACAAGCATATTCAAATTAGTACACAAGGTTAAAGCCATTATGGTCAGGAATAAAATTAAGTTATATTTTATGTTATAGAAATGATAGATCAAAGGTCTCTTAAATTTTTTTTTAATTATCCAGCAGAGTGTACCAAGAGAGAGAATAGAAATATAATTTTTATGTATCAAAACCTATGATTAGTAAGACAGATAAATACAATGAATGAATTGTTATAAATAAAGATAAGCTACATTCAAATATTAAGGCTACAAACTAAGAAAAGTGGTGGAATCAGCAAAAACAAAACCCCCCAAACTGAACTGCTAGCCTTGAATTTATTTCTTTGCATTTGTTTGACATCAGCGAAAGATTGAATGAGGATGAAGAAAATAAAATTTTATCCAGTCCAGTCAAAGCAACCATTTGGGGGGCAGATCCATTCAAAAGGTGTACAGCCTGCTCCTGTTGGGGTTGCATTCCCTTGTAAGAACTGGATTTTCATCTTGTGGGTGCTGCTGGATCTGGAGTTACTTCTGCATGCCCAAGTGGTGGGAGTGGTCAAGATCCCTTTTATCCACTTTTGGCTGGTAAGCAAGCTGTGCCCTTACCTGAAGAAAGCAGTCCTAGCCACAGTCATACATGCTACAGTAACAAACACCTATTCTATTGAATTCTAGATAGGGCTGCATTTGAAAGTCCAAAATGCAGCAGCCAAATAATGGTATGCAGTGGCACTGTGAACAGGACAGTCCGCAGTCTCAATTGGCCCAACCCCACAGATCATATGGTCATGGCACTTTTGCTCCTCACCATGCAGGCATGGTGGAAGTCTGCATAACATCACTTCTTCCATACAGGAGTCCCATCAACCTGCTGGGACTGTGACATCTTAAATTAAGAACTTTCTGCCTTAGAATCACCACTGCAATTGATATAATTTCAAATATACAGTGATAGTTTAAACAACTGACCTTACTTAACAGTTGCCACTGAAATGTGAAAACATGTTTTCAAAATCCAATATGAATTCTAAAAGGAAGATAATTAAATACAAGATTTTGGGCTGGAATCAGAGAAAAGCATATGGTAAAGGGAGGGGGGTGTTGGCAGAAGCTGACTGTCCTTTCCCCCAGCAGCTTCCTGGAAGTCTCTCCTGAACAACCTGAATGAGGCTGGTTGTGACAATGGAGGGTAGAGGCATCGCTGAAAAATCAGGCAAAAGGACCATCTGCAATCAGGAGCTCCATACGTAAAAGATGCTTCCACCTTCCTTTCAGGTACCCCACCTACCTGGCCAAGATTTACCAGCATCGGCCCTGCTCTGGCCAAGGCAAGGTCTGGAACTGTGGCATGGTGCATTTGTGCAATGCCAGTTTCAGGACTGATATGTTCCATCAGGAACCTGCACAAGAGCTGTATCTGTAGTCAAACAGGAGCCCTGGAGACTGGAAGTAGGGCTGTTCAAGAGAAAGATATACTAGGAGCTGTTGGATCAGCAGAAATCAGGCAGAGTCTACTGTTGCATAACTATGCCAATACAATGACATTTAACGTTTCTGAAATTAGACAATACCTATAAAGCTGGAAATAGTTATTGCTAGTACTGTGCCAGATAACCGTGAAGACAGAAAGACAATTGGATGTGTTCAGGAATACTTTTACTATATTCCTAGTGACTACTAGAAATAATTTTTGGTGGCCAAGTTCAGACACATTAACAGACCTTTCCATATAGCCATTATCACTAGTAATCCACTTCTTTGGCCACCTCGAGAAAAGAAGACTCCCTGGAAAAGACCCTGATGTTGGGAAAGATTGAGGACACAAGGAGAAGGAGACGACAGAGGACGAGATGGTTGGACAGTGTTCTCGAAGCTACCAACATGAGTTCGACCAAACTGCGGGAGGCAGTGAAAGACAGGAGTGCCTGGCGTGCTCTGGTCCATGGGGTCACGAAGAGTCGGACACGACTAACCGACTAAACAACAACAACAACAATCCACTTCTCTGTCAATAATTTGGAGTTGGGTATGTGTAGCTTGGAATGTTTAATCTGGAAAAGAAGAAACTGAGAGGAGATATGATAGCCATTTTCAAATATCTAAAGGACTGTCACATGGAAGATGGAGCAAGCTTGCTCTGGAGTGTAAGTCTCGAACCAATGGATCCAAGTTACAAGAAAGGAGATTCCAACAAAACATGAAGAAGTTTCTGACAATAAGAGCTGTTCAACAGTGGAACAGACTCTCAGAAGTGGACTCTCCTTCATTGGAGGTTTATAAGCAGAGGTTGGAAGACCATCTGCCATGGATGCTTTAGCTGACATTCCTGCATTGCAGGAAGTTGGACTAAAACTCTACAATTCTATGTACCAAAAAAAGAGCAAACTCCATCTATACATGGTGGACATCTTATAGAATTCTGAATTTGGGAACAAATAAAGGCAGTATTGTCCTTTATTCTTGTTAATGTACCAAAACTTTTGTTTGACTTTTAACTGTTATACCAGATTTAGTCCTCAGAACAAAACAGTCACTCTTGTCACTAATTTCTAAACTGGTTTATGCTAATCACTGGACATGTAAGGAGATACCTTTGAAACAAGAAAGGCTGGGAAATTGTGGGATATTATATTATTTAAATTGATGCCATGCCACAAATCTTCAACTGCATTAAAACTTGCAAAATATCAAGCCCAGTAGTAATTTTTATAAAGAACATTTACTACTGAGGTATTAATAATGTGATTAGTCAAACCCCTTACACGGAGTAATAGTCTGCCGAAGGCAAATATATTTTATCTTACAGAAAGGTGGCTTTAAATAGGTACCGCTGTTGCAGGAAGGTAAACGGCGTTTCCATGCGCTCTGGCACTTGTCAAGGTGTCCCGTTGTGCCAGAAGCACATAACCCAGAAAGCTGTCTGTGGACAAACACCGGCTCCCTCGGCCTGAAGCAAGATGAGCGCCAAACCCCATAGTCAGGTTTGACTGGACTTAACTGTCCAGGGGTCCTTTACTTTTACCTTTTTATTTAACTTTCTGTATGTTCTGATAATTGTATCAAATAAAAAATATTTTAAAATGGAGAAGGTAAGGACCATTAAAAAAATGGAGAAGGTAAAGACCATTAAAAAAATGGCAATAGTTTTGCACATAATAGGTAGATTAAACTGCATGCTATTTTCTGAATTTTAGGTTCGTGCCTTCAAAACTCCAGTTAAAAGTTTATTTGCAATGACTATGCAAGACAAACTGAAGCAAGGTAAACAGATTCCCATTAATATGCATTGCCAATTATGTACAGACACCACCAAACCTGTGAACAGATGCTCATCTGTCCAAGTGTTTCCCTGAAATATTTCCACATAGCTTTAAAAATATATAGCCATACCAATGTAGCTGGAAAGTGACAATACTGATGGATTCAGCCCTATGATGCATGAACAAGAACACATTTTCAAATATAGTTAAGTGGCACTTGTTTCAAAATATTTGTTTCATTTCTCAGATCAAGATGAAACAGCTGAAAATCATTTGGTATTCCAAGTGTCAAACAAACACTGAAATAAAAATTTGCCTCATCCAAGTAAAGAAAGCTTTTATTATTGCAGAAATTTGGCCAATCTTACTGCTTACATTCAAAGCTATGTAAAATAGTTGTATGATGGAAGCACTGATTTGTGGGTATTAATGGCTTTAGTACTAGTAAGTCCTTCTCAAGTGTTGGACCTGGGATACCAGGGTATGAATTTCTGCTCAAGTCATGAAGCTCACTGGGTAACTGTGGGCCAGTCACTGTCTATCAGCCTAACCTACCTCACAGGGTTGTTTGTTGTGATGATAAGCTGGGGAGGGGAAAACCATGTACACCACCTTCAGCTCCTTGAGTGAAAAGGTGGGACATAAACTGTGATAAATAAACATGTATATATGCATGTGCATACATCTGTACAGAAGGGATGACGGATAAAAACTTTACTATCTTATGATTTCTGAATGGGTTCCACAACCTTACATTGGTCACTTCCATATCACATACACTGTTGGATAAAGACAGTGCTTCATAAGGTAGGTGAGCAGATAGGCTTTCAAGAAATGAGACGTTTTATCAAAAGGGCATAGACTTTTTCAAAATCATAAAAACAACATATATATATATATATATATATAACATTTTACACTTCAAGGGTAGCTATTATTGGTTCTTTCCAGTTCTAAACATTAATGTAAGGTCCACTGAGAGAGAGTAAAATTAAAGCTTGAATTACCAAAGAAAATTATTTCTCAGTAAACAAGGATGGATATGACATGCTATTAATGCTTTGAGAACAAGCATTAATTAATGAGAAAGGCACCAAAGTGTGGGGGGACCCTATGTTTTTAATTAATAGGAGGTGGAATCCCCAATTTCCCTCCTGCAACACTTTGAACCCTCTAACATTTAAACTTGCTTTAAAGGGATTTATTCCATCCTCTCCCCCAGCCACAATTTTCACCTCATCATGGTGCTTGTTTCCTCTGCTTTTGGCAAAATATACCAATGAAGCAGATGGGCCTTGCTATGTACATGTGATGATACTAAACAGTTAAAGGAGATGGCAAGCTGCCTCTGAGCCCTTGCCCCTATCACCAGGTGTGCTGCTATAATCAGCAGCAGGGAAGGGATAAAAATCCCTTCTGAGCCTTGCAACTGCTGCCGCCTCTGGGACAGGATCAGATTAATCAGATGCATTTTGGAAAGTTGGTGTCAGCTCATTTCTATTATTAAGGCAATTCCCTTCCACTGTTTTTTTAATAGTTTGTTCTCATTTTAACATTTGCAAAATGCTTTTTTGATGCATGGAAACCTATATCAGTTGCTGATCTTCAGTTAGGGAAGGAGGGGGGTTACATTTTACTTAATTTATGCCTGTTCTACTGGGAAGCATAATTAAATTTTCTGAATATCTTTCAACAGAAATGCATCTACAAGCCATGTATTGAAGTCAGAGCCATATGTTGGCATGGCAGATTTGTTAAGAACCTGGGAATTCTTCAGTAGGGCTTTTACATCAACATGCTAGTATATAGTGCATAATACTGTATAGACAATGTACCGTGTGTGCAGTTGGCATGCCCTTCCTCCATGCATCTGAAACAGGCACCTAAATATATTAGACATGAGTAAAATCTTTATATGCACACGAAAGCTTAGAAAACTGCCCTTCTGCCAGGGAAGGGAACTTTCAGGTGCCTGCACCCACCACCAAACCACTCTATCATGGGTTCATGTCAGTAACAGCAGTGACCATTGAGTCCTTCAGCACAATAGCTCCATGCTGCTGTCAGGCAAAATTGTTCACCACTACCATGCAGCAGGTACACCTTAAGTTCCCTTGCAGCCTACTAAAGATAGTGACAGTGAACCAGGGAGCCAGCACAAGTAAGGATTCTGCATTATCACTACTGACAGGTTGCTACATCTTCAAATCATACAGGATTAAGCATAAAAAATGTAGATGGTGCATTAAATGCATAAATAATAGCCACATAGGACCCTGATCAGGACTGGGGCTATGGTTCCTTCCCATCACCCAACTTCCAATCCAAATCTTTATTACCACCACCCAACTTCATTCCTGACAACAGCTGCCCACACATCCAAAACTGCTTCTTGCTGCACAAAAAACTGCTGTTGATGCAATCACACCTTGTCTAATTTTCTTATATCTGGGCACAGCACAAAAGCTTTTCCAGGCATCTTCTAAATAAAGACATTCTGTAAGGATCATCACCACACTGCAAGTTAAATGCAGCTACTCTTAACAATGACCCCTACGTGACCAATCATCTAGAACTGTCACATTTGAATCAGTTTTCCATGGTCATTATTTTGGTAATTCTCAGTGATCAAAGAGTGATTTGATGAAGGCTTCTTGGTTTGGAAAACTGGTCAACATCATATTTCCTATGAATGGTTCAAGATCCACATGTGACTTCTGTTCAACTTCCTAAAACAGGAAATCTTTGTGAGCAGATACTGATTACCTGTCTTTCTTTAAAACACCCTGGAAAAGTAACAGTCAATGAAGATATACAGCTAACTCAGTGCCTCAGTAGGTCAGCTGTATTATTATGTTTGGAAAATAGGTAGTAATCTTACAAGGATGCAGCATATTTCTTCATCTTGTGGTTCCGGCAAGAACTGCTCCTTACATATTACATATCACCACTGCCAAAACACTCATCATTATAAGAAGACAAAGACATCTGCACAGGCTTCCCCCCAACCTCAGATATTTGGACCATGGTTTGCAGAGGCCAAGTCATTCATTCTACCTATATACACCTCATTAATTTCTCCCATATCCTGAATCAACATTTTGCTGCAATGGAAGCCAATGATTTCTACCAGAGACAGTAAAAGAGCCATCACTACTGGATATAAGTTATGAGCCAATCTATTAGTTATGCTTTTTGGTTATGTAAAAGACCGAGTCATGTTAGAAGGCAGGAATATAGTTGTACACCTACTAACAGCTGCCCATTCAACAATTAGTTACAATTCAGGTTGCTTTTTTTGGGGGGAGGGGAGATCAATGCACCAGTATTGGAGGATTGGATACCAAGGTATGGGAGGTGATCCAAATGAAGGAAGGCAATTTAACAATTATTTATTTATTTATTTATTTCATAAAATTAACACACCGCTTGATTGTAAAACAACAACCCTCAAAGCGGTTTAATAATAATTTCACTGAAAAATAGACCCTTTTTATTGTGTATCAGTACAATAAGAAGTAATATAAGGTCAAACTGGAAAGTGATACGTGCAGTACTTGGGCCTGGATGGAAAAGATGAGTGCTTTTGCTACAATAAAACTATCTATGTGGAAAGAAAATCCTGCTGCTGTGCATTCACTTAGAACACTATTTTTCAGTGCAGCATCCTATCTGGGAAATGCCTATATAAGGATCTCATAGAGTTGTTGCAAACAGGGATAAAAGTAAGGATTGTAGAGATCATCATATACAAAAAGCACTACACAACTTTTCTTTTTAATGAAGCGTAGATGGAAAGAGGAAGGGAAACTGTCTTACTGAATATTATTCTCATATATCTCAATAGTACAGTGGTACCTTGGGTTAAGAACTTAATTTGTTCTGGAGGTCCGTTCTTAACCTGAAACTGTTCTTAACCTGAGGTACCACTTTAGCTAATGGGGCCTCCTGCTGCCTCAGGGCAAGTTCTGTTCTCATCCTGAAGCAAAGTTCTTAACCCAAGGTATTACTTCTGGGTTAGCGGAGTCTGTAACCTGAAGCATCCGTAACCTGAAGTGTCTGTAACCCGAGGTGCCACTGTATTTGCATATTTTGAAAAAAACAACCACACACATATTGGCATAATCTGAAAAGAAAATAGATGTGACTCTGCATCTTTTGCATTAGAAAATTCTTACCTAGAATGTATCCCACTGATCATATCATTTTGGAGGGAGCTGTCTGCTGTTATGCCGGGCCCAGCTGCCTTAGATATAAGTAAAACCACCAAGCCTCTCATCTGCAGGTTGTTCCTGCTATCCAACACAAAACCTCTGCAAAAAAGAAAAAAAGAAAGAAAAAAGTTAAGTCAGATCAGAATTTTGAACATTCAAATAATTTTTCCTAAGACCAATTTAGATGACTGAGGATGAGCCACAGCTTGTGTCCTGCCCTGTTCTCCTCTATGTGTGAGAGGAGAGAATGAACTTCTGCTTTCACTTTAGAATCTATAGTTCTCTACTGCTTCTTTAGAAAGCTCCACATTACGTACAGTGTTAGAAACTGGGATTGAAAAGCTAGGAGCAAAATGGCTTCTGGGACCTGGGTTGTGGGCACCAAAACAGAATATCTAGTCTTCATGGAGGGGCCTCCTGCTGCTGCCGTGCCGCCGGAGCACGATTTATGTTCTCATCCTGAAGCAAAGTTCTTAACCCGAGGTACTTTTTCTGGGTTAGCAGAGTCTGTAACCTGAAGCGTATGTAACCTGAAATGTATGTAACCCGAGGTACCACTGTATGCAAGTCCAAGGCTCACTGCAGCTTGCTCCTGATCTCTCAAAATTACAGCTTCTATATCATTCTCAACACTAAGGGCTCATCCACACTCCCGCTCATCCTGCTGCTTTTCCCCAGGAAAAACCTGCTTTTTACCACTGAATCAGAACAAACATCACTTGCTGTTTACAGGGCTTGAGATTTGCTCTAATTCAGCAGTAAAGAGCAGGTTTTCCTGGAGAAAGCAGTGGGACAAATGGAAAACCACTCAGACCCATGTTTTCTAAGCATGGGACAAGCAAAGTATGGACCAGCCCTAAGGCTAGCTTTCTCCATCTTGGTGGCTAAAGATGTTTTGGGCTACAACTACCATCAGCATCAGCCACCATATTGTATGATCAGGAATGACGGGAGATGTGGTGTCTAAACAGTATTAGCAGAGGGATACCAATATATATATAGCATATAGAGATGGCTTATATAATTGAAAAAGCAATCAATATGCAATGGCATAGAGTATTTTCTGGATAGGTATGGTGATTATGCAAGTTATACGACCAATTTCAAACGAAGTTGCAAACTAAAGTTATAATGTTAGAAGACAAGTTCAGTTTCCACAGCCATTGAATGAAAATATAAATGAAGTCTATTACCATATGATAGAGAATAGATAAAAATAGAATACGGAGGAAGAAACACGTGATTAACCCGGGAAGTACTCCAGTCTAAAAACAGCTGCTAATTAGTAGAACCTTAGACAGAGAGAAATGTCAGTGGACGAAGTACAGAGCAGGAATTGATAGACAACAGTAGTTGACAAGCAGTATGGCACCTGCTCATATTATCTATCACCCAACATTCCTTACGTTTATTTAGTGTTGCTTTGTCCACGTTATCAGCTAAGAAAAAGCTGAAGTTCTTTTTCAACGAAAGTAGTAAACAAAATTACGTTAGCAACACATACTCTATCTTCACTACAGCAAATTGCATAAGACTTGAAACAAATAAAGCCTAAGGTGGCCATCCTTTAGTAACTAGAAGCTACTGCAGTCACTTGACATGGCTCCAGGGGTCACATTCGCATTCCACTGGAATTCAGTTCTCTAGAGATATTCAACCCAAGTTACAGGTACATAAAAGTCTTCCAGATGGTGCAATTATTCTTGATGGGTATGTGGCAGAAGACAGGTGCCCCTAGGGGGGAAAGGGGAACTGGATGCAGCCCAAGTAAAATTGGGCCTGCATGCACACACACATTAGTATCAAATTCTTTCTTAAAAGATTGGGTAAAACACAAGCAGAAGTGTAAATATAAATACAAAACTACCAAGATTAAGGTGCTGCCTGTTATAGTTTGTGCAGCTCAGTATTATTAAACACTGTGCCCTCAAGGTAAATAAAATTAGACTGGTACAACTACCCACAGCAAATACAGATCTACAGAAAAATGAAAAGACTGAGGGTTGGGGGGGATGAAACAATTATTCTCCATGTTATCCATGTGACAAAACCTAGATTTAAATGCCTGACAGATTCACAGATTTAAATAGAGCTCTTCTTTAAAAATTCATGTTGATGGGGGGGGGGGAGTCTAGCTCTGAAACAAGTATACTATTATGGTATGCTGATATAAGACTCGCACCACCCACACAAGAAGTAACACTGGCTAATAGTTTATGTGCTGAAAGAATTACACCTCCTACTAACGTCCATCTGTTTAAAAGAATAAATCATGCAAACATGAGTATCCCCATTAAAGCTTTGCACACTTCAACTTCTAATGCTCAGGCATTTCAACTTTTCAGTTACAGATAAATCTGTAATTTCAGTGGTTTAGCAGTTATATTATTTTGAGTATTTTTCCCAGAAGAGAAAAACTTTCATTGGGCATAATGAGCATTTAGAACTTGCAGGCTGAGAGTTGTACTGTACTGATAAAGGCTGCTTCTCTCTCTCTCTCTCTCTCTCTCTCTCTCTCTCTCACACACACACACACACACACACACACACAAACCAGACAAAGAAAAGTTCAGAAGATACTGTATAGTAGAAAAATGTATTCCATTGTATTTCCAAAGCAGTCAGAAAAGTAGACAATGGTTTCTGCCAAAAACAAGGTAGAAAAATTCAATAATCTGAAACATGATGAGCAAATAAAATCTAAAATGTATGAATACATGAAAGCATTAATGTTCCAGGTGATATGTCAGCACAGTGTTTATCCTCCTGATCATCCAACAGTAGCACTATGCACGCCTAATTTTATTATTTACCTGTTTTATTGAAATGTTTATTGATTACCTTTCAGTCATAAGATCTTTAAGATGGTCACTAATCAGATACTAAAACGAAATTAAGAAAAGAGCAATAAAACCTTCAAAGACAATTTGCACAAGTTATACAGGCTCCCTGCTTTCCTCCTTAAAGGTTAAAAAATTAACCTGAAGACAAGACAGTTGTTTTGCATGTACTGTCTAAGCCCCTACCCTGATTTGTATCAGAACTTTAAGACTAGTGAGAGGTAAATGACAAAAATAAAAAGAACTGCCAACATTTAGAGAACGCACAGGCGTGAATACCAATATCCTGTGCAGGTATAGTTATGAAGCAGATATTCTGTCCAATTTATGCCTGTCACAAATACTAGAATCAGCAACTGAATAATTGTAAATATTCTTTTAAATATGTATTTTGATCACTTAAAAATACATTTACTTATGAGCCTGGCTCCATAAATTATTAGCACTGATAAAGCCTCTAAACTTGTCTAACTGCTGCACATACATGAAAAAGACAGTTCCTATTTGTAGGCTCACACAAATGAAGGATACAACACAAAAGGAAAAAGGAGTCTGGAGAGAAGGGGGAAAGCAGGTCTTGGAGCAGCTGCTCATTCACTGGCCAATGCAAGAGACCAGAGAAAAGAAGTGCAGCTTCCCAGTGACCCTCTGTCTTATAGCCAGTGGCAGAAGCCAGAGTGTATCCCGCTTCAGCTCTACAACCGCAGGACAACTGACAATATGAAACACTACTGCCTAGTCACCGAACATCAACATTTTGTACTATGAAAGTCTAGGCTAAAGTGGCCCCCTCACTCAGCTATGATGATTTCCTAAACAGATGCCTGAAACAAGATTTTTGCTTTAGCAGTTTTCAAACTATTGTACTCTATGACCTGTAATTTAACATCCTCAGTGGACCACTTATAGCAACTGCATTTCAGTGAATATTCTCTCTCATACATTGGCTACAAATGTGCATTAAAATATATTTGAGTTGCACTGACAACTAAATGGAGCTGCTTATGGAATTTGGTTAGGTTTGGAATTCTCTCTTATAGTAGCCCAGTTCTTCATTTAGATGATCTCAGATACAGGAGTTAGCCAGTTGCTATTCTGTTCCAAATGAGTCCTTCTGTAAGGTTCCACAAGGTTCTGTCTTGCCGTAAAATTGTTTGTGTGCATATGAAGAAGTCAGCCACAGATTGGGAGTGCAGAGTCCTCAAATATGCAGAGGATCTTTCATCTGACCTTGAAGTAGCAATGGGAGTTTGGAATCAGCACCCAAGAATTGCCGTAGACAAAACTAGGATGAATCAAAACAAGATAGAAGCAATGACTATCAGAGGCACTTCCAATTATCAAGTGGTGTCAATTCTGGACAGTGTTTTTATTAGCTGATATTTGCTTTGGAAAGCTGAAATGTTCATGGCATCAAAAGGAAGACTTGGGAAATCTGCTGAACTAGAGCCAATTCGGCAAGCTACAATGTCCTGTGCAAAACTCCAAATAAATGCTATGATACAGATATCCATACAGACATGTCAAGGAGCCATGATAGGCTACAGATACATTGCATCTGATTATGCATTCTTGGGATAATTCCTGTGTCTGCCAAAACACCTGGATAAAAACTAGAGAACAGTAGAATTTAAACAAACCTGATGATAATCTATTACGGTTTCTGAAATTTATGCATGATTGTCAACACTTTTACAATGTTATACTTTGCTCAACAAATCCATATTATAATATCCACAAGCAGGAGCAAGATTAAGCAAGTTGTGTCTCCCAAAGGTGCCTGAAAGCAATGAATAAAGTACCTAAGTCCAGAAGCAGCTCATATAAATAGCAGTTTCAGTTTCTAAAACCTACATGGTAGCATTTTCACTCCATTGCAAAACCTCACAGTCCAACTAAATATGTTGCTATATACAGATGTAGATGTCAGTCAAAACATATCTATGTCAAAAATTTCAATAAATCTTTTGAAATGCGAATGACAACGTATGCCTCTGTGACAAAATACAAATATTGAACACACTGTACAGTTAATTGGTGGAAAAGTAACTGGAACATTTCTGATATATTTCCCATGTGTGTGTATTCATTCCTGAGAGAACTCAATATTTTAAAAGGTGGAGAATTTAAGCAACTTGTGGTTTGGGAAATGTTAGTTTCCACAGCAACCAGCATGATTTTCTTTATATAGCACTATAAACAGATGGCAAAAGAGTGGTCTTGTTTGCTTCTTTGCCAAGCATGTCAATAAGAACTGCTGTACTACAGTATTGTATATTTGAATTCTTAAATAATCCAGGTATACTAGTAACAGAATCTACTACTGTAGGCAAATACAATTAAATCTTTACTTTTCACAGATACAATTCTAAAAAAACCCCCCAAAAAACAGCATCCCTGCTCACAGAGTTCTTTGGCTAAGCTTTCTAAAAACATTTTCTCACCATTTGGAACATAAATAAACTCTCAACTATAAAATCTTGAAAGTGAATGCTAAAATTACAAATGTAACATTTGCTTCCTATATCTTTTTGTTTCTTAACTGTCCTTAGTTAAATGGCTTCTGAAATTCAAGTTCTCACAATACATCAGTAGAAAGTAAGGAAAGAGTTGTGTGATGAGCTTAAAAAAACAAAAACAAATTAAAGATGTATTTAAAGTATTTATGTTTCAAAATTAACATGGTGATACTTGCTGCATTCAATGTTAATTCCAAGCTATGGTTTGGTATTGACATGAATGAGCAGCAATGACCCTCAAGCTTGTAGATTCAGGTAGGTAGCCGTGTTGGTCTGACACAATCGAAATATACCGGTATATATAAAAATAAAAAAATTGTCCAGTAGCACCTTAGAGACCAACTAAGTTTGTTCTTAGTATAAGCTTTTATGTGCATGCACACTTCATCAGATACTAGATGGTATCTGAAGAAGTGTGCATGCGCACAAAAGCTTATACCAAGAACAAACTTAGTTGACCTCAAGCTTGTGATTGTTTCATCTCCCACTGATCTCTCATTATACTGCTTTTTTTCTAACAAACATCTAGTTTAACAAACCAAAGTTTGCCATTACATATATACCTGCAAACTATTGTTTATTCAACCAGTTTTTCTGTATATTTGCATATGAAACGAGACCCAAACCATAATTTTCCTCATTCACATGCAATGGCAATTATCATTTGCCAAAGAACTGCAAGTCCTTTAGAAAAGCAAAGCGTGCAAAGAGAAGAGGAAGAGCATGCAAGTCTGATGCTCACTGCTGCATGTTCATATAACATCAACCAAGCCTGTATCTGAAACCAGCAATTGCTACTAGGAGTATTTCGAACGCTTAATCTATATCTGGTATTTTAGAAACTTTGGCATATAGGCAGTCTGCCTTCCATCTTTTACTGCTATCAGAAAGCTAAGGGTAATATTGAACATCAGTCATGGAGTAGACCCGCTACAGTCAATGGACTTAAGTCTCAGCAGCGATGCTCTGTCATCCATAGTATTTTTTAACGCTTATCGTGGTTTAAGCCTAGACTTCTTTTATACCTATGTTTTCATCTAACTTGCAATGGTTATACATTGACCCACCAGTAGAAGCATAAGGCATAATCATAAGAACCATTCAAGCTTTTCTGCGGTCTGCATTTTTTTACATATAGCAAGCCCAATGTTGTCTCTTTCTCCTCTGTATTCTTGAAATCTCATCCTGATCTTCTTCATCTGTTACCAGGACAACAAGCACTCTGACACTCCGATCTTGATAGTTGTAGCTTTGCTCCACTGTCTGTTTCACATGCATTAAAATAGTTCCTAATGGTTTACTTTCCTCTATGCCTACATATACAGTCCAGATTTCCTTCAAGTAAAAATAAGTGGCAAAGATTTCAGGGGTGAGGGCATACATTTTAGGGAAGCAAAAACTCCAATTTTAAAAAGGGAAATATGTTTAAAATCAGCAATGACTGACAACTAGTATAACCAGAGACCCAGACTTAATGAACAAGAGGTGAATCCACACTAGCACACTGATGCTGTTTTCAAGATTACTTAGAGAAAACTATTTTTGGTAATTAAAAGTTTTCACTGTTAACTGGGAAGATGGGAAAATGAAAGAATAAAATTATCGAAATGTTTTGTATTTTGTGCTAGTCATGTGAAATTTGCTTATGCAATTTATGAAAAATTCTCCCTTTATTATTATATAATTTCTTGGGGAAGAATGATTCCAGAAAGTGTAAGCATGCAGAACATTACATTTGTAGTGAAATAAAATATGCTTTTTCAACAGTTCTACAATTTAATTTTATTAATTCTAAGAAGAATTTGAGCCAGTCACTTTAAGTCTGCAATCTTAAATTCTGCAGGACTTACTTGTGAGTAGACCTATACTAATCAATACCTGGTTTCCACTGAAATCAATGGGATTGAAAAGTATTTCACTTGGCTCAATCATGCCTCTAGTTTTACTGGTAAAAATCATCACGGATAAATTCTGAACCAACGCGCTTGCTTTCAAAGGAAGAAAAGGGAAGAAAGGGGAAATGTGGGAGTCAATAAAGAAGGAACACTAAAAGGATCTGAGGGCAGGTGGCCTATACAATTTATTTTCAAAGCTGCATTAGCACCCTGCAAAGCTGCTTATAAATCATGTGGTTAAACAACATGTGCTGTCCCGATCAATCACTAACATCACTAACCCCATTTGTCATGCTCTAGTCTACGGATATTTCTCTAAATGATGAAATGACTTTAAAATGATGATGATAATAATAATAATAATAATAATAATAATAATAATAAATTCTGAAAACTTCCATCTTAAAACAGAACTATACACAGCTATTCTGGAGACAAAATTTCAGTGTTCTTGCTCCTGACATGTTACTATGTTGATAAATATATCCCTTACTTTACCTAAAAAACAACAACAAACCAAGGGCTTGTCAGTGAGCATGATAGTTACACATTTCTGGAAATATTTAGAGGGGGCAACGATGAATCTATGAGTAGGCTTGGCATTTAGCAATATTGGAAAGGCTGACTCAGAGGGTCTGATAGCTCAAGAAACAAATCCAACGAGACCTGTTTTACACTTCCATTCAATATTCAACAGGACTTCAAGAAAAGTTCCTGCACAAAATTCACTTTTGTGGGATGGGTAATGGACACCGATCCTTGCTCTGATAGATGCATTAACAGGTTAATTCAGCATCTATTAGAGAAGCACTTGACCCAGTGGAAAGACTGCAAAAATATAGAATTGTTATTGCTGGACTGTCTTTTCATTTTACTTTATACAGTACAGGTTATTAGCTCCCCAGCACATAGGAACATTGCTGTACTTTGTGTTTTATGTCATCCTAAATAAAATAAAAAAGGTTTTTAAAAATGAGTTTTTAAGAGACCAGGTCCATAAACTGTTTCCCAAGTAGTTCTGAGGGTGAAGTGAGGAGGAAAAACTAGCATCTTGACCTCTAGAAATCCACCACTTTCCAGCAGCATTTCATGCAAAAGTAGTGGCACTTTCTCCAGCAGTTTATTTAAAAAAAAACTCAGCTGGCCCTTCAAATTGGTTTCTGCTTCAGCTAGGAAAGAACAAGAACCGGCTCAAATGCAAGACAAGCCACCTTTGTCATTCTGTACTGTTCACTCTTATCAGATAAAAGGGAAGAGGACAGAGACACGTGGCTTGCTAATGCTTTAGGTGCTAGAGGGAAGCATTTGGAAAAATACACAACTGTCCCACCAATTCACAGCACTGGCAGTGAACATCAGTTGCTGTCCAGTCACAACAGATTCAGGGTGGTTAGGGAGCTTTGTAAACTACCGCATTTTCGCTCTATAAGACGCACCCAACCCATAAGATGCACCTAGTTTTTAGAGGAGGAAAACAAGAAAAAAATATTCTGAATCAAATGTTGTTGAAGAGGCTTTGCGCGGCTATCCCTAAAGTACTTAAAAGCTACTTAAATTGCAACATCCAAACCAAGTAGAGTAGGGATGAAGAACCTGTGGCCCTCAAATGTTGTTGGACTACAACTCTTAACCTTCCCTGATCATTGGCCATGTTGGCTGGGACTGATGGGAGCTGGAGCCTAATCCCTGACAGCCACAGATTCACCATCTGTAAAATAGAAGGAAGTCATAAACTACTTGTTAATGCAAGTTATGCAATCTGAGTCACTCTTCGAGTCCTTTGATAATTTTGCTTCAATATTATGTATTAAATGAATTAAATGTATTAATTAATGAATTAAATGTATTAAAACCTTGTCATTTTTTCTCTGTTGTGTTTACCTCTTATTCTCTCTGCGATGAGTTCTTTTTCTTATCAAAACCCGCAATATTTTAGAAAGCCTCAGTAAGAATTTGGCATTGAATTTTAAAGACTCCCTCCCCTCATTTGAACATGTTCTTTTCCTCCCTCCCTTGGCGTTATAGCCATCTTACTTTAGAGCCAAGAAGAGTTTTACGAAGGTTTTAATAGAAGGTTTCCTAAAATGTGCCAGTATGTGCCTCCTTTCCAAATCCTTCATAAGTCACTGAACAAACCAAATCTCTGTGTGAACATGAAAAGGTCATTCAAAACACAGAGCTAGCCAAGGACAGAAATTTTGAGCAGGCACCACAAAGTAAAACAAATTTAACTGCTAGGAACAGAATATTTCTTCTTTAGAAGTTTATAACCCAGGCCAGGGTTGGAGGAGTGGGGAAGTAAGGGAAAAGTCTGAAATACTGAAAGCCACCTCGGTTACAGAAATCCAGTATCTGCCAGCTGTCAAAAGCGATTTGCCTGAAACTTTCCATACAGCATAACAGGCAGCATAATAATAATAATACAACTGCAAAATTTCAAGCAGCTTTGTTAAATTTGGAAAATCTGTGGGGTGAAAGTGGAATACAAGGCTAAATTAGGCTTATTACAGAAGAATTTGCTTCTGCCTTAAAAGCCAAGTAATTTCAGCAATTGGGAATGCCCAAACAAAAGAGTTTCCTGTCTCCAACACTCCAGATTTAAGTCTACGTTAGCACAGCTATGCATTGAAAGCTATTGAAAATGTGGTAATCTTGGGACAGCTGTGAAGTGAAACTGTCTGCCATCAGACTCAGAAGACCAGAGCTGTACAGAGATTACCATATTGTCAGTATAGGGGATTGGGAAACTTCTATAATTAAGCCCACTGCAAAGTGTGCTTGAGCCCACTGAAATCAATGTCTTAAGCATATCTAAATCTGTGATGGGCCATACTCCTTAGCACTTTAGTTTATGGGACACTTCCAAGTTTTGAGCAATAATGCTACCTTCAATTTATCTCACTTGAGAAATCTAAAAGTCAATATTACCTATTTCATGGCTATATTTCAGTTCACACTATTTAAATGACTTAAACTGCAATTAAATGAGCTGAAAATAAACACAAAACATATTCTTTTAAATAGCACCATTTCATTTATGTTGTCAGCATAAAATTAAGATAATCTCTTGAAATGTTTTGATGTGGTTTCTAATATATAGCAGTTTTGTTATTCTTGAGTAGTTTTGTATTTTGCTTTTTAAAGCATTAATAACTCATATCTAAGACTTCTAGACTGTTTTCAATGATGTTTTTAAGCTGTCATATTATAACATACATTTGTCACATATCCTTTCCTTACGTAGGCTGCAGTCAGCATCATGAGGCTTGTGTCAAAGAAGTATCTACAGGACACATGAAAGTCAAACATACCATCCTTTTCACAGAGCAGAAGTTTCTGCCCCTGCCTGTAGCTATACTTAAAGGTAAAGGGACCCCTGACCGTTAGGTCCAGTCTCAGATGACTCTGGGGTTGTGGTGCTCATCTTGCTTTATAGCTTCCAGGTCATGTGGCCAGCATGACTAAGCCGCTTCTCAAACTATCATTAACTTTCTTTTTGAGTATAAGAAAATTAAAGCTACCCTAACAACTTCTTTTTTGACCATTTTCTTAAACAATGGATTCAAACTCAAATTTAAACGTCACTTTTGGTTGTCAGTTTTTTGTCTTTTAGCCTATAAACAAAGGTAGATACTGCTGTGGGGACACCGCCTGAGTAAAGCTAATCACAAACTATGATGGCCTCACCAAGCCAAAGGTGTTTCCTTTTTTAAAAAAGCAAAGCTACAGGGTTCCCCATTTTCAGCAATGGCTCACTGACCAACCTCCTCATGCTTTAAGTTCCCTTTTGCCCATTTTTATGGCCTTGCTGGCTTTGCTATTAGTAAAATGATAGTATGTGACCAAGGCAACTACTCTGGGATATAAACAGTTTTACCTCAAATTGACAGACTATAAAGTGTTTTGTCAAAAACATTTTATGCACCTGACAATCTCAAGCCCACTAGAACAGAGTATAAGCTCTTAACAATCTAACCGAGTAAATCTCATGCAGAGGTGTCTTTCATCACCTGTGGATTGCAACGCCATGTCTCAACTTGCTTCAATATAAAAGCAAGATATGCAAACATCGTTCTCTCAAGAGGTACAACAGAGCAATCAGATACTCTGAATTATGGTGGGGTGGGTGGGAGATGCACAATGCTGCTGTCTGGGAAACGGGGAGAGAGGAGGGAAGCACTTAAGATAAAATAAAAATAAAAACAGCAGAAAGAAAAAGAGATGTACATGCCTGCCAGAACTTCTGGAAACACTAGAATCTGGGTCATCAGTCACATATGGAGACAGCCAATGAACTCATGATGGGGTCTTGCGTTACCTCTACCACACACACCACCATATACAAAAATGGCACCATCACAGCACCCCCAGTGGCACACTCAGCAGTAGCCCCAGTATAGCAACTCCCCTAGTATCACTATAAGCAGAGATTCAAATTTTCTAGCACACCAAACAAGAGGAAGAAAATCACATACAACACAGCACCTATATAGATGCATGGTCAGGATGCCTGTAAAGTGCACACAGAGCAGTCAAGCAATGAAGACATCACCTTCAAAACACTTTAATGTTTGTTTCAAGTAAATTGATGGAAAACATTATTAAAGACAAAATTATCAAGTGTATACAAGGACACGTCTTGATAAAGAGAAATCAGCTTAACTTCTACAAAGGTACACCCCGTCTCACTAATCCATTTGAGACTATCAACAAACTTGTGGAAAGGGTCAGCATGTAGACATTGTTTACTTGAAAGCTTTTGATATGGTTCCTTACTGCACACTCCTGAGCAAACACATTAATCACGAGTTAATTGGAAATGTTCTATTATGGACTTGGAACAGGTTAAAGAGCAAGAAGCAGAGAACTCGAGGCATGCAAATACAGTCGTACCTTGGAAATCTAATTGAATCCGTTCCGGAAGTCCATTCAACTTACAAAACATTTGCAAACCAAAACACAGCTTCTGATTGGCTGCAGGAAGCTCCTGCAGCCAATGGGAAGCCATGGAAGCCCCGTCAGATGTTCGGCTTCCAAAAATAGTTCGCAAACCAGAACAGTCACTTCAGTGTTTGCGGCGTTTGGGAGCCAAAACGTTCAAGAACTAAGCTGTTCAAAAACCAAGGTACAGCTGTAGTGGAGTCCCAAAGGATCTGTTTTGAGACCAATGCTTTTTAACATGTTCATAAAGGATCTAGAATTAGGAGGAGGCAGTGAGGCAGCCAAGTTTGCTGACGACACAAATATATTCTGGGGTGGAGGGATTAAAAACAAAAAAGGACCTCTTTAAAGTGGGAAAATGGTCACTAAAAGATCAATGAGGTTCAGTGTACACAATGTTAAGTGATGCATGCTGGAAGAGGAAAAAATTATCAGTTTTTAAACCAGTATATGGCGTGCATTTTTGCCAGCAGAACAATTCTACTAATGGAATGTTATCCTGACATATCTGTGATGTTCTGCCAGGATTATATGCCATATTGGTGGGCTATCTGACAATATACTGCCTCTAAATTTGATTATTTTAGCTGAAACAGTTCTCATTTGTTCAAATTTGTCTCTCTAGAAAAGTATTAATTATGTCTGGAGATATTCTGAGAACAATACAAAGAAATAGCTTTGAAGAGCTATTAAAGAACAGCAAAAACAAACATATCTACCCTATACTACTTAAATTCCAAGTTTTCTCTCTTAGAAGAGTACTGTAATATTACAATAACTATCAAACTTTTCCACAACTGTTGAAGGATGTTAATAAATCAAACCAATCTCTTCTGAAAAGTATTGTTATCTGGGAAATAGCTATAAAACTACATCACATAATCTTATATGACTTGTCCAAGACCATAATAACCATTGTAATGAAATGAAAACAGCAGACCAGAGTATCAAGCAATGTTCCTATAAATGACCAGTTTTTACAGTCAGCACCAGAAACAGTGAAGGAAATTCACTGTGATGATCAGCCAATTAAACAAGCAGGAGGGTCCAAATCCCTAATCTGTTGTGCCAGACAGCATGTGGATGTGGTGGAGAGGTCAGCAGGGCAACCCTGTCAATGAGAAGCATCCCAACGTGCCTACCCAACACTGGTCGGCCGAAGCTACTGCTAGCTGTAACTCTGCTGGCAACTGCCAGTGGGAAACCCAGAAAACAAGGTGTTTCAGGACTGGGACATGATCCAGGGGATCCTGAGTTTGTCCTGTTACTATCTTGTGATGGCAGTGGGCTTGATCCAAGCATCTTCCCCTGGAAGCCTCTCTAGTTTGAGAGCTGGTGCAGTGAATTGATATTTTTCCTTGACCCCACCCCCTAACCTTTTACTTGACCAGCATGAGTGGAAGGCCATGGATGAGGTGATGGTGATACTTCAACAAGCCCTATTGCTTCCAGCCTAGGGTTTGGATTGCCCCCATAACTGTTTTATCAATCATCTCTCAATTGATGAAGTTTAAATAAATCTGCATACTACAAAAATCTCCAAAACAAGTAGCTTCTTAAGAAGTTGAAGGAATAAACAAAAGCCATCAGTCAATGTCAAACAGAATGCCTTTAAATGCTTGCTTCCCATGAAGTATTACAGCAGAGCTTTCCAACTATGTGTTGCGACATGTTAAACGTGTCAACTGCAGTGTGTAGGTGTGTTGCACGAACACTCCTTGTGCTCCTTTCAGGACTAGAAAGGGGTTAGTTTAACCTCTGGTTTGCTGAGTTACTGTGTCATGAGTTACTGTGTCATGTCATGTCTACAAAGTGTGTCACCAACATGAAAAGTTTGGAAAGCTCTGTATTACAGTAACAAACAATAACCAAGATAGTCTCCTTCACCACCAAGGTCCTTAATTTATAGTCTCTACCAGTTAAAAATGGCCCTCATTAAATGATTTCACTTGGCGCTCATTAGCTAAAAAAGAATTTCATATGGAGTTTCTTGAAAAAACTATATCCCCATGAGCCCTCTGCACAAAAACCAGGAACATTCCTATCTTTAGGTGAGTGTTCACATCTTGGCCTAAAACAACTCTCTTCATCAAACTTCTACTCATGTAGAAAGTCCCCGTTTCGATTCTTGCCATCTTTGGATTTCTTTTCTTCCTAACAGTTTTTTATTGATTTGTTCTGAAATATCAACAATATCAACAGCAACAAACAATTCAAACTAAATATGTTTGCCATTCAACATAAAGCCGCCTCTGGTTTTGTTGTTTTAAAGAAAGGCTTCAGGCAGCAGGGCTGCATAATCTAGACAATGCTGATGGACCAATGGTCTGACTCCACGCCAGGCAGCGCCCTACAGGTCACGGAAGAGAATCCTGGGGTTTCGCAGCACCGGAAGAAGTGCTGTGATAGGAAACGGGACTGGGCAATTGAAGCGAGTAAGAGTAAGTATGCCTCCCATTTACCTGGCTTGCAGGAGTGGACGGTTGTGTACGAGAAAAGTGACAGCCAACTCAGTGCCCAATGCTTCAGAGGCCCCGAGGGGAGCTTACCTGGCCGTGTTGAGCAACGGGTGCCTGGTCCCCACCAGTTTGCGCACCTGCATGGCGATGTTGCTCAGCTCGTCGCTCAAGAGGCAGCGGAGGCTCAGGAAGGAGGTCGGGTAGCCCACGATCTTCTCGGCTTCGGAGACCACTTTGCTCCAGTGGGAAGCGGACGAGGGAGAGCCGGAGAAGAGGCACCGCCGCTGCCTCCCCTCCGCTCCCAACTGCGGGAGGCTCCTCCGCAAACAGCCTCGAGCCAAGGGCAGCAGCCACGCGGAGCGCAGCATCTCGGCTCCCCTTCGGGACGCCTCTTTCGGAGGAGCCCAAGGCAACCACGCGGGCCCTTCCCCGACTGCCCCGAGCTCTTGCCTCCCGCGAACTCCGGGGCGGGACCCACCGCTGCTGCTCCCTCCCCTCGGTCCAGGCCGAGCAAAAACCGCCTAAGGGCCTGCGCCTCCCTCCCGTCCCATGAGGCGCCTCGCAACGGTTCAAACGCCGCGCGCGCTCCGCATCCCTCTCCCAGGCGCTTCCTTTTCTACCTCACGGTAGGAAAGCCGAAAACACTACTTTTCTTTCTTCTGGTTCTGTTTTGGCAAAACCCTCTGAATCCGGTGGCTGGAAAGGAGCTCGGCAACCCCTCTAAATAGCTTCCCCGGCACAGAGCCCACAAGCCGCTTTCATGGAGGCAGCCATCTTAAGTGTCGTAAAAGAAAGGCTGGGAAGATGCGGGCCTCGTTGCTTTTGCGCTGCTTCTTTGCTTTGCGGCATCGGCTGCCGGGAGGGAGGGGCAGTACCTGGAGGGAGCGGAGGAGCAGAGTTGTTGGGGCAACGCGGGAGACGGGAAAGGCGCGGGCGAACCGCTTCCTTGCTTTTCCAACACGCTTCCAAATGCAGCGTGAAAAAATTCACGAGTCCCAAGCCATCATAATAATAGTAATAATTTATTATTTATACCCCGCCCATCTGGCTGGGTTTCTCCAGCCACTCTGGGCGGCTTCCAACAGAATATTAAAATACAATAGTCTATTTAACATTAAAAGCTTCCCTAAACAGGGCTGCCTTCAGGGCTGCAGCCAGAGAGACTGCGGAGGTCCAGCGACACCAGAGCTAACCTAACCAAATCACACGTGACTAGATTCGCAGGAACCACAATCAGATACCCACTCAGGGCCATGAATGTTATCCAGGAAAAATGACCCAAAATTCCATCTAGTAAGTAAAAAAAAAAAAAGTCATGTGACTAGATGGTAGCGACACAATGCAACTTAAAATGTGCCCAGAAACCACATCAGTGTACCTGTTCAAGGCTGTTCTGAGCTTGCCAAACAAATCAGATTTACCAGTCGCATGAAACAGATGGGATTGATGCAGTCTAGCCACAAAAAGTTCACAGAAAACCTGTTCCGATACTTGATCCAGACCATATACAGTAATTTGGAAAAGTGACCCAGAACACCAACTTCCGAACCAAATTCACCCGTCATACATGAGTAGATGGGATCCATGCCATAAGGCACAAAATATCCACAGACTCCACATTCTGGAACCCATTCCAGGCAATAAATATCATTAAACAACAGCCCATAACATGAACTCCTGAACAATCCAGATAAATGATTTGCACAACTCACAATGGGCAATACGGAAATGGTGCAGCAACAAATCTTTCACAGAAACCATACTCCAATATCAATTTCAGGAAAGGAATAGTATCATAAAAAATGGCCCAGATCATCAATTTCTAACCTATCCAAACAAACTAAATTCACTAGTCCTATTGGATGGAATATGCCACAAAACCCACACAGAAACCACATTACAATCCCCATTCTGTGCAACAATAGATATTTTTTTATTTAAAAAAATTACGTGGAACAAAAATGTCTGAGCTATCCAAATGATTGAAAGAAAAAAATCTAACTGGACCAGATGGGAATGATGCAGTAAGCCACAAAACAGTGGCAGAAACCAGATTCAGGAGCCTGGTCTAGGCTAAAAGGCTTATTCCAGGAAAACAGCCCAAAATGCTAACTTCCAAGTTAGATAAAACTTCAGTAGAAACCATGTTCCAATGCTACTTCAGGGCAATAACTCAGGTGTTTCGTTATTTAATTTTGTTTTACACAACTTTTAGAAGACATTAGAAGGCAGTATTGGGAGGTTTTTAACATTTGATGTTTTTAATTATGTTTTTAGATATGCTGTAAGCCACCCAAAGTGGCTGGGGAAACCCAGAAAGGGGTATAAATAATTAAACCAAGAGTTTTTCCCCAGCTGGAACTCACCAGAACTGTGTTCTGGTACCTCTTTGGTGAGTTCTGGAACCTCTTTGGTGAGTTCTGGAACCTCTGTGGTGAGTTCCGGCACCTCTGTAGCGTTTTGGCACAGGGACACATCACTCAGGGCTGTGCAACAGAGGCTGCAGGTGGCACGGCATTCTGTGTTGCACCTTGGGTGGGTGCTCCTCCGGCACCTCTTTTTCTAGAAAAAAAGCCCTGATCATGATTCTTATTATTAAAGAACAGGCTGGAATATACATACATACACTAGTCATACATTTCTAGGTGGGGTTGAAACATTTGTTGTTCGCATCTGTCCGTCTTGAGAGAACAATGAAATACAACTTGCGGGGTGAATTCAAATCACAATTTTGCTGCATTAGCAGCACCAGTGTGACCTCTCCAGGGCACAAGCCTGGGCAGTGTGTATGGAGGGCCCAGACTGCCCAGATGACAAGAGCCCCCCTCTCAGCCTCCCTGATGTGGTCCAAAGGAAAGCAGAACCATACTTTGGGCCCCAGTTTGGCTATAGGAGTTGCCAGAAGGAGGCATATAAGATGCCATCCAATCTCCACTCTGGATTTGTGTAGGGTTTACTCTTTATCTTTTTCTTCTCCTGAAGATGTCCCACAAGGCAGTGGGGTCAGATTTTTCCTCACAATTTCCTCCCAAAGCCTTTCTCACAAATAAGTATAGCCGCAAGGCAGTGGAGGTTTAGGATCAGAGTTTTAATTCTGCTACATTGGCCAGCTTCTCAGGTTGATGGGCCCCATCTGCCCCTCATTTCCCTCTACAGCACATGCAGAAACCGCCTTCTTGTCCGTTAGGGTGCCACTGAAATTTGAGACCCAAAAATCCACCACTGCCCTTCTCTGTCCTCAATCCAGGCAAGCAAAAGGCATTATCAGAGTTCAAGGACACATTCCAGCCAGCCAAAAACACTTGGGATACAAAGCAAGACAAGTGAGAAGTGTGGCCTGGGAAGAGAGCTCTGAGGGCTAGATAGGCCTGGAAGGTCACATTTGGCCCCTAGGCCTGAGGTTTCCCACCACTGATACACACATAAGCACAATAAACAATTATTTACATATATCTTATTTAGTCATCTTCAGTACAGCCTGATCCAAATATCCATAATACTGGCTCGGCCTGGGATCACCGTGCAGGTGTTGATTCAGCACTCCATAGAGGTAGGTAGGATACCAACTTATCCTTCTAGTCATGCCGTTGTATTGGGGAGCTGGAAAGACCTTATCCAAGATTTCATGGTGAATAAATAGGGGTGGAAGGAAGAACAAGCAATATCACAACAGCAAAGGGAAAAAAACTTAGCTCAGTATTCCCAGAAAACATGAAGCATGCATATATAAGACCAACTAGAAGGTAGTAATTCTTAGGCCATTTCCTTTTTAATCAATTTTATTCCATTAATAGCAAGATTATTATTTTTTTACATTACACATACATTTACGCACACCCATACACACAAATTTGAAATGATAGATTTATTTTCTAAAACTCATACAATTAATTCAATAAGAGTTCTTGTGACAGTCTTAGATATAACACATATAATTTTACAGTGGGGGGAGGGGGCGTTAAGACAGCTAGTTGGTAAATGTCCTGGCTCCCACACTCAGTCACAGTACTCAGACTCTGGACTCGATTATTCCCAAAGGCTTTATTCCAGAAGTCAGTTCACAGTTAAAACATAGATCAGGTTACAGGCTACACAGTTCATAAATTCAAAAGCAGAGCTGTAAGATATATGGCTAGGCACAAACTAAGAACTCGTCCTAACACCTGAAATGCACCCTGGCTTTTTTTTTTAAGAACGTGGTGACCAGTCTTTTGTGCTGTTCTCATCTCAAGCAATGGGATTGGGCAAGCAAGCAGGAACTCCTGCAGGTGTGGTGGTGCTTGTACTGGTGCACCCAACAGTGTATCCTTGGGAACGGACCCTGGGCTGTCTGGGCCAGCTCACTCTCCGACTCAGGCTCAAATGGCTCCATGGTTACCTGAGCGACCTTGTTGACAGGAGGTGGGATGGAGTCTTGATCAGGTGAAGCTACTTCCTCTGCTGTGACATCCAGAAATGGTGGGGCAGCTATGGCTCCAATGAACTCCTTGGTCCCTACCCTTCATCAGACTAAGTGATTTCATCCCAATCCTTCGGTCCCTTCAAACAGGATTTTTCCATGGGATTCATGACAATAAATGACTGAATTATTTCATGTTCAAGTTGAACTCCTTTAAGAGTACAGCTCTTATTAAAGTATAGGCTCACTGAAAATAAAGGTAAAGGTAAAGGACCCCTGACAGTTAAGTCCAGTCGCGAACGACTCTGGGGTTGCGGCACTCATCTTGCTTTACTGGCTGAGGGAGCCGACATTTGTCCGCAGACAGTTTTTCTGGGTCATGTGGCCAGCATGACTAAGCCGCTTCTGGTGAAACCAGAGCAGCACACGGAAATGCTGTTTACCTTCCCGCCGGAGCAGTACCTATTTATCTATTTGCACTTTGACGTGCTTTCGAACTGCTAGGTTGGCAGGAGCTGGGAGCAACAGGAGCTCACCCCTCTCGAGGATTCGAGCCGCCAACCTTCTGATCGGCAAGCCCTAGACTCAGTGGTTTAGACCACAGCGTCACCCGCGTCCCCCCATCACTGAAAATAGTAGTACTAATTTGTAGCAAGTGGTTCAGATAATGCAACCAACAGTGTGATGCTAACCCCCTCTACTTAAAACCATGTCCTGTTGAAATAAAGCAGCTTAAATGTATACACGGGATTTGTTTCCAAATGGCAGTGTTTGTGGATTTTAAAGTTTAAAGTGGATTTTGGCCCAAAGCAGTTGCAGTACTTTTCAAAATGCCCCTTTGTACTGCACAGTAATCCCACTCCACAGACATAATAAAATGGCTCAAATTCATTTAAATAATATTTAAATGAAGGGCTGGGATTCAACTTTAGATATGCCCTAAGAGGCATGGGCATACCAATGGAATTTTCTTCCAGCAACAGAAAATGTAATTTAAAAATGCTTTGGAAAATCCCCTCAGTTTCCAAGTGTCTTGTCATGCAGTATGGAAACACGGTTACAAAAAAGGCCCATGGTTTCAAAGGCCTATACTTTGGAGGACTACAAAAATAGCTACGCCTGTTGATCTTGGGATCCCAATCAAGACTGCAGCTGCAACTATTATTTATTTAATTATTTGCTTGAATCACTTGTGTGCCCCTAATATTGAAAAGCAAGCATCTAATACAGTGGTACCTCAGGTTACATACGCTTCAGGTTACAGACTCCGCTAACCCAGAAATATTACCTCAGGTTAAGAACTTTGCTTCAGGATGAGAACAGAATTTGTGCTTTGGTGGCATGGCAGCAGCAGGAGGCCCCATTAGCTAAAGTGGTGCTTCAGGTT